AATGTAATGTCTGAACACAAACATGAATGCAATGAATATGTTGTCTAATCAAATGACAAACACTTGTCGTTAATAAACTCAATGTTGTGTTAATTCATTGAATGAACACATTATCAGAAAATAGCATTTATTATGAAGTGATATGAAATGTGAAATAAGTTTAACATCAAATGTTTACTATTTATTATCTAATGTCCACTAAATCTATTTAAACATTTTATATAAAATTACATTTAAAAAATATTTTTGCTGTTAATCGCTAATATTTACGTTGAGTTTGCATCAATTTTTATTTATTTATTATTTTTACTGTTTAAATAGTTTATAATTTCTATATATATTTTTATAATAATAATAATTTTAAAAAAATTAAAGCAAGTATTGTATCATTATTTGAAGTCTTTATAAGAATAATTTAAAAAAATTTAATATTTTATTTTTATTGATTAGATGTGAATTAAATATAATTCAAAAACAAACAATAAATAATATAAATATATTTAGTTATTATTTATATTCATTATTTATATAAAATATATGAAAAATAATATAGAGAAACTTTCTAGAAATTTTTTCTTTGCTAATTTATATCTAAAATAATATTTTGGTATTATTTAGTTTTATAATTTAGTTTAATAGTAAAAATTATTCACATAAATAATTAAAAATAAAAATGGAATAATAGTCGTTTAAATACATTTATACATACATTTATAATTAATGTAAGTATTCATATATATATATTTACAAAAATGTTAAAACATATAGCATTACATACATTATCAAATTTATATTTTTGTGTTTACAATAATTATATATAAAATTTTTAATATTATTATTAGATATTTAGTTTATTATGTGATTTATTAATTATATTATTTTATTAATATGTAATATAAAACGTAATAAAATTATTTATATACACCAATGTGAGATTTTATTCAAACGTATATGCATTTAATGTATTTATACTATTTTTTAATTTGAATGTTTGACTAAATTATTGAATCATTTATTGCATTAGCAATGAATTGTTGGAAACTTTTATTGAATTAATAGCCAAAAGTCACATTTGATTTATTTGCTATTAAATGGACGCTTATTAATAGTAACATTTACTATAAGTAGTGTTTCAAATGTAACCATTTTATATTATTGCTTAACTTAATTATAGCAATTTAATACAAATTTATAAGATATTTATTAAAATTTTATAAGATATTTACACAATTTTGTTTATGTTTTAATATTATTTATTTTATTAATTTAAATTATTTATAGATATTATATTAAATTTAAATAAACTAAGTATAATTAAATTTAAATAATTAACATTAGCTGTTAATTACATACATTTAAGGAATAATTTAATAAACTTTTTATTGCAAGAAACTGTCAAATGCAGGATAAAGATATTGTTTTATAGATTCAGACATTTTCTAAATAAATATCTATTTTATATCTAAAAGAGACGTTTTTAAGATAACGATAACATTATATAACATATATATATATCGGTAGAAATCTTTTTATAAAAGTTTAGCTGTCATTAAAAAATAAGATGAAACGGGTAGTCATATCCCACATCTCCTGTAATAAGAGTGACGTATTTATGACACAAAAAATGTCTTAATATTATGTTTTGTAGAGAATAGACTTCACAACTACTTGTATTGATTGCAATTTTCTTTCAACTATAACTATCACAACTCTAGAGCCCAAACTACTGGTGCGCGCTTTGGGAAGAATTGGTGTTAAATGCTATGATAGCACACATAGGATAGGATTCAAATATTTTTTTGTCTATTAAGACTCGAGGCTATTGAATGTCATAGTCATCGACTATTTGGTTCAAAGCAATTGATCAGTAGTTTGTACCAACAAATTAGGCCATCAATCCATGTGATTCACATTTATTCAATATTGCAATATTATAGACATTGTATACTGTATTTTTATACTTTATAAATATATAGCTTTACACACACATACACACACACACACACATATATATATATATATACTGTATACAGTAGTATAAAGCAAATATAATATATATTTGATATACATTATAAATATCGATAACCTAAATGACTTATCGCCTAAAATATCATAACATATCATACTTTTCTCTATTTAGACAAAAACTTAATATCCTTTGTATTCTTTATACTGAATATTATTCTCTATCTATTCAGTGCTTAAATAAGTTGCCTATTATTATGAGAGCACTCTATTACTATTGATTCTCAATATTATATAAATATTACACAAAAGTTTGCAAGTATTATAAGTATTATAAGTATTATTATGACTTACAGATAATTTCATTTTATTGCATTTTGTCTTTATATTTAACATATTATTGTTTTGATGACACTTTATATTTGCGTATAAATTAAATAGTATTTGAATTGAATTTATGATCTATTTTTATAGTTTTTTTGTATATATTACTTCTTTTTTAGCAATTTGACAATTTGTTATTATACATTAATTATGCATAATTTAGTATTTTACAATTATTGCATTAACAAATATTTCTATCACTCACACATACACACATATATATACTAGTACTTTAATGTATACAAGTATATATATATATACATTAAATAGTATTCATTTAAATTTAATACAAAATAACCTTATTTATAGTTTTGAATAATTTTATTTAAATATTTATTTGTTTTCTATTAATATTAAATTTAATTATAATATAATTTTAATTAATTAATTAATAAAAGTTCATCTACCAAACTTATAATCTTTGTCAATACTTGTATTAATACATTATATAATTATATAAATTAAACATTATTTATATATTTTAAAATACATCTAATATAATATAATATGAAAAAACTGTAGATTTTTAAGTCAGTCATATGAATCTATTAAAGAGTATTATATCGGTATATATACTGTATATTTGTCGAAATAAGTATTAGTTTTAGAAAAAATATTTATAGTTATTTTGAGCAAATCTTTTGTCATTTTATATTGACTACTGATTCTTAAGTAAATGTAGTTTACCTGCAAATACTATACTTTTTATTCTAACTATTATATAGTGTCAAACTATTATACAGTACAGTATGCATGACTTTGTAACTATAGAGGCTTTCACTTTGATGTCAATAATAGCTCTATCTATCTATCTATCTATCTATCTATCTATCTATCTATCTATCTATCTATCTATCTATCTATCTATCTATCTATCTATCTATCTATCTATCTATCTATCTATCTATCTATCTATCTATCTATCTATCTATCTATCTATCTATCTATCTATCTATCTATCTATCTATCTATCTATCTATCTATCTATCTATCTATCTATCTATCTATCTATCTATCTATCTATCTATCTATCTATCTATCTATCTATCTATCTATCTATCTATCTATCTATCTATCTATCTATCTATCTATCTATCTATCTATCTATCTATCTATCTATCTATCTATCTATCTATCTATCTATCTATCTATCTATCTATCTATCTATCTATCTATCTATCTATCTATCTATCTATCTATCTATCTATCTATCTATCTATCTATCTATCTATCTATCTATCTATCTATCTATCTATCTATTTTTTTTGTGTTCAAGTGATTCTCGCATCTTTTATATTGATGATCAACAGTATTGTGTTTTCATAGTATCTATTTATAGTAACGTCGACCTGAAAAGCAATTGCCTCATACAGTGAGCGCATAACATATAACACATATAGCAGTTGCCCTACATTTGGCAAATTGCAGTACTTTTTATGTTATTCTCGACCAAACATAAGTCACTTCGAGACAAGAATTTTTTACCAAATGTTCAAAATGTTTATATAATACATGTCTTTCTATATCTTTTGATTTGATGCTTACATTTGTACAAAATCTAAATTATAAACACTTAAATATTTTATGCATTTTTATGTAGTTTATACAAAAATAGCTTCTATTTTAAGGTTTCTTTTATTTTAGTAAATCCATTGCTACTATTAAACTATATATTTATTATTAAAATATATTCAAATATATATACCGGAATATATATGATAAATATATTGCTTATGATTTTTACAGTATATATATATAAGTGATTGAATGTGTATTTAAGAGTGAGTAAGAAACGAAACGAAGATATATATATAGTTTGATGTGAAATGTGAGCTAATTTTTAGGTCATTTGGTTTTGTGAGCTATTTTTAGCATTTAATTAATCTCTTCTCTCTTTAGTGCCATTTATAGAAAATATTTTGTTATTAATAGGATTTTTTCTAATGTTATTTTCTAATTAAGATTTACATTATTATCACAATTGCTATTACATATATGAATCAATATTATATATATATATTAATAGAAATTTCATTTCATTATATTTTAAAATTCAAGTATTTCTCTAAGTAATATTCAAAATTTATTTTACTAATTGACAAACAGTGGTTATCTTTTAAGGATTTCTATACATTAAAAATTTTTAAATAAAAAGCTTAGTGATTATTAACAATTTTTGAACTAATTTATATAAATTTAATTTCTAATTTTTGATGATTATAATGACATTTATTCTACAAAACTCTCATTTTTACAATAATTGTTTAAATTATCTAAAAGTCAATCGAAATGATTTATAAGTTAAAATTTCTTTTTTTATGAGATTTACCGACTGATAGTATCTCAGAAATTACAATAACTTTATTTCAATTTCTATTGATGTCTAAACATATGAATGCTTTTGGAGTTGTTGTACAAAATACTACTAATCTTATATTAATTGAAAACATATCAATTTATATTTCTGGTTATATATAAAAAACAAAATCAATTTTAACATATATATTTGGCAATTTTTAATAAATACAGTATAAATATTATATAAAATTATATTATTTTTTTTGAAAATTTTACAATAAAATTTGTTTACATATATAATTATTTAAATGAAAATGTATAATATAATTAAACAATTGTATATTTAATATCAGTTATGGTGATATGGTACCCGCCACTATAACTGGTAAAATAGTTGGTGGTGTTTGCTCACTAAGTGGTGTACTGGTCATTGCACTCCCTGTCCCAGTCATTGTATCAAACTTTTCACGCATTTATCATCAAAACCAAAGAGCCGACAAAAGAAAAGCACAAAAGGTTTGTTATTTTATTTACTATTTTATTAAAATTTATTTCATTTATTATTATTGTAATGTTAAAATAAAATCGACTATAAATAACACTTATTTATTAAAATTAAGTTATATTAAGATAATATAAATAAAGATTATTACTGTATTTATATATATATATATATATATATTAATTAAAAAATTATATTATAAGTTAACTTTAATTTTGTTAAAATATTAAATTGTTATTAAGCTGTATTACGATATTAATGTCTGGCTCTATTATAATCATATAAACTTTATATTATAAAATTATATTATATTATAAACTATATCTAGATGTAAATTAAATAATAATTATAGAATTGTTTAAATTTAATATTGTTTCAAAAAACATTTTAGATTATTACTTCACTTTTTAAAAAGTAATATTGTATAAACTTTTATATTCTGAATATCTTTTATAAATAAATTTTATGTAATAAAGTACACTCAAAAATGTGCTGAATTTAAATTTAAGTTTAGGTTTAAATTATGCCATAATTGTGTATATAAATCTATATACTTATATTAAAAAAAAATTCAAATGATGCTCAATCACTCAAAAAGTGTTTCCACAACAATATAACACAATTTGTTATAATGTAAGTTCAAAATATTGGATTTTTTTTATAATAAATAAGATGTTATAGTTGTCTATTGATTCAATTTATAATAATTTTAAGATAAGTTTAGGTTTTTTGTGTTTAATATGTCCGCAAAAATGTCACTAAAAATATTTTTTTATGTTCACTTATATAACTTGTATACAGTATATATAATCAATGTTGGATATAACTTTATATAATAAATTATTATAAAGTATATTGTAATTTTAAAAATTATATTTATAAATATTTTTAAACATACACAATATAGTAAAGAACAAGTAATATGATATACCACTAAATCATAACATCTAAATGATATTAAATTTTTATATGACTAATAATTTTTTGTTTTAAAATTATGAGTTTTGATCAATAAAATAATAAACTAGAATTCATTGCATTCTTATATTTTACATTCAAATATTTATATTTTATTTTTTTGACACTCAATCTAAATCATATGCATATTCAATACAAAGTTATTTTATTTAATATTTTTGCTTTACATATAGAAATTATTAATTTTTAATTTATTAAATAGCATAAATTATATAAACTATATTTTTAAATTTTGATGAATAAATTAAATAATATTAAAATATTTAATTTGTTAATATTAAAACTTCATTGTTTTTTGTCTTTACAATATTTTAATAAAAATTATATTAGGATTTAGTCGCAAACACTATAACTTTTATTTTTTTTATACAGTATATAATATTGAAATATCACAATTTACAAAATGTAAAAATTTTCGTTTATCTGATATTATAGCAACTTTATATTTCACCTATAATATAACAGTAATATGATTATTTAAACTGTATATACACAGTATATTATATATAATATATAATATTATATTTTAAACAGATAAAAACAATACATATAAAGACTGTTGAGCCTAAATAAAAGTTATTAAATTAACTATAATAATAGCTAATTTTTATATTACTTATTTAATATAAAATTTTTCCTCATATAAGTTGTTAGTTAACAACAAAAGATTTAAAAGAATATTTCAAGAAAAATTCTAAAATAAAATTTTGTTTATTGGATTTTTATTGAAATGCTCTAATAATGATAAAGTTACAATTTTGTTAATATGATGAGTTTTATTTTTTATTTATAATTTGAAAATTTATCAATAAAATACTTAACCCATATAATAATAATTTGAATTACAATAATAATTATATAAATTAATATAAATTATATATATATATATATATATATGAGATTTGTATTTAATTTTAAAGTAAAATTTTGAATTATACAGGTATTAATATGTAACATTATTTTTATTATAAAAAATATACAATTTTTATAAATTTATCATTTGCTTTTTTACATATACAGTAGTTACATAACAAATATTTTAATTACTTTACATTATTTATTATTTTTATATACAGTAGTTGTTTATTCTAAAAGATACCTTAAACTAAATGTAAATTTTAATTTATAATTAAAATATTATTAATGTATTATAAATATTGATAATGTTACATTTATATTTATTAATTAGTATACTAATTTAATTAATATTTATGCGTATTCTACAATAATTTAATTATATTATTAAACAAATAAAATAAAATGTAGACTATATATCTTTATATTAAAAATTATATTTATTACTGTATATATTACAAAATTTATTTTTAGTAACTATAATGTTTAAAATATATCTTTTTTAATTTTATAGTTTAAAATAAGTTAAAATTTTATAAATTAAATAAAAATTATAATAATTATTGATTAAATTGAAATATTAAATAAATTTATAGAAAGCACGTATGGCTCGGATTCGTATCGCCAAAGCTACGAGTGGTGCGGCATTTGTTAGTAAAAAGAAGGCGACCGAAGCCCGACTCGCCGCTCAAGAGGCCGGACTCGACACCGACGACTCACCTGAAGATATATTTGAGTTACAACATCACCATCTGCTTCAATGTCTAGAAAAAACAACTGTAAGTCAATTATATTTATATTATATGAAATATAATTTATTATTAAATCTATATATAATTATGTGTAACATAAACATATTAATTATTTAAATGTTGACATTGTATTGAATAGTTCAATAGATTTTAGTTGTATTACCAAATGATTGCTTTGCAATGTTTTCAAATCAAATGATACAACTATTAAATATAGGTTTTCAATGAAAAGGGAGGTCAACCTTATTTTGTGTTGACTTATGTCACAATAACTATAATATTGTATCGTTTGAAACATTTTATACAATACTTTCATTTGATTCATTGTTGCAAACGCTTTACTACTGAATGCGAGACATATATAAGGAAAATGTTATTTCACTTGACATTAGACTCAAAAATTGATAATCATTAGTATGTCATTTGGTTATTGATATGGGAGTAAATATAAAAGCATAATGACATGAAAAGTATATGTTTAATGATAAATAGCGATTAGGTTTATGTTAGAAACTACTGTACATTTATATTTGTATTTTCTATTTTGATTAATTATATATTAATCCTTATGTAATAATAAATGAATTATATTGTAATCATTGTTAAACTAAACTATTAATTATATAAAAACAATAGGATAGGGAGTTTGTGGAGCTTGAGGTGCCATATAATGGTCAACCAAATCGATTGTCATCGACACCACCGCTATCACCGGTAGCATCCATAGCCATAGCACCGGGAAGAACAGCTAGAAATATATTAAGTTCCTGTTGTGGAGGCAAAAGAAATTATGAGGTATGCCTTCAATATTTTTATTATTAATTATATTAATATATATTAAATAAACTTTTGATAAAATAAAATATTAAAATCTATTATCTTGAATACTTTATAAATAATCACTAATTAGGAATTTATGTTAAAATTACGAGAATTTATATTTTTAATTTATATTATCATTAAATGTTGTTCTTATGATTTACTGTATATACATATAAAATATATATATTATCTATCGTATGTATATTATATATTACTTTTGCATTTTACTAATTATAAAAATAAATTAAGAATGAATATAATTAAATTTGATTTGTGTAAATGTTATGCAAAGTTTACTTAATTAATTTTTTTATTATTTTTTATATGTTTTAGATTGTATTAATATTTACATTAAATTTTTAAATGTTTAATAATTTGAAATTATTCTGTACTGATATTATATAATTTGATATATTGACAAATTTATAAGAATTATAAAAATATAATATATTCAAATATTGCACTATTTATTACTATATTAATTTGCACATAATTTAAAATAATGGCAAACATTTCTTAATGACCCATAATATACAGTATAGTATACTGTATGCTTGATTTGAATTTTTATATCATTTGTTTAATTACATGTTTTAATAGTTTTCGCTTAAATATTAATTCTTAAAGAATTAATGAACAAAATTTTCTAATTATTTCTCATCATTTTTAATTACAACAAATTATTCTTATGTTTAATTGTAGACATCTTTAATCTCAATAAATCTTTAAATCTGTCGAATCAATAGTTTGCTAAAATTAGTTAAAATTATTTATATTTTATTGATATTAATTTCATTTATTATTATTTCATAATTAATTATAATAAATGATATAATAAAAATTTTAATCTAATTTCTAAGCATTGCCATAAGCTATTTTGACAATAAAATCAAAACAAATTAAAGGAGATCAACACTTATTGATTCCTTAAAATATTTTGAATTGTTTTGTTTATTTTGGTAAAACATTTTATAAATATAAGAGAATACTGTAAGACATATTTCAAATATTATATTTATGAGATTTTTAGCAAATTTACATAAAATCTATTCAAATCTATTGATAAATTAGAATATCTTCAAATGTTGACTTAAGTCCTATATTAGACTTTTAATAGATAAATAAGTGAAATTTTATTAAATAAGTAACAATTTTTAATCTATGTCATAATAATTAATTAAAAATTTTTTTAATACATTTTTATGTTTTTTTACTTAATTAATAAAATACATCAAAGAAATAAATAATTATTATTTATAATTATAAATATCATAGATTAATTTATGACCTTTCACAAATAAGAGAAGTTACTATTAATTTCTATATTGATTTGAATTATTTATTTTGCAGACATGTTAGTAGTAAACGTACAGAATTTTGTCCAAAAATAAATCAATAACTTTCTCTCTCTTTCTTTTTTTTCTTTCTTTTACTTATCTGACATTCCTTCTTATATTAATACATTTGTTTCCTTATTTTAGATTTTAATTAATACAGTATATAATTTTTTTTAAATTATACAAAATACCAAAAATCATTCTTATATTGTTAAAACATAAATTATTTTTTAATTATAAAAATTTTAATATAATTTTCTTAAATACATTTATATTTATAAGAAAATATATATTTAGAATATCTAGTATTAATTATATATAAGAATGTTTATATTATATGAAACTGAATTTTATATTGTATTATAAAATAGTACTGTATATTATAGTAATAGTCTTTCTGCATATAATACCGATAAAATGATAAATTTAGGATATATTTGTGATATGTATATGGTTTATGAGTTAATTAGTATATCTACTGGTGTTGTACTCAATTGATTTATTGAGTGCTATCATAATAGTGGTAAAAGTGATTTCATTGCTCTATAATAATAGTAGAGATTCTTTTGGGAATCGCTTTGCGATAGAATTCTCGCATAAGATGTGATATTCCTTGAAATGGTATTTACTATAAGTCAGAGTAAAAGTCAGCCAAACATTCAACAAATTAATATAGTTTTTCATAACTCTTATACTTAAACTGCAACAGTGCTAACCTTTACAATAATATAAATTATATAACAATTATACTTCAATGTAATACATTAGCCGCTATATTAAATAGCGACCCGTTTGAGCACCGGTAACATCACTTAATATTTTCAATAATCATTTATATAATTTCAATAATTATATGACATGCTTAAAATATCATATATAAATTTTAATATTTTATTGCATTTATCCTTTATTAATAATAGAATTTAATAAGTTGCATATTAAATGTTTTATTAGCTTTTTAATTTATATATTATAATTATATTATATAATAATTGACTTTATTTTAATAAAATTTTTAAATAACTTAAAAAAGCAAACTGCACTATTAATTTATTGTATATGACTATATTTCAATTTCATGATATTAAAAGTGTTTTAAATTAATCAATTAACATTATATTTATTATTAAAATAATAGTTTGTAAAATTTATGTTTAACCTGTCACTCATACTTTTGGTTATATTTATACATTATTATAGAATATATTTTATAGGAATATTTCATATCAACAATGCTTTACATTTAGATTTTTAAATATAATTATTTTTAATACAAAATTCAATATTGAATTAATGTCTCCATCTTTTGTCTAGAATTTAGTGTTTAAAAAATGTAAATTTTATTATTAATAGTTATTTTAGTAATTAATTAATTAGTGATAATTATTACTAATGACAATAAATGGATATAAAATTAAAATCTATTTTAATTTAATTTATTAAAAGTGATTAAATGTGTATAACATTTATTTAATACATTAATAAATGATTGATTAATATAAATATATTACTTTAACTGTAGAAACACAACGAACAGACGGAACAGGAAGAAGAAGAAGAAGAATTAAATGATTTGCCGATTGAGTCGACAAAAGCCGATCTCTATTCTGGTGCCAAAAATAGGAGCCGCGGTGTTGTCGTCGACCAAATAAGTGTCGGTCCATTGCACAGACGTTCCACTTTAAACAATCCAATGTCTACCAATCCCTTCAATAGTTCAAACCCGGGTTCGCTGTCTGGAACTGTAGCTATTGTTAACATACCTGACAGTACTGAAACACTATATTCGCAAACAGCCGGCACCTCATCGGCAGCTCCGGTGGGTGGGACTGGACCTGAATTAGCAATTGTTAAAATTTCGAAACTCTAACATAAAATCAATAAATCTTATTTAAATAAATTTTGAAACAAATTGTTATCTCTTAAAAGTTTATGAGATAATTACTTATAACAAAATCAATATATGAAAAGGTTTATTAGCAAAATGTGCACAAAAATTATTTAACAATTTGAAGATAAATGAATGTTATAGACAATTGATGTAATTAACAACAATTAAGGACATTATACTAAAAATAAAACTTTTTGACCAATGTTATAAGCTAATTATATGTTATTAATAGCCGAAATGCCCAAGGAGTATGGGAGGTGCCCTCTCAGTTGCCTCACAGCTCCCTCAGTGTATGCAACCTGGAACCTGGATATTATATACAATTTGTTATCTGTGTTAATTTTATTAAGTGAAAATTTATTGTTATTATTATAATTATTATTATTATAATTATTAACATTATTATACTTAACTTTTATATAATTCTTAAATTACACAAATATATATTTATTAAATATTATTCTAATAATAATTATTATTAAATATCGTTGTCATTATAATGTAATACAATTTTTTGTAAATTTTCAATACTATTAAATCCTTTAAAATACAGAACATTTATAAATGAAATTTATTTTTATCCATTTGTTATTAAATTGTTTTTATTGGTTATATTAAAATAACAAATCAAGTTTACTTTAAACACTATAATTAAATAATAAAATTAATATTTATATACAATATCATATATTTCATATATATTATATATAGATATATAAAATATATGCACATATGTTTTAAAATCACTAGATGTTTGTAGAGTTAATTAAATGTGTTTTAAACATAAAAACTCGCAAACATATAATTTCTTAATATATACAGTATATTAATTAAAAATAATTATTATAATTATAACAATTTAAAATAATGTTTTGTATATACATTATATTTATTTAAGATGAAACTATTATGCAGTTAAAACACTTTGCACATATTCATTACATTATTTAACTTGTTAATTTATATAAAATATAAATAATTTATTTAAATCAAAATAACAAAAAACATTGTCTAAAAATCAAATATTGTAAATATCATTGTAATAATTCAAATAAAAGAGTGTAATAATATTAAATAATATGTAAATTCATTATATAATTAATAATATGTTAATAAATTGTCTTGTATTAAAAAACAAAGTTTATATTTTATTTATTTTAAATTGGTTGCAACTAATTATTATTAATTACATTTTTATAAACTATAAATAAAGTATTATTATTAATATATTAATTTTTATTAGCTATTATTTTATTTATATGTAACAAAGTAATGGTTATTAATTTAATAATATTAATTGATCAAGGTAACACACCAATAAACAACTTTTGATAATCTATGAACATATAGTATCAATGATTTAAGTAAAATTAATTGATTACAAATTATCACTAATACTTAACATTGTAATAGTTATTGTAAATGTAAGGTTATAATGTTTAAATATTAATTTAAATTAACTATACTTTAATCATTCATGTAATGTAAAAATAAGATAAATTAACTATTATTACAGTACACTCTTATTTTTCCCATTTCAATATAGACAACAATATTATAAAATACAAATAGAAATAAATTTATATTAATAATTAGAATTATAATATAATTTATAATAAATTTAATTTTCAATATAATACTGTAATTATTATTTTGTTATTACTTTAGTCTAAACACATATATTTAACAGCCGTTAACATTGCAGTACATTATTAAAGGTATAAATTAAATGTTAATATCATATTAATAGACAAATTGATGTATTAATCATTAGGAGCATAGATCCGATACAATTGAATAATTATGAATTAATGAGTTAAAGTTGAAATCAAATAAAACAATATATTGAATAATAGCTTATAAGCCGAAATAAGCCCACAAACTTTATATTAAATTATATTATTAAATAAAAATTAAATAAAAAATATTTAAATACTCAAGTATTTTTTATCAATTATAAATAAAAAAATGAATATTAATTTAATTTATGAAAATTTAATTAATTTATTTATTATTTTTTTAATGGTCTCATTATCTAAAGCGATAAGATAGTTGCCTAACAATATTGTTATTATCAACATTCAAATGCTTCGGATCTGTGATTAGGAGTAACTCATAACTCATACCTACTGTATATTTAGTGTATTTAATATACAGTACATGTATTGCATAACATTGAATGACTTGAAGTGTAATGTCATATATGAATGTTTGTAATGTTTTGTTTACCATTTGATGTTTGTATGAATGCATTGATGAATAGATAAATGTATTGAAGTGTTGAATGCATTGGTTTTGAAGACATTGATTGAGACGAGTATTGAGTGAGACATCGATCAAGTCTTTCATATGTTAATCAATGGCAACGAAGACTCACCCGCCGATCGGTCGGCACCCGAACAACACATCAACGGCACTAACATTGAGGACAATATGATGGCCGCCATTACTGACGGCCTCAATGCGGGACAAACGGGTCAATCGACAAATGCATCGTCAGCTCAGGTGTTACTCATCTGCCGCAAGAACTCACATCCATTTACTGAAAGAAAGGTATATCTGGAGGGCTCGACACCCGTCAAAGTGGGCAGAGCTGTGGCCAGAAGTAAGCCGTCAAATGACAACTTCGTATTTGACTGCAAAGTGTTGTCCCGAAATCACGCCTCCCTTTGGGTCGACAATCATAAGGTTTCATATGATTATCAATAATTTAGTTAAAGATATTTATAACACTTTTACTTACATTAATCACTAAATATATGTATCAAATAGTTTTACCTGAAGGACACCCGATCCTCAAACGGCACGTTTGTCAATAACTTTAGACTCAGTCCTGCTAATGAAGAGTCGCAGCCTCGGGAGGTGTTTTCGGGTGATATCGTGCAGTTTGGTGTCGATGTGATGGAAAATCAACGTAAAGTAACCCATGGATGCATAATAGCGACTCTTAAGTTGTATCACAACGACGGCACTGAAGCCAAATGTCAAGAACAACACCAGAACTATACGACAAACTCAAACTATAGCACTGTTCACATCAGTTCACAACAATTACATGAATTGTCTCAATATCTTACCGAAGCTCTACATAGAGAGCAAATACTTGAAAATAAATTAGAGACATTAGAAAGGGTAGTCTCAAGTGCTCACGAGTCGGCCAACACGGCCTGGAAATCACTTGTTGAAGAGGACCGTCTACTTAGTCGTATAGAAACACTGCAAAACAAACTTGAAATATGTCTTAATTCATCTCAGATGAGCAATCAATCAAATAAAGAGAGTACTGATAGCACCGATAGCTCATCAGTTCAGGTATTACGCGAAGAAATGCTTAAATTAATTGACGATAAAGACAAGTACGAGTCTGCAGCCAAAGAGGCTATTCAGAAGACATTGGAAGAGAAATTAATTATTTTGACGCGACTGCATGAATATGAAGTGTCGATTCGTAGTCATGAAGAAGAATGCAATCGACTTCAAGGGGTAGTGACCGTCAGCGCTAAAGAGATTAATCGGTTGGCAAATTGTAACGATGAGTTGACCAAAGAAATTGAATCTTATGTCAATCGATTAAAGACTACTGAAGACCAGAAAATATCATTATTAGAGGTGACTAACAAAGAAAGAGAAGACTTAGAGGATTTGGTTGCAAAATTGAAAACTAAAGAAACAGAAAATAATGAAATTATAAAAGAGTTGAGAGCCGTAAGTGATTCTGCAAATCTTGAATTAGAGAAACTTAAGTTGCAATTGGATGTAATTAAACAAACGCAAAATGTGGCCAATGATGGCATTTGTGTCAATAATAATGTCTGCAACGAAACAATTGATAGAACTAATGATAATAACAATGCCATTAATGGTAATGAAATGTTAAGTGAAGAATTGCAAAAAGTGAAAAAACAATTAATGCAAAGCAATACCAAATGTGTTGAATTGAATGCAGAACTTAATGGATTAAAAGCCAAACATCTAAGCGGAAGTAGAGAAATGATTTGTGACAAACTTAGCGATAGTACTGTTACTTTGAAACAGTCAACTACAGCTATGGATCTACCGGTGACGGATCAAAATTATATAAATAATTTAATGGTTAATGGAGAGATTAACAGTACAAATGATATTACTATAAATGAGACATTAATTAATGAGGAAATTGATTATTGTGTCAAAAGTGAAGAGAAAGACATGAAAACACTGGATGACCAGGTATTGGGAACAGCATCACAGCAAACGTCTAGTCAACCATTGAAATCGGAAATTGATTTACTAAAAGGTTTTTTATTATAATATTAAATTAGATACTAATTTCATTTTTATATCTAATATTATTTTTGATTGTTTGTTTGTTTTATGTTTGTATTGTATGTATTAATATTTGTTTTGTCATTGATTTTGTCGATCATTTTAATGCATGTTTTTATATGAATAACAACTAACTAACAATAGAGTGGAATCGTATCTATGATTATAAGTTACGTCAAACTGCATGTGCACTAATCATACTTAAAGGTTTAGTAATGATTTATTTAGTCATCACTTTAACGTGCGATTTGTTTGTTTTGTCTTAAGATATAAGTCTATGATATTGTAATAATATTTTTAATTGCGATTATTATTAGAATTATTAGCCGAAACTCGAGCATCAAAGAAATCAACAGATGAAGAATTGTCGAGAACTGTCACTGAATTAGAGAACTTAAGGTCACTAACGAAGCAATTGTCAATAGAGTCGGATGAGACACAAGAAAAAATAGAGAAGACTCTCAAAGAAATTGATGAAAGAAATGCATTCATACAGACATTGAAAAATCAAATCAACGACTTACAAGAAAAAAGCAAACAAAGTATTCAAGAATATAAGCAATTGATGATTAAAATGAGTGATAGCGAGAGGTTGTTAGGTCTTAAAGACGATGAATTGAGTAGTTTAAGGGTTTTACTTGAAGAAGAGCGCAAAGTTCAGCAAAGATATGCCAATAATTATGAAATTTGTAAAAAGCAATTATGTGAACAACAATTGATTGCCAAAAATAGTCAAACAGAAGCAGAACTATTGCGCAGAAAAGTCTATTCTTGTAATGAAGAGTTGCGGACGTCGCGGAATAATTTGTCCACAAGTAGTACCATTGATGACAAAACTGTTAAAGAAAATGAAAAACTACAGAATGAATGCCAAACGTTAAAAACAAAATTACAAACAATTGATACACAACTTTATTCTTCTCGAACCGACCACCAGAAGCTTAGAGACGATTACGAGTATTTGCAGAAATCGTTTTTATTATTACAGGAAATTAATGGGGAACTGGAGAATAGGGGAGATAACTATTGGAAGGAACAATACAATGATGCCAAACAACAATTACAAACAATTGATTCAAAGGTATGATTATATTGTTAAACAATTTGATGATTGAATGTTTATAACTTATTTCTGTCTACCAATAGCTCACTTTAGCCAATAAAGAATTAGAAGAATTGAAACAAGAATGTGAAGAATATACTAATAATAACAAAGCCTTAAATGAAGATCTTATTAATGCCAACCAAGAGATTGACAATATATCATATCAGAATAAAATTGTAAGTTTTTATATTTTTATTATTTATTAAAACTTGTAATTTTAATTTAATTATAAAGTTTAAATAAAAGTCATTTATATAGTCATGTATTAATGAATTAAATATTATTTTTTATTATTAATAGGCGACTGCATGTGCCATCATTCCACTCATTATGTTATTGATTGCTGTTGTGATGGCATACTATCCATCCGTGTCTTCAGTGACTGGAACCAATGAATTGTGATTTTTAGCTAAGTGTGTATTACAATACCTGAACAGATAACAAAAATTATAGATTTTATTGACATAATATTTTTTTGTAAAATAAAATATTAATTAAAAAGCGTCTCTCAATTGGTGCCTCTTTTGTCTCCATTTCAACTGACACTTCCGTCTAATTTATATCTTATTTAATTACGATAATAGTAATCAATAATTTATTGTAATATATTTTTGGTGCAATTTTTTGTTTATAGCGTTATATCTTATATTTGTCGGTATTTTTATTCTTAAGTTTTTTTTAAAGAATAAAATATTTAAACATTAATTTTGATTTAATTATACTAATGTTTTATATTATATATTAGGATTTAGTTTAATTTGCATATATACTACAATTATTATATGTAGTTAATGTCTAATTTTTATAATACGCACCATTAATGCCAATAGTTATAATTTGTTAATTTTATTATCATATTTTAAGTCAATAATTTAAAAAATTATATTATTTAAATGATTAATTTATAAGAATGATTGATTGAATGAATGCATAAAAAATAATATTAAAGTAAGACTTCTATTTTTATGAAGTTTTTATATTTATAAATTTAATTACAATATTTATTTTGAGCAATTCAAATGTAGTATTATATTATCTAATATCCATTGCGTTATTTAATACAGTATTATGATAACTATGGAAAATGTATATTATTAAAATAATTGTTTTATAAATATTTCATAGTATCATAATGATTGTAATGATAAAGATAATTTTATATTATAATTGTTTTAATTCAATGCTTTGTTTGTTTTATTTTAAATATATTAGTGATTTGCTAATAGACTAATTTACTGGAATATAGATTATTTGAAATTATAATTTTGTGATAATTTTACATACTTTGTTTTCAAAATTGTTAATTTAAATTTCATTTATAATAATTTTAATGTACTATTTTTAGTAAATTTGTTTGTGTATTATGTAATATTTTCACAACCATAAAATTAACTATTAGTTATATTTCAAATTATAATAAATAAGACAAAATTAATAAATGATTTTTTAAAATAAAATGTCTAAGTTTATTTATTAAGTTATATACTGTATATTTATATTGACAATATTTTATAATATTATGCGGTATATAAGTTGCCGGTATAAATTTATGTTTATATACTACTGTATAATATAAATTTATACATAAATTTATATACAGTGTAAATATGATATTGTACTGATACTGTATATGTATTGTATACTGATTATATACAGTACAGTACAACAATTGATTATATAGTATAAGCAACTTTTAATGTTGGTTGTAATAATAAATTATATCATATATTTATTTTTTAGTATTAAATAAAATTCAAATTTTATAATTGTATTGTCATTACGAGCTAATACTACTGTATGACATAGCTGTTTGAAAAATGTCAAATTTTAAAATAATGTAATCATCAAAAATGTTTTTACTAATACACTAATACATTGTGTTTATGCTTATTTGAAATCACAAAAATTTACTTACTTTACATAATTATTTTTATAATATTCTCTCTCTCTCTCTCTCTCTCTCTCTCTCTCTCTCTCTCTCTCTCTCTCTCTCTCTCTCTCTCTCTCTCTCTCTCTCTCTCTCTCTTCTCCCTTAAGTTTCAATTACTCTCTCAATTCAATACTCTTAGTCCTTACTTTCGTCACATAATCTCATATCTGTATCCAAATTAGGACTGACTGGGAGTCGAAGCAGATTTACATAACATTAATATCTCTGTCTATTTAGTTAAGTGTTAACACTTTTATTATAAACATACCGTCTCTGTGTATGTGTTTGTAAATATAATATATAGTATAGTGAATACTAAGTAACTTATTTAATTGCAAATAAGTGTTCAAACGCATATACAATTGAATTGTTTGCAAAACAATTGATTTGTAAAAACTTTTTTAAAAGTTTGAAACAAATTTATAAATATTAAATTCAATTATTGAAGAATCCATTGAAAACTATTTTTTAATCAAATAAAAATATTGAAAATTAAAGTAATAATTTATTTCTATCTAAATCCATAATTATTTAGTATTTAATTTTTTCTACTATTTAATATCTTAATAGTAAAATTAAATAAACAACAAAAATTGTGTGCACTGTTGTGTAAAAACTTTGAATTATATAACGTAATCGCATACAATAATAAAGCAGTGATCCGTCACACATAAGACCAATAGTACCATTTGGTCCATATATTCATTGACAGTAAGCCATTGATTGTCACCAAAGCGTACATCCCTTTTATTTGCCAATTGGGTGTACATTAGATAATCCTCATCCTTGACAGTAATGCCTGTCGACGACAAACCTATTCGTAGAGGCAGTCGGGCCAAGACTGGAGACGATGAGGAAGACATCATGACGAAGGACTTGGCTGAAGATGCCGTCTGGAAAAAAATACAACAAAACACATTTACCAGGTATTCACACAAAGGTCTAATCCAATCACTTATATAAATATTTTTCATATTATTTGCTATAAAAAAAACAAATTTGTTAATATTATTAACTTTATTTTATTGCTGGCATGAAAATAGAAAAACTTTATCGTATTTTCTTTAAATATATATTATACTGTAGTTATTTTTTCACTTATGTAAGCATTTATATAATGTACAATATATTAGTATTATAACATGTATTATAGTTTCTATATATAGTATGCAAATGACCTTTAATTGAATAATAAACTTATTTAAATAATATTATTGTATAACAATGTATAACAATTAGATGGGCTAATGAACACTTAAGAACAGTCAATAAGTTTGCCACTGATTTGGGAACCGATTTCTCCGATGGTCTGCGACTCATAGCACTGGTCGAAGTGTTATCCGGCAAGAAGTTACCGCCGTATAACAAGAGACCAAAAGTCAGGGCACAGAAGCTCGAGAATGTCAATATTGCCATACAGTTCCTTAAGAATCAGGAAAAGATCCGTATTGTCAACATTGGTAAGTCTATAACATTTTATTTGTTTAATTCTAACTATCATTGATAACTATAATCACAAACAAGAAATAAATTATTAGTATTATAATACATTATATTATTATTATTAAATCATTTTAAGTGAGTTAGTGAGTTAGTGAGCGAGTGAGTGAGTGAGTGAGTGAGTGAGTGAGTGAGTGAGTGAGTGAGTGAGTGAGTGAGTGAGTGAGTGAGTGAGTGAGTGAGTGAGTGAGTGAGTGAGTGAGTGAGTGAGTGAGTGAGATAGATAGATAGATAGATAGATAGATAGAGAGAGAGAGAGAGAGAGAGAGAGAGAGAGAGAGAGATAGATAGATAGATAGATAGATAGATACAGTAGATAGATAGATAGATAGATAGAGAGAGAGAGAGAGAGAAAGCTGAGGTCAATAATTGTAAAATTATAATTTAGTTTACTATTGGAAACATTGATATTATTTTGTCGTATTTGCAATTATTTTCAATAAGTTAATACTTTTAATTTATTTATTCACAATTGGGTGTAGTTTTGAAATTTTAATTCATGAACAATGCATATATTGTATATTCTTTTTAAAATTCATTTCCTATTTGATATACAGTATAACATTATTATTATTATTATAAATTTTCACATCTATTGTCTAATTTACTATGAATAATGCATTTATCTTTGCCTTATATTTACATCCTTTTTAATTTATACAATAATTGTTAACATTTAATAATTTAAAATAAATTATAAATTTAATAATTGGCTTTGTTAAATAATATTGATTTATTAAGTTTATTATAAAAAAAATTATCTAAATTTTGATATTAAATTTATTTTGTTTAGAATTAAAGTTAAGCATAGATTTTATTTTTTATTATTAGAAATTATTTTTAGTCTTTTCTATTCATAACTTTTTTGAAAAAGTAATTAAAATATTTTCAAACAATAGTAGTTATAGTTATCTGAATATATTTAAGTTTATGTGTGTAATTCAATATTAGTTAATGTAGATAATTAGCATAACCCATGTACTAATAAAGTGTATATTTTAAACATAAGTTTATTTGGTATCACGAGATTTACAAGTAACGGAAATTTGTCGATAAACAAGGCTTTATGTCATAATATATAATCAATATATTATTGATGACTACAAATGTTGGGAAAAATAGTGTTTTATTTTTGTTATAGATAAACAGTATACTTATAATAAAAATAGCATCAATTTCTTGCTTAATGTTTATAATTTATTAGTAATATAATTTAAAGTTATAAACAATTTTAATGCATCCAATGAAAAACCATTTTATATATAAATTATATTTCTTTATTATGTGTGGTTAGAATTGTTTAAAAATAATTATTTTAGAGCCAAAAATACATTTCAGATTTGCTAAAAAGCTAATATTTATTTTATAACTTTTATTTTATATTTATTATATCAAGATTACTGTGTTAATTGTACACTTTATATGTGTTACTCAAATAAAAAAAAACAAATTTTGTTAATTTATGCATTCATCTTGATGTAAACACTATAAATGTATAATTAAATAAAATGTTCATTTATAATTTTAAATAAAATAAATAATAAAAATAAAAAATGATCTTATATTTGACAAAAAGACAAACAAAACAAATATAAATAAATTCCACAAAAAAAAAACAAATTAAGTTTTTAGTGAAAAGAATATTCTTTTAAAAATAATTTAAAAGCCAAGAAAAATATTGAAAGTTATACTAAAAACAACTATTTTTCATTTATGTAAATCAAGTCTAAATAATAAATAATTTTTATTTAATAATAATTATTATTATGTATATAACAGTAAATTTATATTTGAATTTCTATTTAAATGAATATTTTGACTAAATTATTATATTATATTAATAACTAAAAAAATAATTAAGCATATAGATATAGATATAGATAGTATAGATAAGTGATAAAATAAAAAAAAATATTTTAATTAATAAAATATAACTATGCTATATATTGTATAAACAATGTTTATTAAACATAATAATTAATAATTTTAAAATTATTTAAACAGATAGTATAGATGTAGTCGATGGAAAAGTAAAGTTAATATTAGGTGTGATGTGGACATTGATTTTACACTACTCTATATCAATGCCGATGTGGGAGGGAGAGGATGAGTCAATGTATAAGGAGAAGGGCGGACCCACACCGAAGCAACGTTTGCTTAAATGGGTTCAAAATAAAGTACCCGACGTTCCCATAAACAACTTTACGACTGACTGGAACAATGGTAAAGCTATCGGTGCATTGGTTGACGCGTGTGCTCCCGGTCTCTGTCCTGATTGGGAACGTTGGAAGCCTGAAGACGCTCTTAAAAATGCTACGGAAGCCATGAAAACTGCCGAACAATTTTTAAGTGTTCCTCAACTCGTCACACCTGAAGAACTTACAAATCCCAAAGTGGATGAGCTTTCAATGATGACATATTTGGCACAATTTCCAAAAGCAAAACTCAAGGACGGAGCGCCAACTCGTCCGCGACATAATCCTAAGAGAGTCCGATGTTATGGACCCGGCATTCAACCAACTGGTGTCAATGTCGGCGCTAAAACTAGCTTTACAGTCGACACATTCAGTGCCGGTCAGGGAGATGTCCAGGTCTTTCTTCAGGATCCGTCGGGCAAACAGACTCCGGTTGAGGTCAAGTTTAATGACGATCCGGGAAAAACATATACCTGTTCCTATACTGCACAACAAGAGGGGGCACACAAAGTATGATTTGCATTACATTTAATAATTATTAATCAAAAACAAAATAACTGACACAACTTAAAGCTTTACTTATAGCATAGTATTAATATTTATCGAAATGCTTAACATTTTTTAGAATATAATACTGTATATTCATATATAGCATCTTATTATAAATAAGTTATTGAAATTTTTATTAAAGCACAATTGCAATTGCAATTTCATATTGATTTTAATTTTAAAATTTAGTTTATATTTTATTCAGATATTTTTTGTAATTAATAATTTTTATAACAAAATGAAGGTTATTGTAAAGTTTTCTGGTAAGGAAGTGCCGAAATCACCCTTTACTGTTGAAGTCAAAGGTGTGGCTGGAGATCCATCTAAAGTCAAATGTGACGGACCAGGTATTAAGCCTACCGGTACTAAAGTCGGAACGCCTACTACTTTTAATATTGACACTAAAGGTATTACAATATTTTTTATGAATCATTATCTATTATTAAATTAATAAATTGTTAATATTTGCTTTAAATAAATATAGACGCAGGTGTTGGACAGGTTGACGTACAGATAACTGATCCAAAAGGAAAGACAAATTCTGTACCACTTCGAGTTAGACAGGATGACGACGATCCTTCAAAATATAAGTGTGAATATGCACCTCAATTGGAGGGTCCGCACAAAGTTGAGGTGTTATTTGCTGGTAAACCAGTACCTCATAGTCCCTTCAATGTGAAAGTTGCACCGGCATGTAATGCTGAAAAAGTGAGAGCACTGGGACGTGGTCTTCAACCTACTGGCATACGTGTCAATGATAACGCAGAGTTTAAAGTATTTACTGAGGGTGCCGGAGCAGGAACTCCTGAAGTTAAAGTTTTGGGACCTGATGGACAACCAATTAAAGTCAGTGTTAGAAAATTACCGGACGGTGTGACATATGACTGCGATTATAAGCCTCTTAAAGAGGGACGTTATGTAGTGGTTGTTAACTTTGCGGGTCAGGAGATATTTCAGAGTCCGTATGAAGTACAGGTATCGCCGATGAAAGAATCAAAAGTAGTAGCGTATGGACCCGGTCTTAAAGGCGGTGTTGTTGGACACCCGGCGCGCTTTACTGTAGACACAAATGGAGAGACGGGAACACTTGGCTTCTCTGTTGAGGGACCATCGTATGCCAAAATTGAATGCAAAGATAACGGTGACGGTTCGGCTCAAGTTGAATACCATCCAACAGCTCCGGGAGAATATGCTGTTCATGTGACCTGTGATGGTGAAGATATACCTAATTCACCATTTATGCCAATGGTTATACCCAAAACTGATTATAATCCCGATGCTGTTGTTGCATCTGGACCTGGATTAGCTCCTAAAGGTGTAGTCATTGCAACGCCAACTGAATTTTCTATTGACACAAAAAAAGCTGGAAAAGCGCCGCTAGACGTGTCTATTATGACTAATTCTGATTATAAAGAATTGCCAATTAAGTTGACCGACAATAAGGACGGAACATTTAAAGCACAATACAAACCGGATAAGTTAGGCAAACATACTGTTCAAGTCAATTATGGTGGCGTAGCTGTACCTAACAGTCCTTTCAGAGTCAGTGTTGGTGGTGTTCCCGATGCTTCTAAGGTTACAATTTCATTATACGAAACAAATTTCTAAAATCTTATTAAATTTTAAATAACTTATTTTAAATTGTAGGTAAAGGTATCGGGACCGGGGGTCTCTAAAGGTGTTAAACCAAAACAGCCAACACATTACATGATTGACACCCGACAAGCAGGTGGTGGTGAATTGATCACAACTATTAAAGATGAAAAAGGCAAAGATATACCAATTAAAGTTACTGACCTCAACAATGGTCAATATAAAGCCGAGTACACGGCACCTGCACCAGGAAAGTACAAAGTTAGCACTACTTATGCCGGTAGACCAGTACCCGGATCACCTGTTGATATTAAAGTTACGCCACCCGCCGATGTCAGCAAAGTTAAAGTGGATGGACTCGAAACAAGTAAGTTATTTAAATGTTTTAATCTACAAGTTTTCATGTTTTCTAAATACTTAATGTACGGTATAATTACATTTTGAAACAACAAACATATCAATTAATTTTAAAGATTATCTATTGAATGAACATTTAAAACATTTTTTAAAAATTTAATAAGTGTTATTTTGTCATTTATTTTGTTACAAAAATTTATTTGTAAAAAAATTAATTTAATTTAAAAGAAAGATATTGATGACCGGTTACTGACACTTCTTAATATAGTTGCATTGGTCGACACATTGCAACAGTTCCGGGTGGGCATCGATACAGATAATTGTAATGAATTTGATGAGATATCTGTGATAATAACAAATGTTGACAATAAGTCATATCTTCCAAATATCAGTTCAACTTGTGATGGTTTTCTAGTCAATTATATACCACATCAATGTGGATACCATACCATTTCAATCCTAATTAATAGCATCTATACATCTCATTCACCATATTATGTATATGTCTATAAAAATGAAACGTCTGATATATGTGAGTCTATACGCGCTTATGGGCCCGGACTAAGTCACGGTACTGTCAATAAAGTATCCCAATTCCTCATTGACACCAAAAATGTTGACACTATAGCAAAGATATCAGTTGTGATTGAAGGTCCGTCACAAGCAGTTGTTGAATATGACGATAACGGTGACGGCACCTGTTCTGTCACATACCTGGTCACAGTTGTCGGCAAATATTACATATCAATTACATGTGATGACAAAAATATCAAATCATCTTCTTATATATCATTAATAAATAGTGGCATTTGTTTCTGAATAATAATATTAGGTCATCATTTACTGTACACTTAATTATAGCCTAATAATCAAATATTTATTTTAAAAATCTATTATTTTAACATATTTTTAAATATATGATATTTTCAATTTATGAAATATTCATTGTATTCAATTGTATTAATTAATTAATATAATTGTTTAGAAAAAACTAGAATAAATGAATGCACAAAACATTTCATTAATAGAAGTTTAATCAATTTTGTTGTTTATTTAAAATTTTGATTTTATTTATTGATTAATTATTTATTTTGATTTTGGCTTCAAAAATACGCTAATAATATAAAATATTTGCCCCCAAATCATAGACCAGTTTGTCAATTGTATCAATTCATTCGTTGTGAATGCCAGTGATGTTGACAAAGTTGGTGACGGAGCTGTTGAGCCCATCATCACTGGTCCTTCAGGAAAGAAGATTAGCACTCAAGTCGACAATAACAATGACGGCACTTATAAAGTCAAATATATATTACCCGATGAAGGTATTAGTATTATATAGAATATTTAAATCTAACATTTTTTGTCTATAATTTATTAGGCGAATATAACTTTGATGTTAAATTTGATGGTCAGCCCATACCAGGGGCATCACCGGTCACTGTTAAAGCCACTCATGGAGCCGATCCTAAAAGAGTTAAAGCTTATGGACCGGGACTTGAAAAAGGATTTGTTAACCAACCAAATCAATTCACTATTGAAACAGTTAATGCGGGAAATGGAGGAATTGGTCTATCAGTTGAAGGACCTAATGAAGCAAAAGTCATGTGTAAGGATAATAGAGACGGTACCTGTACTGTGGAATATATACCCGATGAAGGAGGTGTCTATGATATTGCCATCAAGTTTGCTGATAAAAATATACCAGGTATAGTTTATTAAAAACTATTATTCTTATTTCGTAACATAATTCTAAAATACTGTATAACAGGAAGTGTATTCAAAGTCCCGGTGCAAAGTGAAGTGGACGCCTCAAAAGTTACTGCTTCGGGTCCAGGAGTTGATCCTAACAATTGTAGAGCCACCGCATCACTACCTTTCAAAGTAAATGCCAAGCGATCAGCTAAGGCTCCCTTAGAAGTTGCGGTCACTTCAGATAAGGGACCTATCGCTCAAAAACCAGAGATCAAAGATAACAAAGACGGCACTTATTCTGTTAGTTATGTACCACCACCTGAAGGAAGTAAATGTGATGTCAAAGTCACTTATGGCGGTAAAGACATTGAGGGCAGGTATGTTGTAATCTTTGATTAGATAAAAAAGTATATAATTTATTCAGTTTTTAAATAACTCATAAAACGAATATATTTTTAGTCCATTCAAAATGAAAGTTAAGAAGAAGTCAGAGCCTAAAAACATTAAGCTTTCGGGCGCCGGACTCGACAAGAAAGTCACAGCTAGTGTTCCACAAGAGTTCACAGTTGACGCCAAAAATGCGGGAATCGGTGATTTGGATGTCCAGATATTAGGTCCCAATAAAAAACCTATGAAATATTGGAAGACTGATTTCCACGATGGCACTTTCAAAATTAGATATGTACCCGAAGATGTCGGCCAACATCTTATTTCTGTCAAATATGATGGCGAAGAAGTACCAAATTCACCGATTACTGTCCAAAGTGAACCAACTGGTGATATCAACAAAGTTGAGATAAAAGGTAGAAATTGGGATATTTGATAAAATAATATTTATTAATAATAATAATAATTAATAGGAAAATTCAAAGAGAAATTAGCGCCAAATGAAGAATATTCACTAACAATAGCTGCCGATAAAGCCGGTGGTAATGGAGAGGTGACCTGTCGGGTGACACGAGTTCATTCACAGTCAGAGGCTTCTGAGTCGAGTACCGAACGCACCGAAACACTTCCTGATGGTACCATTCGGATCATTAAAACAACTAAACGTGAGACCAAAACGGCCACATCTAAAGAAGTTCAAGAAAATGTCGACTGCAAAGTCGTGCCCAAAGGTGACGGCACTTTCAGTGTTAAATATAAGGTCCGCGATCCGGGAGAGTATACCATTGAGGTTAAATACGGCGGTCAAGTCGTGCCCAATGGTGTGTTTAACTTTACGGTGAGTTAGATAGGAGTTATGATTGTGACAACTCTACCAAATTGACACACAATTTGTGTCAAATCTATTCAATTGTATTACTATTTTATAAACTTATTTAATCTATTATTTTCTAAACCTAACAACTATTATTAGACACAAATTACACAATTCATTGAATACGCTATTTATTGCTCTTAAATATTAAGCTAATGTATAAGAATCTTATATTTATTTTAATTTTTATATTTATAAAAATGCCGGCCTTTTGCTACTTAAAATTTATACTATTGCTTAACATTTTATTTTCTAGATTTAATTTAGATATAAATAATTATTAATAAATTAGAGCTCATTATACATTTAATAATATTCATTTGATGGCATCATTTTACTAATTTTTCATTTATTGATAATCACTAATATACTATATTAGTTAATAATCATTGATATTTATTAAATAATTAACTTATATTTTAAATTAACTATTTATTATTATTATATATTAAATATAATAATATAATTAAATTATTATATATCTGATATTATATAAAACAAATTTACATTTAATATAAAAATAAAGTGCCATCAAATGAAAAACTGATATTAAATTTATAACTATTGATCAAAAGTAAAAAAAGAGTTAATCATTTCAATCAAATGTAAATATAATTATTATTTAAGACTTGATTTTCATTGAAATTGCACTCATCTTTGGTCTGGTATTTGGTGGCGAATGATCACTACTTTTATCACTTTTTCTATAATTATCACAAAATTCCAACTAATTATCTCTTAATGTCTTAAATTTTTCTAATCTGATGACATTGTAATGATATAATGTTAAAGTAAATAAGTTTATTTGCCAGCAAATGGACAGCAATACAATGTCAGCGAGTGTTATCACCCCATCGGGTCTTAGGGATTATTGTAGTCTTAAACAACTCGATAACTGTCAATTGGCGGTCGTATTTGTGCCGAAACAAAGTGGCAATCATTTAGTTAATATAAAGCAATGTAAACACCATATAATGGGCAGCCCTTTCTCAATGTATGTGTGTGACCATGAAATAGGTGACTCTTCAAAGGTTCGCATTACAGGAAACGGTATCAAATCAGCCAAGACTTGTATGTGGAATAAGTTCTTAATTGACACTAAAAATGCTGGCTATGGCTCACTTGTTATCTCTTTTGATGGTCCGTCCAAAGTATTGATGGTTCAAAAAGATAATAACGATTGCACAGTCAGTATTACTTACCGCACAGCAAAACCTGGACTTTATGTGATAAATGTAAAGTTTGCTGAAAATCAAGTGCCGGGAACTCCCTATACTATTAATGTTATTGATAGACATTTAAAACAATCATAAAAATAATTGACAATTTAAAAATAAAGAAATAACAATAGAGATTATAAATATATATATTTGTTTTTAATATATTTTTTATTATATATATATATATATATATATATATTAAAACTATTTGATTATAAAATATAATTAGAATATACAGTGAAGATTTATACAGATTTTATATTAAACTTGAATTAATTAATTCAAAATTATAATTAACATGGACAAATTAACAATAATATTTAATATTGCAATAGCCAAAGTAACTAAAATGTTATTATTCAAAATACTATACAATGTTAAAAGTATGTGTTAATTTGTCCATGTTAACTTTATATTTGAATGAAATAAATCAAGTTTAATATCTGTTCATAAACTTTATAGCCGTTTTTGTCGCAATGTAAATTTGTTAATAATTTGTTAATAAAATAGTTAACATATTGACAAAAATCAATTTACAATTTGTGTAAATTAATTATTATTAAATGTATTTAATGTTTATTAAAACTTAAATTTTGATATATTATTGCAAACTTAAGTTAAGTCACTTTGCAATACAATTTCAACACTAATTTACAAATACATAATACTGTATATGCATTTTCATTATATTGTACACTATTGAAATTTATTTATAAAATACAGTATAATACGCTTTATTTGAAAACTTAATATCACATCAAAACAGATATATAGAATTCACAGTAATATACAAACCGTTATATTAAATAATCATTTGTCGCAATACTTATTTACAATCAATGAAACAAATTTCAAATATAGCACAAAAATAAGATCTCATATCATTTTGTTGGTCAATCAGTAGTAAATATCACAGATAAGTCATAATATATTTGTCATCGAGTTTTAGCAGCACTTACCTGAGTCTACACAACACATGAGCCCCGCTTTGAATTTCAAATATAATAATTTCAAGTAAAATATCACAAAAATATTATAAACTCATTAATTATTAATCAAACTAATAAACGATTCTTTTTTAACAACAATTAACACAAAACACAATCACTTTAAATCATATGATTTGATGTCTAATTTAATTAGAAATGCATATCAAATCTCACTTAATTTATTCATACATTTCAACACTAATTGCCTGATGACAACCCCTTAAACACTAGTAATTAACAAAATATTACCAATCATTCAGTGATTTCTCATTAAAATAGGGTTGAGATATGATTTGTACAAATTTCACTCATTTGTATACCTTTTTTTGGATGTCATTTATATCACAAATGAACACACCTTTGAAACACAGAATCACTAAACAATTGATAAGACAACACATCATTTAACCTACAATTATATCCTCTTATTTAAGAATTTATCTAATATTCAAACGATAAAAAATAAAATGCAATAAATAAATAAATTAACACAAATTTTTGCCACAAAACCAATCTATTTTCACTTAAATTTCATTAAAATTAATGACACAATTTTCTTTAATTTTGTTGATTTAATATTCATTTAATTTAAACACAATCATATATCCAAATCTGATTCACAATTATAATGTATAACAATTAAATGTGTCTTCTCTACACTTAATTCACTGATCAGTGATGTCTTCATGTCTATAAATTAATCATAAAAACACTTTAAACCTATACTTGCAATATATAAGATATTATAGTGTTATATATAATAATGCATATATATTTATATATTGTATATATACTGAAGTTTAAGTAAACATTAAATATTGATATTTTAGTTATCAATAATACGATAATAGTAATTATAATAGTATTATAATAATAATGATAATAATTAGCAAATAACTAATTTGAAGACAATATTTGTTCAAAAGAGCACAAGAGAGACATTTTCACTAAATATATTTTAAATTAACACAAATATTCAAATAATAAACGTGTGGATCACAAATAGTCACATCAATTGGTACCGCGAACCACAACCACCACCAGATAGTCTTCTTTAAGATTAGTCTCAATAGACAAATTAGGCGCCACTTTCTTTAGCTGATCAATAGCATAAGCACAGGGAGGAAACAAATACAACACTCCCTTTATGTCGACATCCTTAGCACTGGTCAATGTTATAACACCGGCGGCATCTTTTTGCTTCAAATATGTTACCAAATTCTTAAGTGGTCTCAACTGAATAGCACTTCCATCTTCAGACAGTTGTCCTGTTGGTTGACTTTGTGCAGCACCTCCTGTTGTAAGAAGCAGGCAATAACCTGAAGAGCCAGCTAAAGACATACGACGACTCACATCATCCAACTTTCCTCTTTCAAGTCTTAAACGTTGTGTAATTCTAAGCACTGGTTGTTCAGGATTTGAGTTGTCTTTCATAAGTAGATCCACGAGCTGTGAATCTCCTGCACAATACAACATACGAGATGGAAATGAACTGCTTTTAAGAATGAGTCCGCCATTCCAAGCGGGTGGACAACATTTTGCCAACTCTTGAATTGTCAACACACTGTCACTGACAGTCACTTTAAGACCAACGCCATTATCATCCTTTCCATTGGTTTCATAATTTGGAGATAACAAAGAATGTCTGCGCGGAGATAATGACCTGTCGTCTCCAGGTGTGGGCGAATCTGTATTACGACGTTGTCTTTTAAGTGTCGGTTCTGCGTCCTCTGGAGTACGGCGTCGACGTCTTTCAGCATTAGGAGAGTATTGTCCAGCAGTAGTACTGTCACCCCACCACTGGTCATAATTATTATTATTATTTGCTGTTGATATCACTTCACGTTCTCTTTTTATCTCTTCATTAAATTCTCGGTTTCTATTTTGTGGTGTATTTCTTTCAAAGGACTCATTATAATCGCCAGCATTCTGCCCATACTTAGCTGTATGCGCCCAATCATCTCCATTATCCTCTTTGCGAGGACCAGTTGGTGTCGCATATTGGTCTCCAGCGCCTGCATTAACACCTGTTCCATGTGATGGTGAAATGAAAGAGTATGGTCCGGGATCAGCGTAATCCACGCGAAGACGTTTATCGTGTCCGCCCAATGGAAAGCCTCTCATCTTAGAACAGGCAGAGTGTGCGGCATCAATGGTGTCGTATTGGATGTACGCATGATTCTCTCCCCTAACAAAATCAATTTTCCTGATGACACCAAACCTGTCAAACTCGGTGGCCAATTGACTCGGCGAAGTCCACGGACCCAGACCTCCGACCCATATACGTGTAGTAGGCGTGGCTTTTCCGTAACCTATTTTACATTGAAATTTGCCGATATACTGACCGGACATCTCAACCTTTGACCGATAAGCCATATCCAAGTTCAGGAACTTTATGAATGCAAACGCATTTCCCTCTCCGGGAGGATGTCTCTTAATGTCGATGTCCTCTACGTCGCCATAGCGCTCAAAAATACGCCGCAAATCCGATTCACTTATGTTTACCTCAAGATTACCGACAAACAAAGTACGCGTTGACTTTTCGTCATCTTCTGGAGAAACATGAGTTAAATAATTTGGGAACTTCTCCTTCTTGGAATCTCTGTGTTGCTGACGATTACCACTTCCGCCTCCTCCTCCACCACCACCACTGCCTCCTCCTCCTCCTCCTCCACCACCACCAGCTCCTCCTGGATGATGGTAATCATTACGCATAGGATGCATTTCCCGGTGGTTATCTCGATGAGGCTGCTGTACCCACAATATACAATACAATCAAAACAAAACTTATGGTAAATATATTCAATCATACGATCCATACCTGCATATTATATTTCATGTCATTGTTCCTTCCGGGTGGTGGCGGCGGTCGTCTTGGCATTGGTGGAGACAAAGGTCGAGCGTTAGTTCGACGAGAACCAGACATCTGATAGTCGGGAGTAACTGATCGTCTTCTGGGCAGTTGAATGGTTCGGTCATAGATGGGGTCAATGATAATCTGTTTGTCAAACAAAAAGAGTCGACTCTTTGCATGTCTGGCATCGCGGGCGTCATCATAGTTGCTAAAGTAAAGGTATGCGAGTCGTGTGTTGTCGTCGTACACCAACTTTATGTTTGGTTCACCGAATCGATGAAACTCACGATTCAATTCACTTCGCACTTCATTATCGCTGTATTTGTTACTTATGTTTGAGACACACAATATCTTATAGGGCATTGACATCCCAGTGCCACCACCTGAACCATCAGTGTTTCTGTGATGACCACTATTGTTAGCCGATGAATGGTTGCGATAATCATCGTAATTGTCTCGTGGATTCATTGTCCTCATCGATGAAGAGCTCATAGGACTGTCACGTTGTGGTCGTCGTCTCGTGTCAGCCATCATTGGACTCTTAAGTCTTCTGTGATCTGGTCTTCTATGATCTAGTGGTGAGTGTTGACCGGATCGGTGTCCGGTAGGGCTATCATCATATCGGGGCATCAGTTGGTCTCACTTATGGTCACAATTGTCTTGTATTCTTGACTTATATTCAATCACTGTTTCACTCAATTAGTCACTCAATCGCCATATTGTCTATGAATTTGTCACTCAATGGCACTCATTATGTACTCAATTGAGTCAATACTATAGACTATATTATAGAGACATCTATTGTACAAAACAGACAATACTTTGTTTTGTATTAAATTACGTTATGTTATACACAAGTCATTGTAACTGAAGATCATTTGATGACCAGTTGATCACCAAAAATGTCTGAATTAACAGATCAACAGAAGGCTGACATTGAAAGGAAACGACAGAATGCTCTTCTCTTAAGACAACAAAAGTCACAAAAACTATCGACAAATGAATTGTACTCTCAGTCAGTACGAGATAAACAATCGACAGCTGGACTCGACTCTGGCGGAGGATTTCTCATCGATAGTGATTCAGATGAAGACACCATTTGTCCGGCGAAAACATCAAACAATGACCAAAACGATGATATGAATGAAACGATTCAATGCATTGATTGTCATCAAGATTTCAATAAATCTTTTTTGATGAAACACTTCTCTTTAAAAACTTGCGATTTGTGTAGAGATCTTAAGGATAAACATTCATTGATTACAAGAACTGAAGCCAAAAGTGAATATTTATTAAAAGACTGTGATTTAGACAAAAGAGAGCCATCGCTCAGATTTATCGCGAAGAAAAATCCGCATGAATTTGCAAAAGGAGATATGAAACTGTATTTGAGATCACAGATCGAGGACAGGGCTCTCCAAGTCTGGGGCAATGAAGACAATCTGATGGATGAGAGAGAAAAACGACTTGAAATGAATAAAAGACGTAAAGAAAAACAATACGAAAAGAAAATAAAAACTTTACGAATGACTGTTAGAAGCAGTTTATACACTAAACAAAGTGACAATCATTGCCATGACTTCGATGACGAAGTATATAATGAAGAACAAGAATGCTATGAAAAGACGTGTAAAAGTTGTGGATATATTGATAGTTATGAGAAAATGTAAAAATCGATGTTTCATATTAAGTAAACTATCATTTTTAACAACATTTTTATTTGAGAACAAATCAATAATTCTTGCATTATTTGAGAATATTATCATTAATTATAGTAATAATAGTCTATAACATAATATAATATTGTGATAATATAAATGTTGATTTAACTGTAGATTATACATCCAATTACACACACAATGTATACATATTACATAATATTTAGATTTTATATAAAAAATTATAAAAAATAAAAAACATGCCAATCGTACACAACTTTATCAAATAAAAAAAGTATATAATAATTGCATAAATTCTTAAAAATAAAATTATAGAAAACAATTAATTGATTATATATATCAATATTATAGTATCAATAGTATCACCAAATTTGTTAGAAATCAATAATAATATAAAACACTTATAAATGTTGAGATAGTCTGGTAGTGACTAATCAGTGGCATTAAGAACGGCTTGAATGTCGGCATCCATTTTGTTGGGAGAAGTGATTGGAGCGAACCGTTTGACGGGAACTCCGTTTTTATCGATTAGAAACTTAGTAAAGTTCCACTTAATCGAGTTACCGAAAATACCCGACTGCTGCTCCCGAAGCCATTTCCACAACGGATGAGCGTTGTCTCCATTCACATCTACTTTACTGAAGAAGTCATAGCGAGCGTTGTTCTTCTTAACAAACTCTTTGATGTCGACATCACATCCCGGTTCCTGATTGAGGAACTGATTACAGGGAAAGGCAAGTATACGGAGACCCTTCTGTTCGTAGGTTTCGTACAATTGATTGAGTTCTTTGTAATTGGTTTTAGTGAATCCACAATTGGACGCAACATTCACTATAATCACCACAAAACCAGAATATTTCTCAAGATTTACATCATTGCCATCGATGTCTTTAGCAGTGAATTCATAGATAGTTTTGTGTTGAGTTGCGGATCCGTTAGTAGCCATCGATTAATGTTATTTGTATGCCTTGTCTTTAGCTGACAATTGATCTAATAATCTGATAATACAAAAACAATTTTATAATAAAACAATTAAAGCAATTGTTTGTCAAAAACAACATTTAATTATTACTTTATTTTCCTTTAAATAAAACAATTTTTTTATTAATTAATAATTGATTTATTTTTGACTCCAAATCTAATTATTAAAACTCTAATAAAATGCTCGCAAATAACGTTACACTACTGTACTGTAAATACAATTACAGGTAATATATTATAATAAATTAGTTAATTATTGTAATTAAAATAACTACAGTATATTGTATTAACTAAATGTATTAAATATGTATTTAAGTTAATTACAGATTTTCATAATATTTTCAGTTGTATTACTGTATAATACTATATTAAATACTATAAAATTATTTATATAGAAATTATGAAAACTATGTAATGGTAATAATTATTTGAATTTTTATAAATTATTTGTTAGTTATTTTTCCTATAACTCATTATAAAACAATTTATTGTTATAATATAATATACTAAGTCATCTTATTTATATAACAGTCAATATTCAAAAAAAAACTTGAAAAGTTTTGTTTTCTGAAATCTATATGAGCCTTTTTAGTGTGTGTGTGTGTGTGTGTGTGTGTGTGTGTGTGTGTGTGTGTGTGTGTGTGTGTGTGTGTGTGTGTGTGTGTGTGTGTGTGTGTGTGTGTGTCTGTCTGTAGCATTTCATTTTGCGAATTTTGAAATTCTGACTTCAGATTCGGTTAAAGGACTACTAATAATCTATTGAAAAGTTGTATTAAAATTTCGATATCTCTTCGGGAACATAGAGAAAATGGCGGCCAAAATAAAAAAAATTTTAAGAAAATTTTTTTTAAGTATAGATTTGAATAAAGCATCAAAAATAAGCATAAGAAATATGCATTAAAATTTTGATATCTCTTCGGGAACATAGAGGAAATGGCGGATAAAGTAAAAAATTTAGGTAAAAATTTTAACATTTAGATTATCGTTTATATAGAGCATCAAAAATAATATATAATAAATCAGCATTATTTTTTTTTCAAAAAATGGCGGCAAATGTATAAAAAAAATTTTAGGAAATTTTTAACGTTTAGAATTGTATAGAGCATCAAAAATAATGTATAATAGATCAAAATTAATTTATTATTTAAAAGTATCATTATAGTTGTTTATTTTGTTATATAAATCATTTGATACTAGACATGACTATAGTTGAGTTTATTTTGGCATACTGAATTATTTGATACCTCACATGGATATAGTTGAGTTTATATTGTCATGCTGAATCATTTGATACATCACATGACTCGTTGTTTATTTTTGCATACTGAATCATTTGATACTCTACATGACTAAAGTTGAGTATATTTTGACATTGTCATATTATATGTATTATACTATATAGCCGCTATAATTTATAAAAACTAATGGTTTTCAATGATATTCAAGTTTTTTTTTCTGAAAATGCTTTCTAGCATTCTTAACTGGTTTTATAATAACTTCAAATATTTCTTCAAATAATAATTTTGAAATATTTGTAAATTTTGTTACAATATTACAGGTAAATAAAATATTAAATTACCCTATATCTATATAAGCGATTAATTAAAATTTAAAAATGATATTTTGAAAATAATATTACATAAATATTTTAATTAATAAATATTGTTTTAAAGAATATATATATTTCTAATAAATATTCATAAAATTATTTTGTGAGTTATTTTATAATTATTAATCAATCTTTATTTAACTTTATTTATAATATATCTTATTCAATAATTTATGCGATAACTACCGTTAATTGTCTAAAGAATAAATCAAATTAGTTTTGTTATTAAACAAATTTAGACAATAAAACATTCAACAAAAACATAATACTATATAAATGTAAACATCAAACATAAAACATCAGATCTAAAGTAAGACATCAATGACTAGTGTTTTGTTTTTTGAATGACTTCATTTAATAAGAAGTCTACGACATCACTGGTAGTATTATTGCCATTGATATCTGGTGTGTGAACTTTGGCCTCATTGATGCACTTGTCTATGGCCTCACGTAACATCTGTGCGTATGAATGTAGCTCTAAGTACTCGAGTAGGTCAGCACTTGCATTAAACATAGCTAACGGATTGGCAATGTTTTTACCGGCAACTGATTTTCCTGTATTTCGTGTGCCCTTTAAAATCAAAATTTTATAAATTAGTTTATTAATTATTTAAATTTTTCCATAATTTTTAATAATACAGTTTCAAATACTGCATAAGTTTGTCCATAATTACGACCCGATGTAATACCAGGTCCGCCAACGAGTCCACAAACTAGATTTGTCAGTATATTTCCATAGAGATTAGGTAATAGTAAGACATCAAATTGATTTGGATTTGAAACGAGCTATAATTTGATAAAATGATTATTTTAAAAATAATAAATTTGTTAAATAATGCCTAATTATGTTAATACCTGCATCGAACAATTATCAATAATCATATTATTATATTCAATTTCTGGATATTCTTTAGCCATATCTGTACAGATCTTGAGGAACAATCCATCGGCCAATTTCATAATATTGGCTCTAAAGAGTAAAAAAATAAGTCTTAAAGCAACTCAAGTAACAATTGACTGCTAATTGATACACACTTGTGAACACAGGTAACCTTTTTTCTGTTATTTTTCTTCGCAAATTCAAAGGCATATCTAGAGATCTGTTCTGTCCTCTGTCTGGTTATAATCTTAAGACTCTCAACCACTCCATCAACGCTCTCGTGCTCTAAACAGCTGTATTCTCCTTCAGTATTCTGTCGGATGAGAAATATGTCGATATCTTTATGACGAGTTTGAATGCCTGTTTGCGACTCACAGTGAATCACATTTGCAAACAAATTGAGCCGAAGTCGGAGCTCAACATTACGCGACAAGAAGTGCTTTGAGTGCTCTCTCGTCTCAATATTGCCTTTAAGTGCAGCGCCGTTACGTTTGATGGAAGTGATGGCTTCAAACATGTTCTCAAAGTCCTCGTGAGTCGAGTCGAGATTTACTTCTTCGAAATCGACGGGAAAACCACCCGCTCTTTCATTAAATTACAATAAAGTTATCAGAGTTTGCATTAAATTTGTATTCAGTATATCATAAAATTTTTTACTTAAATACTTTCTTCACGTATTTCATCATTTCAGGTCCAATACCATCGCCGGGAAGTAAAGTAACCATAAATCTGAGATTTATGCAATCAGTTAAATACAAATATCAATACAACTGTCCACTCATACCTTCCGCCGTATTTTGCTTTTGTATTGTTCACTGAAGACGAAGAATGTATTGATCGACCAAATGATTTGTTGTAATCATTGCCACAATTGGCTACAACTCGCATCTGTGCGGACACTAATATAATTGCAATCCAATAACAAAACAATCAAATCACTTACAGTCATATGTCTGGCCAGTGATGGTCGGGTTGTGGCCACAAATCGGGTCAATAGAGCAGTCATTATGCGATAAATGTTATGACTTATGAAACAGTGATTACTGTATAATATATACAAAACAAATTATATGTCACGTGATTCATATATCTATTAATACTGTATTAATATTGCATTTGTGGATAAAAATACATATAATAAGCAAACATTAAAATATTGTTACAAAAGTCGATTAAATTATTGGATAAAACATAAGAAAAGTCTATAATAATTATTATACTTTTCACAAACAAATTGTAATAATTTAAATAAACAATAAATGTTTTAAACATAATTTCTTAAATATGAATGTATTTTATTAGCATAAAAACATTGTTTGATTATGTATTTAATACAAATCAATTAAAAATATTAATGTTATTAAACAGGTTTATAATCGAGTTTTGTTTCCAACTTCTTGTTGTCGGCAATCTTACGAACGGCTTTCATGAAGTCCTCCTCAATCACATAATCCCTGTCAGCTCTAATGGCAAAGAGTCCGGCTTCAGTACAAACATTGCGAAGATCGGCGCCATTGAAGCCATCACTCAGTTTGACCACTGCTTCCCAGTCAATGTCTCCGTGTTTAGCAATAGGTTGTGCATGAATTTTAAGCACTTCCAGTCTTCCCTGTTCATTAGGCAACGGAATCTCAATCTTACGGTCCAAACGGCCCGGTCTAAGTAAAGCCGGATCCAATGTGTCGGGTCTGTTTGTGGCCATAATCATCTTGACTTGACCTAATGAATCAAATCCATCCATTTGGTTTAGTAGTTCCATAAGTGTTCTCTGGATTTCTCTGTCAGCACTGGTTCCTTCTGAGAAACGACGGCCACCAATGGCATCGATCTCATCCATAAAGATAACACACGGCTGGTGATCGCGAGCATAGTTAAACATTTCACGAATAAGTCGTGCGCTTTCACCGATATATTTGTCAACAATAGCTGACGAAACAACCTTTAAGAAATTGGCCTCCAATTGTGAGGCTACAGCTCGAGCCAAGAGTGTCTTTCCAGTGCCGGGCGGACCATATAATAGACACCCTTTCGGTGGAGTAATACCCACTCTTTGAAATAACTCTGGATTCAGAAGTGGCAGTTCTATCACTTCTCGTAATTCACGGATCTGTTCGGAGAGACCACCAATTGAGCTGTAGTTAACATCTCCCGGATCTTCGTGTGACATATTGTATACGAGAGGATCCACTTCGCGAGGCAGATATCGCATGATAGTCAAAGTTGTCATATCAAGTGCTACTCGTGTACCGGCTTTCAGTTTTGATTTATCCAACTGTCGACGACATCCAACCACATAACGCGGACCATTCGTAGCCTTCACTATGAAGTTGTCGTCAGTCAACTGCTTGAGTACTTCGCCGACAATCTGACCGACGCTTTGCAATGCTTTCAAATCGTTTTCACTTTTGTCGTACTGTTTGGTCACATCTTTGAGTGACTCGCGAACTGGTCATGAAATAAGACATACAAATGATTAGGTATTGTCATGGATTCAATTGTGTGGTTAATATATTGATACCTTCTTTGAGTCGTTGTTCAATCTCCCGATGTTCTAACACTTTCTTCCGGTAATCTTGAAGTGCTTTATCACGAATCGCATCCGTAGTATTGGCCATAACTGTCATAGTTGTCAACAATAGTCAACAATAGATATAATTGTCACCAAAAGTGTTAATAATATCTTCAAATGTATTGTATATTAAATGCTGAATCACTTGACTGTCAATTAATGTAATAAATATTTCAATAGATGGCGACTATTGTCTTATGTATTAAACAATAATTATTATTCATTTTTATATTAATACTAAATTTAATTTAATTTTAATACTTAAGAATATACTTATTATTATAATTATATGACTATTGTATTAAACATGTCTTATAAGTGATTGTCATTTTACCCCATTTAATACCCCCTTCTATAATGGAAATCCTTGTTTAACCCAAATTATAATTTAGTAATAATACAATTAACCAATAAATAAACTCTACTCTCAACTATCATTTACTTGACTTTATTATTTACATACAGAATATCCCATTTATATTTAGTGCCAAATAAACTGTATATTTATAAAATTAATTTTACAGTAGTATTGATCATCACATTTCAAAGACATATTAATAAGTTTGATCTTAATATGAAATATCGTTAAAAAGATATAACCGTTCAAAAAGTTTTGGTCAGAAAATTTCTGTGATTAGGAATTGAGTTTTTCAAACAACAAAAATGTCTATTAATTTCTATTAATTTTTTGTCTATAGAAGACATGATTGAAATTTTTTCGCAATAAGTTACACATATTGGACAATAAGTGACTTTAATTTAGTAAAAATAATCAAATGGATCCATCATTTCATACTAGACATACAGTGAGTCAAACATATTAAAAGTAAAAGTTATGAATCTATTGTATAGACCTTTAAAAAGATAACAACTGATCCATTTTTTATATATCAAAAGTTATACAGTATATAAAAATTATAAGATTATAAGTCTTTGAAATTTGATTTATCAAGACTACAGTGAAACCAATTTTTTAAAATATAAAGCTTAGCTTACGCTAAATATACAGTATATGCGACAATCTATAATTGCTTTACTAATTTTATATATTCGTGTAATTATATATATATTTTTAATTTTTAGCACTAAAATTGTATCTATCAATCAATACTTTTTATTGCTACCACATATCGAACCCTAAACAACACATTTTATTATATTGACTGAAAAACAAATGTTATTTTAAATCCTATTTTCAGTATTATTGGTAAATAATGTAAATAAAGAATTGAATATTTCAATGAAATCTTATTTAAAATATTTAAGTTTTGGTATTATTTTTTGTAATAATATAAATTTTATTTTTCCTTCTAATGAGCCAGGGATGGAAAATAAAGTATTTTTGGAGGGATTTTAATGGGAAATTTCCCTCCCTTGGGATCATTACAAACCCTACATATACTATACTGTACAGTGCTATGGGTATACAGTCCTAAGATGTGGATTAAGATTATTAATCCTTATAAATGATATATTGATATATAGTTATATTTTTATCAGTTATAAATTATGTAACTATATATATATAATGTATAACTTTTTAAACTTTTACTTTAACATTAAAACTAAATCTCAATTTCAAAGGTGAATACATAAAAAACAATTTAATTTAATAAAATTTCAACTTTAAAATTCACATATTGATATCTAGTCTAGATAATCTAGATATCTACTAAATAGATAAATAAATTAGGTATCATATAATTATTATAATATAAAATATTAATTTAATATATAAAACATAATTTTATAAATTTTTAATATTGTCTTTAATTTTGTTGATATATTTGATTAGAAATGTTTATTTTACTAGTATTCAAACATCAAACAATGTTATTAATTTTTTCAGTTTTTTTAGATACAACTTTTCAATTATATCAGTTTTAGATTTTTGTTAATATTTTAATTTATCACTTTTATAATCTAATAATTATTAATGTAATTTAAAGTTAGTTATATATTTAACTAATATATTATCAATTTATTTCATACTTTGTTTGTTGTGTCACAATATAATTCATTTGATTTGAGGATAAATTCTTTAATATGATATTAATATACAACAATAGCAGACAAACTTTATTAGAAACCCATAGTATGTATTGCATTGATAATCTGTAATTTTCAAATATACTTATAGTTTATTTTAATGCATTTCTATATTAATATAACCATAATTATGGGTTTCTAATAAAGTTTGTCTGTTATTGAATATACGATATATAATATATATATATTTATAAACAATAAAGTGGTAATATATTTATGTATTTATTAATATATTATAAAAAGAGTTTATTTAATTAACTAAATAGTATCAAGATAAATTTAACATATTAATGTTAAACCATTACTCATACTGTATATTATACAAAACTAGAGTGCTTTCGATGAATGACTTTATATTTTTCCAATGAAACAAATATTGATGAAAATGTGTTAGAATTGATGTAATCGGAAAGCAATCGACAAATCCGATAACAATATGCCTTAGAATCTCAACTTTCTTTACAAACAAAACATTGCAATTGTTGTTATTTTTTAAATATATTAAAATTTCTATGATATGACAGAAACATAATAAAGGTATAATTTGAAATACAAAGTTTGAATAAAGAAAACAATTTTAACAACAAAAAATTTAGTATTTAATATTTATATATAACAATTTTACCACTACTTATTTATAAAAAACACAGTATACTATATATAACCTAAATGCATTACCATGGTCACTTTTCACAAATTAATCTTATAATATGAATTGGATTGAAATTTGATTCATTTTTGTGTATCGTTTAAAATAAATATATATATAAATTATTTATATTCACAATAATTCATGTGTTAAGTTGTATTATTTGACTGAATTGTCGGTCGATAGGAATTTGTGATAATTGTAGTAAAGCTTAACTGAATATCAGTGCAACACATGAGAGATGTTTAGATTAGTAGATAATTCTCACTATTTTATATTTGCTAAATTGTTTGGCTTTAAATACACTATACTTATTAATATTATATAATTATTATAAATATATATTATTACATAACTGTATGACTAAAATAATATCGATATTATTATATTGTATATTTGTGAACAAATTACTCAAATTATATTTTCAATTGTTAAAATTCAAGTATATACAATAATTTTAATAACATTTAATTAAAATTTATTTATTTATTATACAACTTAATATCAATATATAATATGATATCATAAAGTTACGATAATCTAATAAATAATAAAACTTTTTTTTTGTGATTTTAAATAAATCTTATTAACAAAGATTAGGAAATACTAAAAATAAATGTAACTCTACTATAGTATGACTAACACAAAGTACTACTGTATATATTGAGTACAATAAGTGAGTGCTATCGTCGAAAAATGCAAACTTATTATTGGATTTAAAGCCAAAGACCAACGGAGCGGAACTGTTTGAATGTCTGAACGACTGGTGTCGGAGTCGACACATATTTGACTCCACTGTGTATTTGTTGAGTACATTCACCACACATCACAAGACAGACATCCCGTTACACCAATTTATTTCTTCTGATGATCCGATATACACGAGTCTCCAATTGACTAATGTGTTCACAACTTTATTAAATCAATCTTTTAGTTGCCATCAAAGCCTCAATATTTTTTGTTATTTATATTTTATCAATTTATCAATTGAGCTTATATTCAATATAATTGTTTTGTTTAGATATACTCTATTACATATAGGTTTTTATTGATGTAAAATTGATAACAATTACTAAGTATTTAATTGTACAGATATTTAACAGTTTAATTTAATATAGAAAAATAACTTTCTATTTAATTAAATTATTATATTAATAAAAAGAATAATATTATTAAAAACATTTGTATTTTAATATTTTATGAATTTAAAAATTAATATAAAGTAATAAAAATTAATATAAACGTAAGTTTCAAATTAAATAAATTGTGATAAGTTATCACTAATAACACATATTCTTACGTTTTTAATATAGGACTGCTTTAAAAATAAAAGGCTAAAAAATCTATGTTTTAATCCTATATAAGCCTACAGTATAAGTTATTTCAATATAGGATCAAATTTTAATAGATATTTTCATCTATAAAGTTTTAGTCTATCTTTAACTATTGTATAACTTTACTATATTGTATTGTACAATACTGTATATTATATTGTATATATATATATATAATATTTACAGTATATCATACGGGTATCAACAACAAAATTATTTATAGCATTTCATTACTTTTAATTTTAAAATTAATTTTTATTAATTAAATATTTTCTTTAGTAAATCAAAATACAATAAATTTTAACATAACTATAATTTTATTTATAATATCATTTAATTAAAAACAACAAATTAAAAATGAGTGTAAACTTAAATAATGCAATAAAAAACAAATAAATTAGTATTTAAATCTATACACAATTATAAAATAAATTAAGTGTGATATCATTAAGTTATTGTAATAAATTGAAGGAATGATTAAAAATGAGGTATTTTTGACTTTTGCTTATTTAGTGCAATTGACGGCAAATAATCAGATTATAGGCGGCGATGGAGAGGAATGTTCATCAGAACAGGGACTGGCATTGGAATCCCCTAATGACCAGTTGGTGTCGATGTTAGTCGACGGGTGCACATCACTAGCTGTCGACCAATTAGTGCCACCATTTCCGCACCGGTTCTTATTCATGTACTTCTTTTGTCGCGCACGTGAATTCTGAAACCAGACTTGTGTTACACGTTTCGAAAGACCCGTGAGAGCGGCGATTCGCTCCAAGTCTTGGCCGTCGGGATTTGAGTCCAACTGAAAGTTGGCCTGAAGTACAGACAACTGTTCCTCAGTGAATGTTGTCCGCACTCTCTTTGTCTTTGACTGTGATTTATTTGTCTGTCCAGAGTTGGACTCATCGCTACAAACCGAGGCATCTTGTGTTTCGCCTTCAGTAAGCATTTATACAATTTTTAATATCCAAGAGAGAGATGTTATAATTGGTAATTACCTTCATTAGTGATACCAAAATGCAATTTACACAATAATTTACTGTCATTTGTCTGATTATCGATTGTAAACTGTTCTCCAGTACTGAGTTGTCGCTGACATAAATCACAGGCAAAACACGCCAAATGGTAAACGTGAGGACCGGCTCTCCTGACCTAACATTTATTGATATTATAATCTTTTGTTAATTAAATATTATTTTTATGTATTATAAATTATTTAATAAAATAGTTAAATTGTAATAAAGATTTATTACCCAATCTGAAGGTGAGATTTGTCGGTAACATTTTGAGCACTTAATAGTTTGATTAATAAGTTTTATGTAATCATTTTTACAATATATCCGTCCGTTTTTAAGATAACAAGATCGACAGTGACTTAATGATTGATCACATTCAGAGCACCTGTATGTTAAATTAGTGTTAAATTAGGTTATATAATTTTAAAAATAAAATTGAATATTTTGTAATTATTCTATAATATCAATATATCATAAAATTATATTTATATATTATCATATTATTATATCAAATATTATGATATAATTTTTAATAATTGATGTATTAATATCTTATTTTTAATATATTGAATATTTTTATGAGTTAGTAATAAAGCAAAAATACAGAATTATAGAGAATAAATTAATACATTAAAAATGTTTACTAATACTTAAGTTAAATAAATGAGTGCTTGTAATTAATAAATACCTTAAGCAATTGATATGCCATTGATGATGACCAGACACTGATGCAATTATAGGTGATGTGGCCAATGATGAACCGCATCCGTAACATATCTGCAGCATATGTGATGAATGACAAATAAATAACATAACTTGTATTACAAAAAACAGTAACTCAAACACTTATATAACAATATTATAACTACAAACTGTGTATTTAGCTTAGTGTTAGTTAAATCACTTGTAAGCAACACATATGCTATTGATTGTCGACATCATCTGAGAAAGAGTCGACAAAAGTGTTATATCTTATTGTTTGTGTAAGTCTTTTGTGAGCAAATCATGCCTTTAAGGTTGTATTCGTCAGTTTTGTATAGAAAACCTATTGAATGATAGGATCGGTACCACAGACACAGTGTCTGGACTTTGCATTGACGTACACTTAATCTATTTTATTGTGTGACCAAAATTGTCGTCTCTAACTATTTGTATGACATTTTATAAATTATGTTTATATATATATAAATATATTACACTGTATTATACTGTATTATAATGCTCATTTTGATGCTATTAAATATTTTCAACTAGATAAGTTCAAATGCTAGTTTCTATTATAACTTGTTTATCTAATTCTAAAAAATTAACTAAAATATTTAATTTATTTTTTAATATATAATAAATTATAAATATCTTAATTAAAAGTTATATATTTATATGCTCAAATATTTTATGACTATTTTAAATATAATAAATTATATACTAAATTATTTATATATTATTTATATATTATTGTAAGAAAAAAATATTGTTTTAGAAGAAATATAAAATCAAGAACTCTCTCTCTCTCTCCCTCTCTCTCTCATAGACACACACACACACACACACACACACACACACACACACACACACACACACACACACTCAGTCAGTCAAACATAAACTATATATACTTTCTTTCTCTCTTTTTCTATGAGTATAATAGTAACACAAAACACAAAAATATTGTCGAAATCATTGGAAACATTTAATACAAGTCTAGAGTTAATAAAAAGCATTGAAATACAAAATGCTGTCAAAAGGCATTATAACAATAAAGTGAAGCAATGAATGAGTAAATGGGAAACTACTTGAAAATATTTTATACATATATTGCAGTCAATAGCAGTCAATACTACAATTTGTTATAAAAGTCCAGAATATGAGTACACAGAAAGCGTGAAAAGGCAACCATCATATGGTGTGCCCTATCGGCTATGGGACAGGCAATGGATGGCCAGTTATGAATGTCTGATCTCTGACAGACTATATGGGATCCCATGAAATACAACCAAACATAAGCATCATATGAATTGAATAAAAGACATATATCAGTAGGAAATGTGTTACAAAATGAAAAGCCCTATTTGGTAACCCCTCGTTGGAGAGGCACTACCACTAACAACACGGGACTAGCACTGGGATATTGTCGCCGTTGGTCCACTTGACAGATGACAATGGAGTAAACGACAAAATGATGAAGTGTTAGGCTATTCAATGCTTTACTAGCTTTACATGTCTTAACAATAGACTATATGTACTTCACAACCACTATAACATACTGTATATGATTGTGTGATCGCATGCATATATGAAACGAAACTTAAGTTAAACTGATAATTTTATAATATACAATATAAAGAATTTAATTGAGTTAATAGATTTAATTATTACTAAATAGTAGATTTTTATTACATAGCTAAACAAAATTTAATTGATTATTTGTAGAAATATTATGCTAAAATTTTTTAAAAATGTTCAATGGAAATAGTATAGGTAGAACTATGATAGTATGATCTTATAAAACTTAAAATTGTTATTTTAATATTAAATTATGCAATTTTTAACTAATTATTAATATATGTAGTAATTATTTATTGTTTAAAATTATTTTTAACAGTATTGTTTGTAGATGTTATCAAGTAATTTAGTTAATTAAAAATTAAAAGTATTATAAAATTATAAGATATAATATGTATAAAATAATAATAATAATTGACATACCTTTTCAATACTTAATTGTGGGGATTTGTTTGGACTGGATAGCAGACTGTGCGATGCAGACACCGGTGACGCACAGTCTGTGTCACAGGTATTCAATGATAATTGTTTTAATAGGAAGCGCTCCGAACGTATCATAGGTAAAGACACACACAGACACATACATACACACAATCACTTGCAATTTGGACGGTTAGCACAAACACTGGCAACAGAGCTAACTATATTTATCGCTATAACTTAAGTTATAAGTCAAACATATGCTAAACATAGGTAGCGATGATTTCTGGAGATTGCTTTACATATTCTTCATGTTTGACATATTGTTGGTAATATCATTGACCCGATTATTAGTTGCGATTAGATATTATCTCATATAATGCTTATACATCTCCTGCTTTATGAATGTCTCCCTCACTGTCGATCCCTCTTTCTTTGGCATCTCAAGAACATCCCATTTGTTTGACGTGTTATCTCTACAAACAATATATAACAACAACGACGAGGTGTGCGGATAACTGGCATAAAGCCGGTCGATGTGCTTGTGATCCGCCTCACAGCCAATCATATGACTCTCCATATTATCATAACATCCAAATTGAATTATATTTTATATATAACTGTATATACAGTACAGTACTTACAGTTATACAACATCTCTATTACAAACTTATCAATTCATTTATTAAATATACTGCAGTTGTGTTTAGTTAAACAATGCATTTTTTAAAAATTTTATTAATAAATGTTTAAATAAATATTTTATTAAATACAATTAAAATTATGCTGAAAATTGTGTAATCAAATGTTTATAGTCTATAATATTAGCTGCAATCGTGTAAATTGAGTTGATTTCAGTCAAATGTTATATACATGTTATATAGACATAGCTAATGATCATAGTTTTAAAGTTAAAGTAAAAATTCAATCCAATTACACCTCTTTTCAGTAGTCTTTTATGTCAACATAACTATCAATGAAATCAATGTATGCATTGATTTACACGTGTATTCACTATATTTGAAAACTTACAGTACATATGATATTGTAAAGCAGTTGTCGATTGTAATCCTATTTACAAAACTAATAAAAAGACAAATAAATATTGTTTAGGACATTGTTCACAATTATTCACATATTTTATTTCATTTGTTATGTAATATTAATAAAAACTAAGACAATTATAAAAGATTTCTAACATATAGTACAGTATACTGTATTAATACTAATAGTTGAAGTATTATAAATATGATAAATGCAAATAAATATTTCTATTGCTAACAATTACAAAATTGTTTATAAAAAATAGTGTTTGCATAGTATAATCAAATTATTTTAAATTAATTTGTTTTTTAGTTATGTTAACTTACTAAAAATATTTATAACAAACATAACTTAATAACATAACTAAAGTATATAAATTATTATTAAATTCTATGAATATGAATTCTATAGTTAAATTATAGTCTAATTTCTAAATACATTTTGTAAAATATGTTTATTGCAGTAATTGTTTAATATCATACTTTATTATAACTATGCATATATTATAGACATATAATTTTATTATAAACCTAAAATAAACAAATATTTCACTTTTTATTTTAACAATTTAAGTTATTTTATTTAAATTATATATAATTTAAATAACTGATAATTGTATACTTACTTAAATCAATTGAATGATGTAAATGATGGCAATAGATTGTCAATTGGTCTAAATATTAATTTTAGAGTCCAATGAATAAGAAACTAATTAAACAAAGATATATATAATATTAATATAATGTTAATTTTGTATACAATAGTTAGTATATATACCATACCATAGTTAGTATACTATAAAAAATAAATTCTAAATATATATTATATTTTAAAAGTAAAAATTTTAAAAATACAACATATTATATGATATAATATGAATATATTTGAAAAGTCTGAATAGTGTATCAATTGTGAGATGTAGTGGTTTGTGATATCATATGAAAAGTTAGTAAGAAATGGTATTGAATATGGAAATAGTGGTAAACTGTAAATTGAGTTATAGTTTAGTGTTAATAATGCCTGTAATGATGTGGGTTTCACTTTAATGAGGGAACAAATAACACAATTGTCTACATCACTGAGTTTTACAAGTAATGTCTATACGGGGTATGTATAGGGTTTGACTCAACACAACACAACTCTATGTTGTGTTCAATCAATTGTAAGCAATGCTGTAATTCAATGAATGACTGAGCGCTTACTCGAAGGGAATTCCAAATGCAGTGTAAGTCTAGTGTTGACTATATTTTAGGTTTGCTTTAGTTTGGGCTCTACTGTACTGTCGGCACACAATCGACACAATCAACTGTAGGCCACAATCAGGACTGATGTATACCACCGGCAAAAAACATACAAACCATATGAAGACCTTTGAATTACAAATTAGATTATTATTACATATCAATTGAGATCAAACTACACACTAATCGCGTTTATATCAAACTATTCAATACATTTTCATTCATATTTTACAATATAAATCACATTCAATTTAATTTATTCATATAGTATTTCATTATATAGTATAAAATATTTTTTGAAGTATTGTAAAAATTAAAACGTAAAAAATAAAATTGTTTATATTATATATTTTTAATAATACTTAAATGTTTATCGAGAATTGTCTGTACAGTCAATAACAATATATAGAGAATCAGTGATCATCACTAATGCTGACCACGCGTTACATACAAACATAAGAATCAACGATAAAAGTTAAATAACATTATGTTTGCATCGATTCACACAATAGTTTATATCTATATTTTTAACTCAATCTTATTAGTCATGATTTAATCCAATTATAATTGTTTTAATTTAAAAATTTAAAAAAAAATTCTATAACATTAAAAAATAAATAATGTTACATTTAAAATTTAAGGCAAAAATAAAAATAGTTGTTTATCTATCTATATCTATACTACTATATAATTTGTTCAATGTTTGTACCATATTTGTGTGACGCTAACAATTACTTTTAATGTGTCGCGCGATTATTAATAATTTAATTTATTAAATAAAATATACTTTTTTTATAATAAACTGTAAGCGCGCAAATGTTGCACGTGTTAACTATTGATACACATTTTATAACGTGGAGATCTAACTAGTTTTGTTAGAAATTAAAATTTGTGTTAATTTCAAATTAATATAAAAATTTAATTTATTTATAAAAATAGATGTAAATTAACATTTCTGGTTACATAAAAAATTAATAAATAAAATATACTGTTTATAATAAACTGTAAGCGCGTAAGTATTGTTGCACGTGTTAACTATTGATACACATTTTATTACGTGGAGATAACTAGTTATTATAAAAATAGAACCAATATATACAACATGTTATGTTATATATATGCATATATATATATATATCAATATCTTTTAATAAATAGATTGAAATTTAATTGACTCTAATTTATATAAACTTTCAAAAATTGATGATTTATATTACAAATTATTAAATCTATTTAAAATACATCGTTTCATTTGGAAAGACAAACAATTATTCATACAATACAATATAAATTCAAAATTTTTAAAAATAAATATTAGAATCAGAGAATCAGTTAAATTTTAATCTATTTATTATCAGATATGTTGATCCAATGTGTTTACTTTTCAAATAAATTTTAATCATTTTATAATTCAAGCTTTTTGTATTTAAAAATGATATTACAAAAATTAGTTTTTTAAATATCAAAATATGTTGATATTATTAAAGTATTATTAATTAAAATAGTTAATATTTCATATGTTTATTGAACATGTCTACTTTATAAAAAAAATTAAAACTATTCTGATTAGTGTATATTATTAACTAATATTAGAGATGAATTATATAATGAAAATTTCACTGTAAAATTGGTTAGTCTATGATTTTATGATTAAAAGTTATTCAACTTTTAAAATATTTATAGTATTTATCTATTTTAATCATTTAATAGAAATACATGTTTGCAATTTATGTGTTTTTTAAATCTTTAATTTAAAAAAAAAATTTAAATGATAATTGTAGATCAAAGTTTAAGCTAATCATCATAATATAATTTAATTAATTTTAAAATGTACAAATTAAAATTAGTAATATAACTTAATTCATGTTAACATAGAAATTAGACTTTAGTAATTTTATTAAAAATATTGTCATATTATTTAATTATTTGCAAAAATAACATATATTCTTATTAGAAATATTTATGTGATTTTTTTAGTAAAATTATAATTTTTAGCTTTTAGCCATTTTTAAAAACTAGTTAAAATATATTACATTTTTAGACATTCGCTAAATTCAATAGAAAATTAAATTAATAACTAGAATAACAATTCATTTTTGGTATTGTATTGTTAAAGAGTACTGTTATTATATACACTATTATTATTAAAATATTTTATTTAGTTTTTATTCAACTCTGGAATTAATAAACAATTTATACAAAATACAGAATCTTTTGAAACGTCTTTCAGGAATTTTATGAAAATTATGTTATATTTGAATAAATTACAGATAAAAGTAAACATTTTTATATAAAAAATTATATAATAGAAAAAACATTTTAATTGAATATTTTAAAAACTAAATATTCTCATTAAAAATTGCTAATAAACTAATTATTCTTAATGAAATATAAAATAAAAATTAATTAATTCTATAACAAAATACCTTGACACTTTTATTTTAAACCATACTTTTATCTATTTTTTATTCAAACACAACATAATTTTGTGAAAATCCCTGAAAGATATATCAAATGATTTTGTATTTAGTATATTAACCTTTTTACAGAATATCAATATCATTCATAGTTTTCGACATATAAAACATACCTGGCCCCGCATCCCTGAGCCGTAATATAAAAAAATTTGCTAATGCTATAACATCCGTTCCATGATTACATAAAACAACAAAATTTTATATAAATTTATTAGTATTACTTTAAAATTTATAGACAAAAAACGTGTCAAACATTTTTGACTCGGATTTTATATTATATAGAAATACAGGACATATATACTGTAGTTTATATACATTTAAAGTCTTATACTCAATGGTTAAACATCTGTAAAATAAATAAATATCAACATTTTAAAAGAAAATTCTATGAAAAATCTAATTGAATTTAATGGCAAATTCATGTTTATTTATAACATTTATTTTTAAAGAAAATTTAAGCAAAACTAATAAATAAATGTTTATAATATTAATACAATCAAATAACATATACAGTATTTCACCGTAATTTAAAAGTGCATAGAAAATAATCAATTGTATATACAGTTATGTTTTTAATATATTATATACTAAAAAACTAAAATAAAATACTAAAAAATTACGGTAAGGTATTAAAGTATGATAAGGTTTATACAGTACTTTATTGTACAGTATAATGTACTTACGGTAAGTATATTTTTTGTATTCATCAATTTATTCAAAATTTCAATTGTTTTTATTAAATTTTTGAAAGTAATAAAAATTATTAATGATAAAAATTTAACTACCGGTAAATGTAAGATTTTTTTTATAATTTTCTTATATTTTATTATAAATACCTGAATAATAATAATTATAATCATTTTTATTTCTTTGTATTGAGTTGTGACTATTTTCAATATACTGTACCATCCGTTTGTCAAATTATATACTAATTACTAAAAAATACATAAACTAATAAAAAATATAAAAAATAATGTCATTTAAAAATAATGTTTTAAATTAATTATTAAAATTAATTATCATAAAAAATTAATTATTATGCTATAAAATACTGTATGTACTCTCAACCATAGGTCATATTTAAATTATAAATAGATAATTATACTAAATATATCTGGAGTCATATTAAAAATTAATACCGGTACTAAAAAAATATTTATTGTAAATTACAATGCATTCAGTAATAATAAAGTATAATTAAGATAATTTAATAATGAATATAAATATCGATGAATTATTCGATAATAATTTGTTTTTCCCAAATTTGAATATAAGATTCCGATAAAGTTATCATTTGTGGCAAAATTTCCGAAACGTGAAGATCTTGCAATTCAAACCATTTTCCGGTTCCCTAATTGTAAAATAATTAAGTGATTAAATATATATTGTATTATAGTATTGACAAAAAAGTATTAACAAACCCGATGTAAGACATGGCACCTATAGGTGCCTTTTCCGGCTTCGGGCTCTCCTTCATGAACAACGTTAGCAATTAAATCGTAAATACTCTTATTGTGTCTCATTTCGGGAGCTAATAGTTCAGTAAAATCAACATTTTTTAGGGGAAAGTTAACAATCGTTGGATTTTTTTCTATAAAAAATGTATTTCTTGTAAATCTTTTGATATAAAGAATGAGATATTTGGGTAAAACTGTTAACTCGAATCTCTTCATTGATGAGTCTTTATATGTTTTATATTCCTTTTCATTAATACCATTAAACTTCGCTAAAATTGTATATAACGGGACCTGAGGTATGATATTATCGCTCAATTCATCCTTAAATAAAGGTTGTGGCGGAAGATCAAGAGTTAGGTAAATAAATGGTGTTTCTTCGCACTTCTCTCTATATTCCTCACTAAGCATTAGTTGAAGTCTTTCATCAATAGTTTTATCAATTGGAATCATTTTTCGCGAATAAGTCTTCATTTTGCCCCTAAATGTTGAATAAAGTATCGAAGACTCTTCGCGTATCACTTTTTCATGACTTGTATTGTCTTTCTTGTCCAAAGCTTCCGTCGTTTTTAATCGTTTCGTACCTTTTTTTACTTTAAGTGCCAAATGAAGTGTATTTAAAATCCATGAAAGAAAAGCAATTGGATCTCCTGTTTAACGGATAAACCATAAAAATCAAATCAATTTATCATTTAAGACAAACCTTGTTCTGTAATTTGAAATTTTTTATGAGATGACAACACAACTGCCTGAAGCATCTCATGAGGCGAAACGTGAGCCTTAAAGTTGGAACCATTCCATAACTTACGGATCAATTGACCAAATCTTTGGACTAACAAAGAGTTATAATCGGAACTAGAATTGCGTTTAATATGATTTATATAATTGTCTTCATTTAAAAAATAGTCTCTCAGATGTGGTACGTGTGACAAACACTGAAGAACAACATTACAATAATCATTATATTTGATATTATTTAAGCCGACAATTCCCGGCAAATATGCCGTCCCGTCGTAAGCTATTGAATTGTTGGCATTCGTGTCCAACAATCGGATCTGTTCGGCAGTAAACGTCGGATTCAATACATATGTTATGTCATCGAGTGATGAGTCGATTATCTCATAATTATCGGGAAGACAATAGAAACGCAAAGAATCTAAATTAAGAAACACGTGGTGACCAATAGATACCGAATGCATGTATGCATGAGTTCCGATACCACGACCTGATCCCAAGTAATAACAATTAAAATGTCAATCTTATTGCTTAACAATATAAAACATTTAAGACATACCCTGGAAGTACTTCCCACAGACAAGACATGCATAACAATTGATTTGTGACAAAGACACCGAACATAGCTTCTCGAAGTCGAAGTCAAGAACACCTCTATTGATAGTGTCTAAGTAAGGACATTGTCGACATCGATGGTCATCACCTGAACCACTATTGCTGGTCATCACTATCACCAAAGGTGTCTAATTGTTGTCAAAACAATTGATTTGATTGTCTTCAGTAAACAGTGTTTGTCGTACTTTATGTTTGTTTTATGTCTTTCAACTGATTTGAGTTGAATTTTAGGCGCATTTTGTGTGAAAAGAGAGAAACCATTGATTAAAACATCTGAAGAACTAAACGATGGGTACATTCGTGTCCACTGATGAACACTATCTGCTCTGCGGTCACATCGATGACAAAGTACGTGAAGAGTGGACGGGACTGTTATCGGCACACAATGACACCATTAACTTCATCATTGATTCAGCCAAACAAATGGCAGACTTTATACAAACGTGAGTTATTTGACCATTAATTGTCATTTCAATGATAATTACTTTCACATCAAATGATTTTTTCAGTGATATTAGCGAAACACGTACTTTGCGGACACCATTACGTCGTACGAGTAAACGAAAGCGATCTTCAGTGACGGCGGCCGTCAGACAACTGGTTCTCACGTCTAATAAAAAACCACTTCCTTCTGGATGTAAAGTCCGTGATGTGTCCATTGCTACTCCCCGTAGGTTTAGTAAACGACCGAAAAGGTCGACAATTCGATTGGACACAACTGTCGAGGAAATGGAAGTGGACGGTGCGGCCAAACAAACTGTTGATATTGTGATGGATGCGATTGTCAATGAAGACATAGAATTGCCAAATATCTTGACTGTCAACCATTCACCCGAAAAACTGAATGACAAAGTTATTAATGAATTAATTGTCGACCAAAAGCAAGAGACAGTACAGCAAGAAGTTGATAAAGAAATTGGCGAAAATAAAGTATTGACGGCATCGGAAATGATGTCTGAATTGTCAATTAATGAAGAAATAAATAAAGCAAACGAATCGGACAATGAATGGATGACTGATGACGAAGACGGAGGTAATAATCAAAGAGAAACGGAAGCCTTTTTCGATGCGATGGACAGAAAGGATTCCAAAATGAATTCTATAGTTTCTGTAACTAATAAAACATTGGTTACCAATACTGCGACCAAAGAAAAGCGTAAGAAATCACTTTATTTTACACCACAAACTACTCAACGATCAACTCGAGCTCAATCACGAATGTTGTCCAGAGTTGCGGAAACGAGTCAAAGGACTCCACAAACAAGTTCTAAGAATCCTTTTATGTCAGCAAAACAAAGTGCATTCGTGGCTAACACCAGCAATTCGGACACTTCTACCAAACGAGTGACCGGTGGTTCATCTGCTCGATCAGTTCGAGTCGTATCTCGTATTCAACGACAACTTCCAGACACCAAAACTCTGACTGACAGCGCATTGAAGAGGCGTCAAGAGGCCGATGATATACGAAGACAAAGATTATTGGCTTCACAAGAAAAGGAAAAGAAAGCGATGGAAAAGAGACGAATACTTATTGAGCAAACTGTTAATGAAAAGAAACTTAAGTCTCAAGAAAAGGCCAATAAAGCCGCGGAATTGAGAGAATTAAATAAACAAAAAGAATCGGAACGGCTTCGCAAAGAACAAGATAAACGAGAAGAATGGGAACGAAAACGACAGGAAGAAAGAAGAGAACAAATGCGCAAAAAACAAGAAGAGTTACTTCAAAAGGCACGAGAAAATGAAAGGCGAAAGCAATTGCAAGAAATGAAGGAAATGGAAGAAAAGCTGAAAAAACAACAAGAGTTGGCCCGAAAACAGGAACAGGAAAAGGAAAGAATTAAAGAACAGGAAAGATTGGCTGCACTTATACAACAACACAACAACAGTCTTCAACAAAAAGCTGTGGCCAACTCATTCATTAAGAAATGTGAATCTAATTCACAGTTAGTTCCAAAAGTTGTCATCAATAAAATGAGTGCCGAAGACACAGCCAAACATATGATATCAACGTCTGCTAATGCAGTTATTCCTCAAAAAGTGGAAGTCAATGAAACTGTAGCCAAACCTGAAGTTCAAAATCAAACGTTTACTAAGGATCAAACATTTGTAGTAAACAAAGACGAACCTAAAGATACTTCAAGTTATGAAATGACTCCACCGCCTAAAGAACTCGATTTCGACAATTACGATATAAGTGAAGTACAATCGGGAGATGAGACCGATGATGAACAACAGCCCCGTAAACGTATACCCAATTGGGCCAGAGGTCAGGCTTTTATTAAACAAGTGCACAGACAATACAGTAAGCCATACAAAGAAATATATAAAGAGATTAAAGGAGTGTTTGGTTCGGGAGATGTTTTGCTCAATGCTTTTAAATTAGATTTTGATCTCATGTTTCCTAAGAAACCATTGCACCCGAGGTATGCAAAACGCACCTCATCTGCCATTTGGGAAGAGCCTCCCTCTCGGTATCGCATTAATGAGTCCTCCATTAATGAATCGTTTATATAAATACAGTGATTATCCCAACACTTATTACTTTTATTAATATTTTATTTTCTACTTATAAGTAATAACATTAAGCAATCTTTACTTAATAACAGATTTAAACTTATATATATATATCAATATTTTAAATACCATAAATTATTAAGTATATTAAAATACTAAATAAACAATAAATATAATAATATGATTAATTGTAAAATAAGAGTAATACAATTATTTACTTAATAAATATAATGATTTTAATCAATAAATAAATATAATTTAATTATAATTATATAGTAGTTGTAAATCAGGGTTAAGTAAGGGGGGGGTAGGGGGGGGTAAGGCCAAAATACCCCCCCTAAGATCGAGAAATTGGGATTTTACCCCCCCAGACTTTTTGACCAAATTGAAAAAATTGTCGCTTAAAAACGAGGAGAAATGACCCCCCTCTAAAATTTCGGCGCCGAAGGCGCCGAAAATTTTTTTGAAATTTATAAAAATTTTAATTTTAGTTGATACTATTTTAGTAAGTGTTTTTATGTTTTTAATATTTATAAAAATCTAATTATTGATTAAAAATAGTTAAAATAACGTTAAAAGTCATCAAAAAATAACATTATTTTAATTAAAATAAACTAAAAAATTAAAAATTACCTATTTGTTGAAAAGAGTAATCATATTACAATTTAAATATAAGTTTAAGAAGTTAATAAAACAATAAATACTTATGTTTTTATTAATAATTTTTAAATTTTAAATAAAAAATTTAAAAATATTTTCAATTTTGTACTTAATATAATTAAACTTTAACGAAATTTGAGTTAAATAAGTAGTATTCAGTCAGTATTTGTATAAAAATAAAAATATATAACAAACTATAAACATTAAGTATTGTTTAAAAAATTAATTATGTTAAAAGTTAAAAATTATTAAAATACTAAAAATAACTCATAGTGTATCATTAATGCTTTTATCAACTATTTTTAAATCTTAAATACATTATTTTATTTTTTTTGTTAAAATTTAAGTTTTTATTAATTTTAAAAAATTTTTTTAAAAAATATTTATTTTTTGTTAAAATTTAAATTTTTGTTAATTTTTAAGTTTTTTAAGTTTTTTTTTATATTTTTGGAAATTTTACCTATTTTCCCGGGAATTTATACGGGAACTTGTGGGAATTTTATTGAATTTACATGGGAATATTCGGGAACTTAAGGAATTTTTAGGGAATTTTCTCTAGACCCCCCCCCCCCCCCCTTGATTTTGGATTTTGAAAAAATTGCCGTTTAAAAATGCAATAAAAATCTTACCCCACCCAATACCCCCCCCCCCCAAGATTTTTTGAGAATTTTGTAAATTTTACCCCGGTCTACCCCCCCCCTAAAATCCAAAACCTTGCTTAACCCTGTTGTAAATATAATGTTTTAAATATAAATGATATGAAGTATTGTAACACTATATGTGTATTGTTTATTAATAGACCGGCAATTGTAGGCAAATGTAGTGTAAGTGTATAGAAGTGTTACGTGTACTCAATAATCGTAACATTCATTCAAAACAACTAACAATTTATTTATTAATTTCAATACAATTAATGCAAACATGAGTTTGACTTCAATTGTATGCAAAGTGTTGTTAGTGTTGACTGTGATTACAGTCTTGATATTAATGACAGTTTCATCACAAAAGAAAAAAGAGGTAAAAATCAATGATATCTAACAAATGATATGAAAATCAATTGTTTAATCAATTGATTCAATTGGTATTAATAGCAAACTCTCGGCGAAAGAGTTCAACAGTTGACCGAACTGTCGCTCAAACGACCGACTATTCGACTGAATGGCGAAAAGTTTCGGCAATGGATTGGCTCGAAGTCAATGCCACGGAACTACTCTTTTGTAGTGATGATGACTGCATTATCACCGCAAAGACAGTGCTCGATCTGTAGACAAGCCAACGATGAGTTCCAGATTGTTGCCAACAGTTGGCGATATTCACCGCAATTTTCTTCCCGACTTTTCTTTGGACTCATTGATTACGACGAGGGCTCCGATGTGTTTCAGTCATTGGGATTGAATTCGGCGCCCGTTTTCCTATACTTCTCTGAAAAGGGTAAAGTCAAGTCATCGGAACAAATGGACATTCAACGGGTCGGGTTTGGAGCCGAGACTATTGCCCGATGGATTGCCGAGAAGACTGATATTCAAATCCGAGTGATCCGTCCGCCCAACTATTCGGGAACCTTAGCTTTACTCATACTCTTTGCATTGATCGGTGCTCTTCTTTATATGAGACGAAATAACTTAGATTTCCTCTACAATAGGACCTCTTGGGCTTTGGCAGCACTGGTTTGTTGATTGATTCAGTTATTATAAATTTACAGTACAATTGCCGTAACTATTTTGTATCATAATATACAGTCAATAGTGTTAGCCATGACCTCCGGCCAAATGTGGAACCACATCCGCGGACCTCCGCTTATGCATCGCACAAATAAAGGCGTTTCCTATATTCACGGCAGTAGTAGCGGACAGTTTGTTATAGAGACGTATATTATATTTATCTTAAGTATGTTATTATGGATTACCGATAGTACCGGTAATAAACAAATAATAAAACAAATCATTTTTGATTATTTTATTAACAGACGCTGCGATAGCTTTTGGTATGATTTTGATGACCGAAGCCATGAAAGGAAAGGGAGACTCGAAAAAGAGGAAAAGTATGTTAATTAAAAATATTATAAATTATTAAATATATTTTATAAATGTATTTCTAGTTATGGCAATCATAGGCATGGGATTAGTGGCCATATTCTTCAGTTCGCTTATCTCTATATTTAGGAGTAAAGCTCACGGATATCCCTATAGTTTTCTATTTAAATAAACGCACCAAATGTTTAAATATGTTATTTCATGTTTTTCATAACTAGTAGTCAATAAATTAATTTTTATTTAATTGAAAAGATAAATATATAAATTGCATTTTATTAATAAACATTCAACTTTTAGTCAGATATGTGTTATAAAATAACATTTGATGTCTCACTATATCTACTAATAAAATATGAAATACTGTAGAATTGATACATTTATAGACAAATATATTGGAAATATACGATTCACAAGAATATTCATATAAATTACAACACAAACCATAAGTAATTTGGATTATAATTGAGTGGCAATACATTTACCAAAATTATTAATTTAATTCATTCATTCATTTGTATATTATATAATATAAATAAATAATATTTTATTATGTATTATACAAAATTAGTATTAAATTTCACTTTACATAAGCGTATTAATTATAGAAATATAAAACTGGTTTCAAATTGTTATACACAAAAATTATTTTAAAAACAGCATTAAAAACAATTTTTTAAATATTATATTATATTAATATTGATTATATAATATAAATTAAAGCATAATTTATATTATTAATGTAATTGCTTTATTTGATGAGTTAAACAAATAAATTAATTTTTACAATCAATAAAAATTTACAAGTTATTAAATGTAAAACTTGTAAATAAATTATAAAAATTATATAATTATTTCATGTACTTCAATATATAAAAGATAAATTAAGATTTCCGAGTTTAAAAATCAATAAAAACTTAGTGATAATTAATTAAAATGTTGTTTTAAAACTTTTATCACTATCTCTTGAAGTACAGTAAAGTATATATTGATTTAATATATATAATAAATGTGATAAGCATTTATCAGCAATTTATTAACAAAATTGTTTTTTATAATACAAATACAATTATTGGATAAAATCTATTTCAATGATTTTTAAGAAAACCAATTTATTAAATAAAATAAAAATAATTAAATATTATTAAATACATTGTACTGTACTGTAAATGCAATATTTGTTTAATATCTGTATTTTTATATGAATTACCGGTAATACCGGTCCCGTATATAAATATGATATACATATATAATAATTAATAATGAAAAATGTGCATGTACATTTTCTACTGTACAGTATATGATATTTAGTTAACATTATAAGTAATAAAATACAATCATATGATTTGGTCTAACATAGCGTGCAATAGTGTAATACTAATCATAACAAAACAATAAGTCATATCATATGAGAGTCACATTTGTTTACTTAAATCAACAAACATTTAAAAGGCTTTTATTTTATTGACTATTAATAAGCGACACATTGTCTCAAATAACAGACATAAATGTGTTTATATAATGATATTAAATTTAAATTGATTTGTGAAGCAATTAATTGATTATATATTGAATACTTATGTAATGCAATCAATATATTTGAATTCAAGGTTTCGATAATTAACAGCAAATTAATAGAAAATATATTTATTTAAAGAAATCAATTGATTGGCAAATGTTTTAATCGATGCTATGATTGGTTGAGAATCAATGAAAATGTGTTGACTTTTAATGATAACATCTAATCGATTGCTTAAAGAGATACTGTTTTTGGTATTAATGTGACTAAACATCAGAAAATCATCTCATTTTGATCATCACTTGATTTGGACAACCATTCAATTATCACCTCAAACAAGATGTCTAATTACAACCACAATCTCAGTGACAACGAAGAGTCTGACGGTCTGTCGGCACAAGAGTTGTTCGGTTCGGGCGATGGACTCACTTATAAGTAAGGATTATATGATTAGTGACCAACTGATTGACTAATTGATGATTATATGTGATTGTCAGTGATTTTCTTGTCCTTCCCGGTTATATTGACTTCAGTGCCGAAGATGTCGTAAGTATTAATTATCTCATATATTGTTCAATCATAAGATAATTGTTAAAAATATTTTAGGATTTGACGACAAACTTAACTAAAAGGATCCAATTGAAGGCACCACTGGTGTCATCACCTATGGATACAGTGACTGAATCAGAGATGGCTATTGCTATGGCTGTGAGTTTATCATCAATTTAATCAATCAATTAATACAATAACAATAATTACATTAATTTTTAATACTTATGAAAAGTTTTGTATTTTTGTCAAACTATACATAAGATATTCTAAACAGAAAAACATTTGATTAAAATTATACTTAAAAATAATAATATTAAAAAAAAGTTTATTGATATCTTATTAATAGTTTATTAATCAAGTCTATTAAATATAATACATTAATATAATCCTAATATTATAAATATAATAATTTTAAATGTTTTAAACAGTTATGCGGAGGCATTGGTATTATTCACCACAACTGTACCCCTGAATATCAAGCGGCAGAAGTACTCAAAGTTAAGGTATTTACTTATTTATGTAAAAATTATAAAATTAATTGATTTTGTTTATAAGTAAAACATATTTTAAACATTAAATTTTTTGAAAATATTTTATCTTTAAAAAAGTTTTTTTTATATCAAAACATATTGATGGGAATATTCCCCGATTTTAATTTAATCGCAAATGAATTTTGAAAAATATTTATTATAATAAAATAACTGTTTATTAGACTTATTGATTGCTTAAATGGATAATTATTGATTAGTTATAAATGTATTATCAGTGAGAACTGAAGAGCCTTGAAAATAGTTTTTGAAATTAATTTGATTTCACTTATTGACCAAAGTTTTCATTTAGTCATTTACTCAGTTATCAAATAAAAACAAATTTAGTAAAATTAGTTGATGTTTATAATGTGAATGTTTGATGAATAAGTATTAAAACATACTTATATACCGATACTTATATTATTATAGAAATATAAACACGGATTTATCAGAGATCCTCTAGTTTTGGGACCAAACAACAAAGTTAATGATGTCTTAAACATTAAGAAAGAGCGTGGCTTTGCTGGCATTCCCGTTACAGATAATGGCAAACTCGGTGGTAGACTCCTTGGTATTGTAACCTCACGTGATATTGACTTCAAGACTCAGGATATTTTGAATGAACCGCTATCTTCTGTGATGACAACTAGTGATAACTTAGTTGTGGCACGCGATGGCATTACATTACAAGATGCCAATGATATACTCGAGAAGAATAAAAAAGGAAAGTTACCGATTGTTGATAAAGACCACAGATTAACGGCACTTATAGCCCGAACTGATGTTAAGAAACATCGAGATTATCCCAACGCTTCCAAAGATGAAAATAAACAACTTTTAGTGGGCGCTGCTATTGGAACTCGAGAAGGAGATAAAGATAGACTTAAAAAATTAGTCGATTCTGGAGTTGATGTCATTGTTTTGGTTTGATTTTAAATTATTTTTGATATATTGTATATATTTTTTAATTTAATTTTCTCGATATAGGATTCATCTCAAGGCAATTCAGTGTATCAAATAAATATGATTAAATACATGAAAACTGAATACCCTAACGTTCAAGTTATTGCTGGAAATGGTAATTAATTTTTACTAAATTTTTTAAAGTTGACTCATTTATCGAAAAATATTTATTTGTTTATCTTAGTTGTCACTATGGATCAGGCAAAGAATCTCATTAAAGCCGGTGCTGATGGGTTACGTGTAGGTATGGGCTCGGGATCAATATGTATTACTCAAGAGGTAATGGCTTGTGGACGACCACAGGCTACCGCTGTTTATAAAGTATCGAAATATGCCCGCAAATTTGGTGTGCCTACAATTGCCGACGGTGGTGTAGCCACTGTTGGCCATATAATTAAAGCGCTTGCTTTGGGTGCATCAGGTGTAATGATGGGTTCAATGCTTGCTGGTACTACAGAAGCTCCGGGAGAATATTATTTTTCTAATGGTGTGAGAGTAAAAAAATATAGAGGTATGGGATCTATTGATGCCATGGAATCTAAAGACGGTGAAGGCAGTCGTCAACGATACTTCCAAGGGTTAGTAATTAATTATTTTAAAATTGGTTTTAAGTCTAATTTTATTATAGAGAGAATGATGATGTGAGAGTAGCACAAGGAGTTTCAGGTGCTATTGTCGACAAGGGATCCATCCATAGGTTTGTCCCATATCTGGTAACTGGACTCAAATATGGATCACAGGATATGGGTATTAGAAGTTTAGAGCTTATGAAGTGAGTCATCAATAGTTGACAATTGTTTTATCACAAGTGATTCAAATGAATTTGTTTGATAACAGAGTCAAAACATATTCCGGGGATTTAAGATTTGAAAAGAGGACCGCTTCGGCACAAATTGAAGGCGGAGTTCACGGCCTCTACTCGTTAGTTACAAATCACAAACATTTATCTAAAACTTTTAACTAAATTATATTTTTAATTATCTTAATAACTAAAATAATATTTATCCCATTTATTTTATTTTCTGTTTATTTATCTAAATTAGATTTGAAAAGAAACTATTCTAACAAGTGATTGATTGCACAAAACATTCCCCGCATGTCATGTGTGACCACTTATTGCCAATTTATTAGACATTTTTCAATGGCTTTTTATATGACATCTAAAAAGAAAGTTTACTTTTAAATAAAATTTATTAACTTTATTTTTACAAATAAATTTACATGTGATTTGATACTAAAACTGCATATTTTTTTTACTAATAACTTTGTACGGTATTGTGTTTTTATAATTTATTTATTCATATATATCACTAGTTTTAATTAAGCTATAAATTTTTATTTAATAAATTAAGATATGGCAATATTTTAGTTATTTACTTTAGTTATTAATATGACTATTTTTAAATATTAATAATGTGTTTGAATTAATATTATAATGATTAACATCTAGTAATTAAACAATACTATAGATTGTGTCATTTCATTTATTAATTGTTAACATTGTTTAATCACAATTATCTAAATCATGTTTAATAACAAATGATCACTTATTGTGACTTAAATTATCATTAACTAACAAATTATTATAGACTATATCGTAAAATATGCTTTTTTATTAATTTATTACCGATTTTATAAATTTGTGATTTGTTACTGATTCTTGTTTTTGTTATTAAAAGAAATAATAAAACTTTTCAATAAAACAATATTCTGTTAAAAGTAATTTTTATATAGAAATTAACGGTAAATGATTTCATTCAACTGATTGAACAAATCGTACAAATTATGAATTTTTATGTTTTAAAAGCTTTAGAATCAATAATAAAACTATAATAAAAACTGATGTAATAAACTATTATATATATTATATATTATATAATATAAAATAATAAACATTCTTAAAATAATATAACAGTATATCTGTGTAATCATATGTTTAGTATTACTATGTAATTCAATGAATGAATGAATATTATATTCAACTAATACTATACATATACTGTACAAACAACTGTTGTATAAATTATGTTTTGTATAAAACAATAATTAATTAATATATTATTATTGGTAATAATTTGTCAGTTTCTTAGTATGCATTTGTATGGAGTGAAGTTAGATATAAAAGTAGACAAATACAGTACTAATACATAATATATTAATCAAAATATTTTAGGAATCCTAACTTAAAATGAATTATAAAAATACTGATATTTTATATTAGATTAAACCGGATTAGGATTTCCTAATAAATTGTCTAAAATATTTGTATTATTATTGTAAATATAAAAAATCGAAATTTTATAAACCGAAAGAGTTTTTATCTATTTTTATGTTATATAAATTATGTACAAATAAAACAAAATATTAAATAAAATATATTTCTATATTATAATATTGAAATATTGATTATTACATTGTTTATTATAAATACACAGTATATTTCAAATTCTATAAATAATATTAGATGAGTAGAAAATAAATTATCAAGGTTGATTATCATATTAATATTGATTAAAAATATATATTAAAGTCTCCGTTTAATACGATTAGTCCACTTCTCATAGATTCCGTGATAGTCGGCCAAACTTATACCTCCCAAAAATGATTGTCATATTTAATATAAACCAGTTGAGAATGCTAGAAAGCATTTCCACACGAATTCCTAATCATAATTAAAAATTAAATTCAGTATGATAAAATAAAATCAACTATAGTTATGTAGGGTATCAAACGATTTAGTATGACAAAATAAACAACTATAGTCATGTGGGGTATCAAATGATTCAGTATTACAAAATAAACTACTATTTTCCTAAAAAATAAACTTAAAAACGAAAAAAATTAAAAATCAATATTCAAAAAAATTTTTAAAAAATTCAAAAAAAAATTCAATTTTTTTTTAATTAATTTTTGGACACCATTTTCTTCAATTTCCTAAAAAATAAACTTAAATAAGAAAAAAACAAAAAAAATTCAAAAAAAATTTGTAGCGGATAGTGGATTCGAACCTATGTCCTCGTGGGACAGACAGACCGACAGACAGACAGACTTATAGAATGCATATACGTATTCCTTTCAGGAATTCGTGAAAATAGTTTTTAATTTTTTAATTAATTAATTAAAGTTTACTATTTGTGATAAACTTTATATTTTATGAAATATTTGCTGACACTTAACCATAACTAATAACTAATTAATGACAAAATACTACATTAACTATAATATAAATTTATATTTATAACTAATTCATTGCTAATTTCATATAAAAGTTATGTTTAGCAGTAATCATGAATATCATGTTATGAATCAAATTCACACAAAATTGCAAACATATGTAATACTACTGTATTTCATATAATATATTCATTCATTATATTAGTATTTGATTGAAAATTGAGGTCAAGTTTGATGTCTTTGTAGTTATGGGTCAAACACTAGAAACTGGAGGTCACTGTTGACTAACATTGTTGTTGTTGTACTGCATATCATATGAATGCTATTGAATGCCATTGAATGCCATTATTTGTTGACAAATGCGTTGAATTGTCGATACAATGAATGAATGAATGAAAACATAATAATAAATGGTTTTTAATTGATTTAATGTTTTATTTCTTATATTAATTATTATTAATGATATTTATGTTGACTTCAGTTAAAAACCATATTTTTAAATAATTTATTATTTTATTTATACATATATTTGATATAATAAATACTTTAAATGATATTAATTGTGATATAATATTAAGTAATTTGTTAATTGAAATAATATTTGAATAAATGAAAGAAAATATGATTTAATTTGATATATCATATGATATATGATATACTAAATGATGGCCCAAGAAGTGGAGCAAAATAGTGACCAATCTGTAGACACGATCTGCAATAAGAAGTCATTGTTGCAGTCAATTGATCGACGGATCAGTACTGTTGATGAATTGGTTGACGATATGACTAGTCTTGAGACAACTATTCTTCCTTTGGATCGGTTCAAGCAATGGGTGTATTGTATAGCAATCGTTGCGTTTGATATCGAGTTGGGACAAACCATTCAGGTATGACATCCCAAACCATACTGTCATCTAATGGTTTATCTATTGCAGCAAATATATCCCGCATCAGTTAAACTGACGGAACGGGAGGTCAGTTACACTCAACTTGTGCTCACATTTAATACATTAATGCATTGATTGTTATATTTTATTGATTAATATCTAGATATCAAACATATGTTATCTATCTTTTCCCGATTCAAACTCTGGCTGTATGTGAGTACATAAGATGATTGGTTTAAATCATTGAATATATTTATATAATATATTATTTTGATGTCTGTAGGGGTGACACACAGTTCCACTTTCGGACCAGACTTTGTCCAATTCATCGCAAAAGTGTATCAATTTATAAGGACTATAATAAAAATTGTTATCAACCATTACAAGTGAGTTATAATTTAAATATAAATAAAAAATGATACCTAAATGTTATAAACCGTTAGGTCGATGGCACACACTTTTATGGTTACGTATACTTCCGTCAAGTGAAGGACAGGACCGCCCGTCGCGGATATTTCCAAAAATCTTTGGTTTTCTTAACTCGACTTCCATTTGTTCGCTTATTTTCTCAAGTTATTCAACTAATGGCTCCACAATTCTTTGAATGCGGTGACGCCAGTCTTGAAGCTGGTATGCATTGGATGTTAAACTTATAGATAAATGTATTGTTGATGTGTTTGTATTATTGTATTTCATTAAAGCGTGTCACGACATTGACCAGTGGCCGCCACCAACTCCGGGATCGACATTAAATTTGCCACTTTTGGGTGTCATTCTTCAAATAACAATACCAAACAAGACTGACAAACTGAATCACTCGCCAAATACAGAGAATCCCAATCCATCACTCAGTATAACGGCTTTAAATGACAGCTCTATCTCATCCTCATCTTCACAACAATCATTAACTCCCTATCCATTAGTCATACCATCAGTTTATGAGCTAAATATATATAAATCCTTGGCATCAATCATAACTCATGTTCAACTACTTTGGGAGCTAATACTCACATGTGAACCGATTACAGTAATGGCATCCACTCCTGATGTTTGTTCCGAAACTGTCCAATCATTAGTTGGTCTCATTTTGCCGATTAAATATGGATCCGATTTTAGACCATTCTTTACAATTCATGACTCGGAGTTTAAAGAATATACTACTAAAACACAGTCACCGTTAGTATTGTATTATTAATAAAATTTATATTTTTTCATTTGAACTAAATTTATTCATATATATAGTCCACCCGTGATATTAGGCGTTACAAATCCATTCTTTGCTAAAACTCTTCAGCATTGGCCACACATTATCAGAATTGGTGACTACGGTTCAGGTATACAAATACTATTATATACTGTATATACTGTATATTAATCTGTATAACTTTATAACATAAAATTTTATCATTTTGTATATTTATAGTAAACAATCATAAAAATAAAATAAAGAAAACTGGAATCATTAAGACTTTGGATTCAAAGACTGGTGTTTATACCAAATATAAACCATTTCTTCAAAAAGACCGCGAAATACTTAAGAAATTAGTAAAAGGAATTGAGATGAAACGACCACAAGAAGTCCAGAGCGCTCTTCTTAGAAGATTTTTTATAGAACTGACACAAAGTTTTTTAATACCTTTAGAGAGATATTTCGCTTCACTAATGCCATTGCAAAAGAATGTCTCGCCGTTTAAGAAAACACCAATTCTGCAACACTTCAGACCCGACGACTTCTTAAAGTCATTAGAAACAAGTGGTCCTCAATTGACAAGTAATATCAAAGGTGATTGGATTGGTCTCTACCGTAAATTCTTGCGCTGTCCTAACTTTATTAGTTGGTATGATTCGCGTCTTAAAGAGGCCAATCAAAAGTTACGGGTGCTTCATATGGAAGCAATATCTGGCGCTAATCTAATGGATTGGATTCGCGATAAGGCGGAAGTTGAAGTGGTTGACCTAATATTAAGACTCAAAGAAAAATTATCATTAGCTGAGAACGATTCTTTGCCTTTGAGTGACCAAACTGTATATAAATTGAGGTCAACTTTAAATGACATAATTAACACTTTGCCCGATGACCTCAAACACATTTTATCAAAATCATAATTTCATTAAATGAGTTAAATAAAATTTATTTATCATATAATTTTGCATTTATTAATTAGTTTATGTAGTAATTTCGTTGGTATATATTATCCGTAAATCATTCAATTATTAAAGGATTAATTGTCTCGACTGCCAGTGAAGATAATGAATGACTTATCTGTTAAACATTAATAATAAATATAAATTATGTTTTGTCTACATTTGACCACTTGATTGATATCATAATTACCAATGAGTGGTCAGACAGAGTATAAGTTCAATACAAACCCGATTCATAGTAAAAGCACAGACTTTGTTGTTAAACATTGAATACATTGTCAATGCATTCCTAACGGCAATTAAATCTCTAAATAATAAAATAATTACTTTTAAATATATTAATATTCAAATCATTTGTCATTATTTATCATTATTTATCAATACTTAGCATTTATACGGATATAGGCTCTTAAATCTTGATCTTTATATTTTAGTAAATCAATGTTTATTTTGAGACCAAATTCACCAAATAATGATTTGATTGCATTTAATATAATTAATTTGAATTGTCGACAATCTATATCTAAATAAGTATCCCGTCGTTCAAATTGTCTGTAAAATTATATAAAATTTTAATTGATTTATCAATGATTACATCAAAAAAGTATTATACAATTGAATGTCTAAATAAATATAATGATTATCTTCTCGTATATGTCTATAGCGTACAATCGATGACATGATTATCACAATTAATTAACTAATCGCTTATAAACTTAATATTTTGAAATAATTATAATTTGGTTAAATTAAAGCATTAAATGTAATAAAATAAATATCTTACAAATTATAAATTACAATACCATGTATTATATTCATACAGTATATAAATAAAAAACATGTTAATCACGTGATCAATATAGGTTTTATGCATATTATTAATACTACAGTATTAATACAAGCACTTTGGTTGCAATTTCAAAATTTTGTGGTAAAAATCTATTGATTAAAGTGTTAACAAATTATTACTATTAATACTAATTTATTTGTGAAGGCTTTATTCATGCCTTACTCATACAATCATATTAGTTTCCAATTGTTAGTGATTAATGTGGTATTTATTTGGATGACCATGGTCAATATTTAATATTTTTGTATTATTAGATTATAATCTAGTATACGAAACCGTAATATTGAATAATGATATGATGTAAACCATACTAAAAATATTATGGATTAATTAATAAAAAATTGTTTGACATTTATATCAAAATGTTTTTAAGTACAGATATTATACGGTAAATATTTTAAGTATAATTTTAATATACCGATAATTGCCGTCTCTTTGTTATAAATTATAACTTTTAATAATTAAAACTCTAAACTCAACAACAAAATAGAAATAATGAATAAAAATACACGAATCAATAAAATTACTTGAATTCAAAATCAATATTCATTATATATTGTAATCAAAAATGCTGTTTATTAAATACAGTACATATAATATTTAATAATATCACACATTTAACACTTAATCAAAGTGGTATTTATTTGGTCAAAATGCTTACAATTTTGTACTTAAAAAATAAGTAACAAATTTGTAAATCTCGTATATTATATGTACACCTTTTATACATTTAAAGCTATATCTATAGTTAACTTATGGTTTTCATTGAGGTTTAGRTTATACAGTAGTTTAGGTTATGTTGGTTTGAGTTCAGTTTCTTCTGATTTTGTTTCATCTGATTTTGTTTCATCTTTTTTATTTCCTTTTGTTTTTTGTTTTCCCTGTTTATTGTTATTTGTTTTTGGAGTAATAGGCTTTCCCTCTATTGGCAAACAAACATTAAAATAATTAAGATTGTAATTAGTATTGTAAACACAGAATAACTTTACTTTTATCAAGTTTAGGATACGCTTTATCTATTAGTTGCTTTAGTATGGGATCATTAAATGTTTGCCGAATTGGATCTAATAGTTGATTCAAGTATTTTTCAACCGAATTTTTCAAATCACCTGGATGTAATGCCTAATTGTATTTGTTATAATATAAGTCAATTTCATTAATTTTAATTCATAAAATTATAATAAATGTATACCTCTTTGACAAAATCTTCTTCTAGTGTTTGATACTCTTTATAAACAAGATTACCGCCGAAGGCTTCTTTTCGAGTGATTTCAAATGAATCAAACAGTGAAAAGATGACGTGTTTGACAAATGCAAGAACACCGTTGTCTTCAACTTTTCCCGGCTCACAGAAAGCTTTCTTGAGTTTCTTTTTGACATCTTGTGGTGTGTCCAACAAATCTATTTTTGAGTCTTCTTCAGATGAACTCATTTTGCCGCCGGACAGACCCGGAACTGATCAACATTTTAACGTATACTTAGAAAAATAACAAAATCATTGCTTCAAATGACAACATACCCATTGGATTCATAAAATGTATTCGCTTAGTGTAACCCATTTGAGGTAAATATTTTTCAGCAAAAGTAAATATTTTCCTTTGATCTACACCTCCAAACTGGGCGTCCACTTTGAGGTACTCTTCATCCAATGCCTTATTATTTAATATAATTTAATATTTAACTAATCTATTAAAACGTTTAGAAAAATATTAAATAATAAGCACCTGTAGTCCTGGGTATAGCAATGAACTAATCATCGGATGATCCACTTGTTTGACCACTTCTGCGCCGGCTTTTTTGGCATCGTGTTCGGTGACCATCGATGACAATCGATAAACATCGAGAGTAAACTCTCGACTAAGTTGATAATCAGTTCCCTTAACAAACTTAAGTTTATCGATGGAAACACCAATAGAGGTGAGCATCGATTTGATAACAGTCTCATAATATTGTGTTCTATATTCAAGTAAATCCCAACTACTCTTCATGTTGTCTAAGTATGCGTGAAGATTGGCGAACAACACCGTCACCTCACAGCCGGCCTTCAAAAAGTCGGCGATTTTACACATCGGCACAAAATATGCCACATGTGGTCGGCCAGTGGTCGCCGTTCCCCAATAGATACGCACATCCCGGTCCAATAGGATCTCTTTGAGACGATCTTCGCCCAAAACTTCCTGTTTATAAAAACAAACAAATGTCTTACAATTACTTGACTAACAATTTCAACACAAAATACCTGAAGATTACGTTTAATTAAATCCACTTTTGATTCAACATTATTATCACCACTTGCTATACCATTACCACCGTTTAAATTATTTTCATTTGCCATCATTTAGATAATAATTAAGTGAAAAACTCTTCAACTCTTCAAATCTATAACAAACTGATTACACAAATGTGACAATTGATGGGTAAATATGTTCACTAATAGTGACAAACATGTGATGCAAACATAGGACACGTTTCATAAGTCATATATAATTGAATATTTAATACTCATTTAGAGTACTATTGCAGTGGTATTGCACTCGAGTTTAGTCACAGAGACATCTATTATACAAATATTGTTCATAATTACAGTTAAATAATTATATTTAATAGTATTAATAGAAATTAAAATAATATTTATTTATCATTTAAATTAAAGTACAGTATATTTCAATAACTAATAAACATAAATATAAAATACTATTAGAAATAACAACCATGATACTTTTTTAATAAATATAAATATTGCATTAATTCAATTTTGACATTTCTATTTAATTAATATATTTTTATTAAATTTCAACATAATTTAGTGTAAAATCATAAAACACATGTCTTAATGAGTTTGTACCCATATATTACACAAAACTATTATGAATTTAATACAATTTCAATATAAAATTAGTTTTTCACAAATATACACACAAGACAAGTGATGTTTTCAAATAACTTGAAAAAATGGTTAACAAATGTGAGCTTATTTTATAAATTTTATGCTAATTAATAAAATATAATTTATATAACTTTTTTGCTTACAGTTAATATACAGTATTGTAAATTGCAGAAATTTTCAATTATCTATTTATTCTAATATATAATTTTTTTATATCAATTAGTTAAATAGTAATGTTTAATTTAATTATGTTTTATCCATGATATTAAAATTTTTTTTATGAAATTATTAAAAATAATTAATATTAAGTTATTTAAAACTATTGATATCACAAATGCTGTCAAAGAGTTGGCACCAATTTGTTGACACTTTTTATCTTTAGTTTCTTTTATTTTTTATCTTTTGAGAGCACAATACTGTACTTATTAATAAAACTTTTATAACTTTATATATCGGTAAATAATAAGATCATCTTTATCTACATAGTATACAGTAGTACTGTACTAGTGAATCAAATTGCCATAAATTTACTGTAAATCATATACCGTTAGGTGTGGTACATATAAAATAAGTGTATTTACCACTAATTTTATTTTTATATAATGTTTAATTTGATACAAATAATATGATATTTTTTAAATGACAATATCATATGGAAACTATATAAACAATGATTAATTAAACGGTACATAAAACGATAATTTCACGGAAAGATTTTCAAAATGCAATAACAAAAACAATGAGTTTTAAATTATTACATAATATTAAAAACAATAATATGATAATAATTATGCCATATATATAAAGACACCGATATTGTCGTCATCGCGTCTCATATATCGGTGTTCAATAAGCCATTCAATCTGTTCTTTGATCATCTTCTTTGACGGAAGAAACATATTCTTAAGTATTTCTACGAGTTCTGTCTGCAACTGTGCGTTTGTCATCCTTTTCCTCATTTTCATTATCGTCACAATAGCCTCCTGTGTCCGTAGTATTCGCAATTGAACTATACTTTCATTATCCTCTTCTCGTGACTTTTCAGTGGCCAACTGTAAGCGTCCGATGAGATTAACTTTACCCCTCCTCTGAGGTTTGCCATTCTTACTATATTTTCAATAATTATGGTAACATTAATATTAATAATCAATAATGATGTATATTATTATAAGTAGTCATACATGACTGCAAATTCTTGATTAATGCTAAATATAGTACTGTCGTCAAAGTCTTTGATTGATTTAACATCAGACTCACAGAGAAGTACTTGGCGTTTGAGTTTTGGAAACGCTATTAAAGACTATTATAAAAAAATTAATTTTATTTTAGTTTTATTATTAAAGATATTTCGTAAAGTAATGACAAAACAAACCCATAATGTTTTTCTGAGCTCAGGATCAGGTAATTCAGTCGCCAAACGAAGATTTTCAAAACTAATTCTATCAAATGGCCGGTCATTCCAAACAAATAGGACAGCCATTTGAAAAGTAGTCACATCTAAATCAAATTTTCCAATATTGTTGTCGAAGGTTAGCTATAAATTTTAACAAACAATTCAAATTAGTTTTATTATATTTTTAATTTAATTTATATAATAACTAACGGTTCCATTAGACATATGATGATACCATTGAAGTTTACGGCCATTATGTTGTTTACGATAAAACTCTTCGACTTCTGGTATGATATCTTCCATTTCGATGGGAAGTGAGACCTGAACTCTTTCGCTACCCCGAGCCCAGGCGCCGGCATTTAATATCTTTATATTTATTGAATCAGTCAAATGATGGCTCAATCGATTAGCATTCTTGAACTGTTGATTTAGATCTTCGCTCACTTTAATATCTTGAAACATTCGGCCCAATTTGTTTACATATTCGGCTGGCATTCCGACATCCCGGAGCCATTCAACCATATTTTCCTCTTTCTCACTGTCAGCGCTTGAATCTAATATAAGACGTCGTGTTAGATGTGCCTTATGGTAGCGCATAAAGACATCTTTGTTTTGGACGTATTTCAATACAAGTAACTATGGTTTAATAAAATAAAATTTGTAAATATTGTTTATATATTAACGCATATTACCGATAAATTAGATCTAAAAATACTTACCACTTCTTTAAGTTTGGCTTCAATTTCATCTGAAGTTAGTTTTCGACTAATAGGTGTCTTCCTGAGCAACATATCACAGTAATTGGCTAATAATTCAGGACATCGAGACTCGGGTTGAACTTTATTTGAATTTGCAGTTAAACTAAAACAAAAAATATACTACAATTTGTCTTAATTTATAATTTTTAAGAAATTTACATCTTTTGTCGGGTCGGAAGCTCCAAACGGAATACTGATGTGTCGTTTACAACTTGTTTAAAGGCCTGATATATAATATTAATTGTATAAATCGTATAAATACTATTAATTTCAATTCATTCAAATACTTTATCTCTTGCGGTCAGAAATCTCGGGTCATCATTAAAAGCTTCGTTAACTAAACGACTAAACCGTCTAAACAACTCTAAAAGCTGTTCAATATATTTTTCTGAATCTTGAGTTATAATCTCTGCCGATGCCATCATATCAGCCAATCCTTGTTCAATGATATGGCTTTCCAAAAACTGAAGCATTGGTACTATTCCATCGGCAACTCTATCAAGAAGTCTGAACATTAGCTGCAACTCTAATTAATTCAAAGAAAAATATGTATTAATTTATTAAATTTATTTTATAATTATATGTCAAAATCAATTACTTACTGACAGTATCATTGAATTTAATCATTAGCGGACATTCAGCTATTATAATATCTTTAAATGCAGTAATTAATACTTTAACACAACAGTCCAAACGCTAAAAACAAATTTAAAAATATTAAATAATATTAATTAAAAAAAAATTAAAATTAAATCAACCGTTTGTGAAGAACCGGGATATGACTCCAAATAACGAGAAGCTCTTTGTTCTTCTTCCATGAGCTTCATGTCTGCCCAATACATATAACTCTGAACACCATTGGCTTCGAGATATTCAGGCGCTTTGGTGCGATAGAAGGCTTCGGTAGCCTCGAGATAGGCCTTCTCGAAGTTGTCTCTATAAATTTGAAGTCTATCGGATGGATTTGAGCACAGATTGACATAAGACTCGCGTACGCCTATCACTAATTGAGAGTCAAATGCTTCTCCGGTGCGCTCCGAGTGAACTAATTTCATGGCACTGTTCTGTAGTCTATGTTTTATATTAGAAAATATACTGGCATTCCAACTGTCTAACATTAACTGTCAACAATTCAATCAATTATTATTACATTACCGGTAAGTATCACAATATCATACTATTTATTATCAAATCATTCATTCAATACCTTTCTAACAATGCTTTCCTCATTATTGATCTTTTTCTGTGTACTATTAGCGGGTGGTTTGTTCAGCAATGCCTGTTCTAATTGATTGAAAGGCATGGGTAGGTATGAGCACTGACTAAAAAACTTTTTCCATGAATTTATGTAAGCTTTGAGTAAAGCCTGGTCTTCGTGGTGTCGCATAACGTCCTAATCATTAACAATAATAATAAATCAATAATTATGTAACAAAAATATAATATTTAGTAAAATGTCAAAATATAAATAAATGTGTCATTTAATAATATATATAATTTGTTTGTTATTTACATTTCTATAAATTTTTCAAAATATAACATTAGTATAGTCTAAAACAAGGTCTCTATAAAATTGAATCAAACAATTTTAATTATCTTTATTAAAATCATTATGCAGTCAAATGCCAACATTGATCTAATATTCAGATAATTTTTAACACTTTAAAGCCTTATACTGTATAAACTTTATAATAGTCTTATATTTAAATATTTTAATTAGTAATAGTAAATAGTTTCATATTTATTTATGCATTTATTTATTTAATTACTTATTTAAATTTAGAAAATAGCAAAGATATAATAAAAACATATTTTAAAAATTTCTAATTTTACATTAAAAACACATGATATAAAAAAGTCATTGTCTTTCTAATAAATTCAATAATATATTTTTTATTAATAATAAAAACTGAAATCAGCAATAATTAATATAAATAAATTAGTTATATAATAATTTTATTAATATTATAAAATGTATAATATATAGTATCATAACCACCATGTAATTTACATGTATATAGTTTATTAATAGCTGATCAAAAATTATAACAAATATATAATATTATAATTTGATATTATTTATAAACATTTAGAAGATTATATTAAATATTCATAATTTGGTCACTTTATGATAATTGGTTCCCAAGATATGGACAATAAAAGCAATCTTTCAGTAAAATCTCAGTTTTGCTAAATTATACTAAGTTTTTAAAAAGTGATGACTCAAAAATAGTAAAATTAAATTATTAAAAGTTTCATCAGTAAATAAGTACACTTGAGACTTATATATAAAATATTTAAAAATATAATTAATACATTATATGCTTATTTTTAAATTGGAGTATTATGAAGTACCCTTAATAATTTTAATGTTAATAAGTCAATAATAAATGACAAAAAAAAATATAGATATAATCTTCTTTTATTTCTTACAATATACACAATTAAAAAATATTTATAATATTAAAACTAGCAAAAAACAATTTTATTTGTTTGAGTTCTAAGAAAAAATATAATTTAAAAAAACTAAAATACAATTGTTATTTTCTTATAAATTATGTATTATTTTTATAAATAACTACACAATAAATATATGATTATTATAACCAAAGTATTATTAAATTAAACAAAATATACTATTTTTCAATTGATGTTTATATCATATACATGTATGTATTGGTTAAAAATTTATTAATTTATAAATGACAGAAATTATTTTGATCGAGTCATAAATAAAAAGATAAAAATAATAATATTTAAAATTGTGCTAAACACATTTTATGTAAAAACTGTGCCAATATATTTTAAAATCAATAATAATACATGTGGTTTATCAAGTATTGTGTATTAATGACACCTCAAATTGTTATAATTACTTAAAAATAACGTTTTTATTAAAAAAAATTTAGTGTCTATAAAAATCCTTTTTCAATAGAGTGATCAAATACATGGATCATATACAGTGTCATATACACAATCAAATACATGTGTGACTTCTAACTAAATACACTGTTATTGTAATAATAATATAATAATAATATTCTATTTAGTTTAGAAACGGCTACCTATTTATGGTTTAGACTATATATTCTAAAAATAAGCTCAATTTTAGTGGTATTAAACTAATTAATACAATTTATGGCAATATATAGATTCTATAATATCTTTTAAGAATATTTAGACACAAAAACATAAATTGTAATATAATGTTAAAGTATGGGGTATTTTGTCAACTTTACTATACTTTTTATAGCCTATGAATGAATAACATAAACTTTATAATATTCTACTTATGCTTTTTGTTTAGTTAGTGAATTCAATATATAATTATTTACACAAATATTGGACATACAATTGAATTGATATATAATGTAATGAATAGACAGATTCTTAATTTTAAATTAACACAAATTTCTCTCTATATATATATAATCAAAAATTATCGTTTTATATCAACGAAAATTTGTGTAAAAGATCTGTAAAAACAGTTTATTTATTTTAAATATTGAAAAATATTTAGTTTAAACCATTTTCAAAGTTAAACCCATTTCTATTTGTATACTTCTATTGCACAATAATTCAAGGACTTTAATAAAGTGATGAGTTTATGACCCCATCTAACACATGATAACTACTTCAACATAACTCACAGCACATCATATTTTCTTAGTTAACATTAATATAATTTAATACCTATACTATACTATACTATACTATAGTTTATAGCACTTTAAATAATTGATTGAAACAAGTTTTTAGTTGAGATAAAAATTATTATTACATAATGGAAATACAATGACATTTATCCACTGCATTAAAATATGTATTGTAATCTGTTATAAAAAATGTTATAACAAAATGAATAAATATAATTTACATTTATATTAAACGATGACTTAACTAAAATTTTCATAAATATTTTTTTATCTTATTTTAACATAATTCGTAATTTTATAAAACAATGAAAATTACCGGTACTTAAAATACTAAAAGTAAATGACACACACTATAGTATACACTGTATAGTAGTCTATATATGATTTCTATACTGTAGTAAAATATGTGATAATTAATATTAATAAGCATTAGACTAACTGATCATATATTACATTAGATATATTAATGTTAATGAACTGTCTGTTTGAATCATACCATTTGTTGTGTATGAATGAAGTCTAGGATATCATCTTTGAGAGTAATATGCAATTTGTTGGCACCCTTTTCGTCCCAAAGACACACTGAATGGACATTCCTGTTAAACAACATATCAGTTATGATAAATACAATCAAATGATTGACATCACCCACCAAAACAAGTCCTGCCATTCACTTCGGGTCACATTTTCCTGTCTCAACAGTTTAAGTATCACTGGTCTCATCTGTGGCCACACGTCCTCAAACTGAAGAGAGCCCTTCTCCTTAATAATTGAATCCATTATTAATATGACTTATCATTGAAATCAATTGATAACATGATTACCTTAAACATCGATGAATTAGTTGCCATTAATCGTAATAATTAATTTTAGTTTAAAATTATTTATAAATATTATTAATTAAATCAATTACTAAAATAACATTAATATGAATATGAGATTTGGTTATTAAAATATCATATATTATATGATAAACATATATTAAATATGATTAAAAATTATCCACAAAAATAACAATTATTTTACAAATAATTTCAATGGCAGTCAATAAATACAATAATTAAAGTTATGATATACTAAACAAAATTAATTGATTATAACTTTATAGACATTTAATGAAACAAATAAATAGTTAATTGTTGTCAACATTGCAGACACTGTCAGTGCTTTTGTATTGCTTTCAAACAACTTGTTTGTTGTTTGTTGTCATTCACTCTAAATTATAGCATAACTTTAGACAACTAAACATAAAGCATACATGTGTTAGCCAATCACTAATGTATTATTTAAATGTATAGCTTTATGGCTATTATATGTGTGATCGTAATCAATACAATTGAATGTCAAATAATATTTTGCTTAATATTCTATTCTCTTATAAATGACGTCAAAGTAATTATTTGGGGATTAATTGATTTTATGTGTTAATGGTTTGCAATAAACATAAAGTGGTTATTAATAAGTGAGAAAAATAGACGTAATGTATGAAAGTATAACAAAATGTGACCAAAACATGACGTTTTGAAAGTCTATTGAATTGTATTTTGATTTGGTTTTGAAAATTGATTTAATTAACAAATTTTGCTAATATTTACCAACAATTTATAGTTTATCTGATACTACGGTTGTGATGACCAAACATTTGATGGTCTAATAAAGTGATTGATTGTTATTAAGTAACAAATAGATGGCCAAAATCGGCAAACCTCTTGAGTATACCGTACACGACGTGTCCGGCTATTCACCGAAATATCCGCCGAAGTGAGTGACAGACTGACTATAATTGAAATGATTGTCTTAATAGTTGTTTGTTTTAATTAGTGGTATACTTGTGGACAATCCAAACGATCCTAACTCTCGCTGGTCTTCAGAATCTTATTGCGCGCCACAGGTTTGGTGACAATTAGACAATAATTGATTGATTTGTTTGTTATATTTTGTTACGATTTACTGTTTAGTACATCACATTGAAATTGGTCCGGACATCGATTGTCACTGAAATACATTTTGGTAAATACAAGACAAAACACGTCTGTAATGTTAAACGATTTAAAGTGTTCGGCGGAATGACTGAAGAGTCAATGATTGAAATACTGGATGAAGTGCTTACCAATGATGAAAATCCAGAAACATTTCAATTAAAACATCAAATTATGTCAAATGAGTTTCCCTGTCGTTATGTGAAGATATTAATGATGCAAACGTGGGGAAGGATTTACAACTTCAGCCTTTGGTTTGTAGAGCTTAAAGGTTATGACGATTGCATTCTAGTCAAAGACTCTCTTAATTGGTTGAATGAGTTTCGACAACGAGAAGCCATACGTTTATGTCTCAAACATTTGCGACAAAAGAATTGTTCGGAAGCTTTTGAGTCTTTACAGAAGAGAACTAAAATTCAATTAGAAGACCAACTATTGACACGACTTCACAAACTTTTAGTAATCGAAGGAGACTTTGATTCTTCTGAGAAGATGTTACAGGAAGTGGTTGATAGTCGTCTATTTGATCCATTTATACGTAAACAAGAGTACCGACCCATTTGGAAAAGATTGTTACCAAAGACAAAAAATATACAGCCGGGGATGAGAGGCGGACACCAAATGTGTATTGATTGTTGTTCACAAATTATTTACTTATTTGGAGGATGGGATGGCACTCAAGATTTAGCAGACTTATGGTCATATGATATTGGAGCCAAAGAATGGTGTTGTATATCAAGAAATACTTGTCTAGAAGGCGGTCCTTCTGCTAGATCTTGTCATAAGATGTGTTTGGATCCAATCAGGAAAAAAATTTATACATTGGGCCGATATCCAGATGTCACATCTGTTGATAATTTAAAGGTTTTACATTTAGTTATAGTTTAAAGTTTCGATAATTGTATTATAACCGGTAATTAGATAAACAATATTATTATTGCATTATAGAGTGATTTTTATATCTATGACATTCAAATGAATAAGTGGTCGCTTATCACGGATGATACGACATGTATTGGTGGTCCACCTCTTGTATTTGATCACCAAATGTCAATGGATTTGGAAAAGAATATTATCTATGTGTTTGGCGGCCGAATCTTTACGTGGTTTGTATAATAATATTTGGATGTATTTATTGGAATAAATTTATTGGAAAAATAGTTATTTTTTATTTGTTTTAATAGTTCGTTAGCGAATCGTTTTGTCAATTGTGTGGATCAACCATTATTTAGTGGTCTTTATATTTATAATGTTAATAAAAATCAATGGAATAAACTTCGAGACGATTGCTTAACAACTGGCGAAACATCTGATATTCAATTGGGAATAAAGTCACGAATTGGTCACTCAATGCTTTTTCATCAAAAATTGAGATTATTATATATCTTTGGTGGTCAGAGACATAAAGAATATTTGAATGATTTTTTTACATATAATGTGGACACCAATGAAATTACAGTCATCAACGATGGCCATACATCTGAATTACCCGCTTCGGGATATTTTCAAAGGGCCACTATTGATGAGGATAGCTATGAAATACATGTTTTAGCGGTATGTATTCAAATTATTGGTAGTAATAACTGGCATAAAATATAATATTTGTAGTAAAATATTTTTATAAAATATATTACATTTATAATAATTAGGGACTAAATATCGATAAAGACAGAGAAAAGAGTAGAGATAAAGATAAGGATAAAGAAAAAGAAAGTGAATCTTCGGAGGAGACAATTAAGAACTCATTTTGGATCTATGATATACTCGACAATCGTTGGTCTTGTATTTATAGAAATGATAATAGTTTGGACACTAATTGTACGAATAGTAGAAATAATAGCAACTGTAGTGAATGTGATCTGACTTTAACAAACATAACCAATGATGAGAGTCATGAAATGAGTCAGCCGTGTCCACGATATGCACATCAATTGGTTTACGATCACTTCAATAAATGTCATTATTTGTTTGGAGGTAATCCGGGTAAAAATCAATCGCCAAAATTAAGATTAGATGATTTCTGGATTCTTGAGGTATTAATAAAATCTAATTTATTTGTTAAACTTATTTTTTTATCACTGATTTATATCACTATATTTATGATAATTTACAGCTTAAAAGATTGTCCACAAAAGAATTGCTTAGAAAATGTAAGCGATTGGTTAGAGAGCAAACCTTCAAAGAACTAATCCAAAGGAATGGTTCGCTGGCCATCAAATATCTTCAAAATGAATTGTCGTCGATATTCAATCATTCAGATCCTGAAGAGAAACGTTTGGTAATTCAAATAAATGTTATTATAATTACCGATAGTTTGTTAACATATTTTACTGTAGTTTCAATCGTTGGCTTCACATATATTCAAAACAGAAATCAAGACAAATCTCAACGAATACATTGATCCCGACGTTAATTATAAGAACAGAACCAAAGTGTTCGACACAATCGTCGAATTCTTTCCCGAAGAGATGACACAACCAAAGGGTAATTTAGTTGATTTGGTAATCATTTAATCTATCAATTAGTGAGAGATTATATTTATTTTCAAGAGTTTGTTAGTCTTATCTAATATAATAACCAATTTTTAATTTCTTTGATTAATTTGTTTATATATACAGTATATATATACCGTAATTGTTAATATAAATTATGTATACGTATTGTAATATACATATATCTATTAATAAAGTTATTAAACTTATTTAATTTATTCTTTATAAATATCGATAGGTAACGATATCGTTACAATTGTGTACAGTTTAGTAATGCAATTATCGTAATAATAAAAGGTATGGTATATAGAGATTGAATTTATAACCGTAACTAAAATAGATAAAAATTATTAGCCTTCAAAGCGAACCTTCTTTTTTGGTGGCATTTCATTATCACCTAATAATTGATTTGAGTCTTCAGTTGGAACGAGACTTTTCTTTATGTTCTTCTCTTTTGATGAATTTCTAAAAGCTTTTGTCTTTCTTAGAGACAAACTTTTATAATCTTGTCGTCTCATATGAATGCGACCTAAAGTAGAGCCCAATTTGTCTCTATTGATATTCTTAACTATCTTTTTCTTAAACACTTCCGGTTGTCTTAGTGAACGCTTCCATAAGTCTTGTGAGGCTAAATGTGTTCGGCGAACAGTGAAGTCAACTCTGGGACCCATCTCTTCGAGTTCAATACGTGGCAATCGAGTGCCTGAGTTCTTAAGCAACACTTTATAACTTCTCATAAATACTTTTCCATCAAATGCCACGAATTGTATGACATGTTCTAAACCAGTCAAACGAATTGATTCAATATTAGGTCCGCTGAAAAAGTCTACCAATAAGTTCTTAATTCGTTGATAATCGTGTTCAACATCAAAGGGTTGACCACTAAATAAAACTATTGGTTTTGTGCCGATTGCTATCTTAGGTATCTTAAACTCATTTAATGATTTGTAATTATCAAATCCCAACTCAACCATATCAAGGATGTGGTCATCAAATGTTCGACCGATTATCAAATTGTTCGGTCGTTTCTTCGAATGATTTGCAAACATGAATAGCGAAGCATTGTTTTTATTACACATAAATTCAATGGAAGTGATGTCTTCAAAGGGATGATATGTCTCTTTCCTTAAGACAAAACAAACCCAAAATAATTAATAAAATGTTAAATTTTAATATCAATTCATTTAATCTAATATTCAAATACCGATTGAAGAATACACTGTTGGGCTTCTTTAGCAGACACTATCAAAATTAATGGTAAATTAAGTTAAAATATAATAATTTTTACGACAATACTTACGATATCTTTAATTAAATCAATACATCGTTGACTGGCATTTGCAGACCTCAAGAAGATTGCAGTCTTTGTTTGTTCAATCAGTTGTGGTTCTCGAGACTCAAGAAATCGCTTTCCTTTGCGTGTCTTTGCCTTTCTGTTTACAAATATTTTATATCATTATATTATCACAATATTAACCACAAGTCTTACCTTATTTTATTGATAACACTCTTGTCTTTGATGACAACCATTGTTTGGCCGAAACAAAGTCAATACAAATCACTAATATTTGTGAATCGCTTTAAATGGCAATCAATTGATCACTTGATTCACGTGTTTTGAAAATAACATTTAAAACACATTGAAATGCATTTACAGTATTATTACTGCAGTATTGATATTTGTAACGTTGTCTGTGAACGATATATAACTTATACAATATAGTCAATTAAAAAGATATTTAATTATAATTAATATTAATTTAATAATAATATAAAATTTTTTTTTAAAAATTATAATTAAATCTATATTTATTAAAATATGTAATAATAAGTAATAAAATGATAAAATATAGGAAATGTGACAAATGTTTAGTATGTCAGTCACACTGTATGACTATATAACCAATTGTTGTGTTATTTCCGGTTAAGACTTGACTTCCTTTTCACGTTTGATTACATCGAGTGTTGACTTACTGTTGAAGACATCACCGAAACAATGGTCTGTTTCTATCATTTACTTTACAATTGTTTTTAAATTAACTAAAATATGATTTATTTAACAGTCTTTAGTAATACCGGAGAAGTTTAACCATATTTTGCGTGTTATGAACACCAATATTGATGGCAAACGTAAAGTGATGTTTGCATTGACTGCCATTAAGGTAATGACGGATCAACTTATTTATGTCCAGTTATTAACAGATGTTAATGTTTGACAGGGAATCGGTCGGCGATTTTCAAACATTGTCTGCAAGAAAGCCGACGTCGACCTCAACAAAAGGGCCGGAGAACTGACTGAAGAAGAGGTCTGTTTTATTTAGTTATCATTTGTTATGATTTACTTATTTCTTTTGATTGTTTAAAGGTTGAGAAGTTGATTACAATAATGTCAAATCCCAGACAATACAAGATTCCCGACTGGTTTCTCAACAGACAAAAGGATATCAAAGATGGAAAGTACTCTCAGGTGACGTCCAATGCATTGGAAAGCAAATTGAGAGAAGACTTGGAACGGCTTAAGAAGATTCGCGCCCACAGAGGTCTTCGACATTACTGGGGGTTTGTCACCGGTGTTTACAAGTGATGTGTTTGATGTTATCATTTTAATTTTTTTAGTCTTCGAGTCCGCGGACAACACACTAAGACAACCGGACGAAGAGGTCGTACCGTTGGTGTCAGCAAAAAGAAGAACTAATTGCTTGCATAACATTCTTGTTTGTATTAATACGTATTTTGAATAAAGTTTGCGATCCAATCAAAGAGTTAATTATTTATTAAAATATAATTATTTAAAATTCTTAGCTATAATTAAAATATTTAAATTATAAAATTAATGGTTTTATTACTTAATTTAAATAATTGGAGACATCAAAGAAAATATAATTAGCGATAAATTTAAGACATGAATTATTTTGTTGTTGAAAATTGTTGATTATTTGTATAATTTATTAACTTTAGACACTTAACGCTAAATCTACAATAAAATTAAGGAAAATGACATTAAGTTAGTGTATAATATGTTGTTTGTTTAGTTTATATCATTTATTGTTTTTAATTTAAATTGATTTACTATATCATCAAATATAAAGTTAGAAAAAAGTTACAATTATTCACATATAAATTATATCAAATAAAACATTTAAAGTATTCAATGCAATACAGTTGTTATGCAATGTAGTTATTATAAAAATTAATATAAATAAAATAATAAATTATTATTATAATTAATTAAAATTATAATTAAAATAAATTATTAAGTTATTTATAATTTACCGGTAATTGAAAACTATAGTTATATTAGTGTACAGTAGAGAACTCTATCGTTATTATGCATTGAATAATATGTCACACATTTGAGTGTTTGGCTTATGTTTAACTGTATGTGTGATTGTATTATATATTAATTGATTTGTTATATGATTAGTGATTAGTCATCACAATTGATCCCAATATTGATCTGTAAACAGGTTGTCATTATCATCAAGTGGTAAGACTTATGATTATTATATGAATCTTATAATAAAAGATTTTCTATGTTTTTCAGTGCAATTGTATGACATTGTTGTTGATATGTCGATGATATTGATGTCTATTTATGTCTAAACGATTACAAACTACTGAAGAATGGAGTGATGACGACATTGAAGGCATTTGGTTGAGTGGTTCGCCAAAGAGAGTCAAGAGTTCATCTGAAAGTAAAGTGTTAGACCAGTCGTCCATTCAAAATAAAGACACTTTATTTAAGAAAGCTATTAATCGTTTAACGGATTCAGTAAACAAAGTCTGGAAAGCCTTTAAGTCTCCGGAAAGACGAGATATGAACTCTTCGATGGCAAATGAGTCGTCCGTCACTCCCCGTAGAGGTATTACACCGACTAATGATAGCAATCATAGGTTAATAACTAATTGCCATTCATTTGGCACTCAAAATACACCTAATTTACAACAAAATATAATCCAATTAATCCCTATTAATACTATTAATACTATAAATACAATAATGATTAAGCCGTCGGGTGCCATCATTAGTCAATCACCACAAATGGTGATATTAGCGCAAAACCAAGTGTACAGTACTAATATAAGTACTACTCCTATAGCATCTCTACAACCGAATAATATGCAAAACAAATGTATAAATTGTGGACAAATATCGGCCTCTCCTATCAATGGTAGAAACTGTGGTCATTGTAGCGGACGTTCATCATTTCGGTCATCATCTCATTTCCAGTCATCTATATCGACCAATCAGTTCTATGGAACTTCCAACCAAAGTAGGAGTTCGACAACTAATCCCAATTTAAATCTTAATAGTCTTAGTGAAACACCAAAGCGTAGTCTTCAACCAAACCAACGCATTCGCCATTTATCTGGAACCACAAGTCCTCTAACAAGTACTGAATGTATTGACTTAGAGGAGAGTATCATCGATGTGCCAGATGTTCAAAAATCAGCAAATAATTGCTTAGAGACACATAATTACAGTAAAAGTCCTTCCAGTAGATCGAGTTTATTGTCAAATAAACTCTTTAAATGTCAACATTGCGACCAAGTTTCTGACAGTTCTTTAGAAGGAAGACAATGTCCACACTGTTTGAAACCAATTTCTACATCATTATCATTACAACGCAGATCTTTGTTCAGTAATGACTGGAAAGATTGTGATATCGATGATAATGTTGGTCTTCAAGTGATTGGTGATAATAAACAGAACGATTTATTGGTTCATCCAAAACATGAAAATGAAAGTATTTTCGGTACTTCCACTTTACCTCAATATGTCTTATTTGGCACTTATAAGGCAGAAGTTAAAACTKTTGAGTTTACCGACGATGGCATTAAATTTACAAATGTATCGCCTAATTGTTCTGCGAGTAAATTCAAATATCATATAATGATTCCCTACAATGAAATTGTAAGCCTAAAGTGTTGCACTGATCCCATCCAACCAACACTTTTAGTTGAACCAAATAATGAGTCAAACAATAAAATTCAAGAATCGCTTAATTTAGGAAAAAGTTCTAAAAATGGACTCCGATTTAACACTACTTCTGAAGGTTTTTATTAATTTTGTTATTAATGTCTAAATGACAACTAAATATTGATTTTAATTTTTTGGATAATTATATATCGTTTTATTTAGATAAAAGAGAGAAGTTTATTATAATAGTATTGAAAGAGTGTATATCAGATACATTTTATAATAGATTACGGGATCAAATAAAATGTGAAAATCAAGAAATTAAAATCGAAACTTTGAACCTGAAAGCTGTAAAAGCTTTTATAAATGAAACACTCAAACGATTTAATGATTCACAAATAAGTGGTCAACAATTTGATCGATTGATTCAAATGCAAAACACATCTCAATCACTGCTAACCCCTAACCCTTACTCTCTAAAGCATTCTTCACATTCTTCACCAGTTACTAGAAATACTCGATCGAGATATCAACCAATTCCTCAGCCAATGACCATTCAAATCGATGACGACGAAGACGAAGAGGAAATCATCGAATCGAAGAATTTATTAGATTCTCAATTTGAGTAAATAATTAATAATTATTATATTTAAATATATTTATATTAATTGTAATTTTTATTTATAAATAGTAAAGTGATATTTACTTATCCTGAAGACGAACCCAATGGCATTCAAGTGATTGGAAACGATGTTCTTTGTTTGAATCGCGAAGAATTCCTAAACGACAACGTCGTTAACTTCTATCTGAGGTCTCTATTGTTATATATTTAATATAAATTTTATTATTAATTAATTAAATTAAATTTAGATATTACTATAAAGAGCTATTAGAAAAAAATATGTGTGAAAGAGTCCACATATTTGATACATTATTTTTTATACAACTCACTGAAAAACGTCCGACAAAAAGGAAAAACATATTTACTAACGAAGAGCCGCCGTATACGTCAGTCTTATTTTTGATACTTTTATAAAACAATTTTCTTAATATTTTAATTGTTGTTTATTATACAGTTTTGAACAAAGATATGAGAAAAAACTGAAAAAATGGACAAAAAATATTGATTTATTTACCAAAGATTTTCTGGTGTTTCCAATAATAAAAGAGTCGCATTGGTTTCTGGCGATTGTCTGTTATCATAATCTGGTCCAAGAAATCACTCAAAAGGTTGTTAAGAAAGATAGTCCCAATTCTAAGAATCAGACCATTGAAGGCATCGACAAGAGGTTTGAGAAAATAATAATAGTTTTATAACATTTTACTAATAAAAATTTATTTTGTCAGACCCTGTATTATATTTATGGATTCGTTAGGAAACAGTAGTTATAAGAAACAGTTATCCCAACCATTGCGTGATTTTCTTGAATACGAATGGAAAGACAAAAAGAATAGCGAACTGTCTTTTAAGGTTAAAACCACAGCTGGAATGAGAGACTTTAGCCCACATGTGCCCAAACAAAACAACTCAAGTGATTGTGGATTATTTGTTTTGGAATATATCGAACAGTTCCTCAAAGATCCCGACACTTTAGTGGCAAAACTATTAATTAACCCAAAAAATGGTTTACTTGATTGGTTTGATCCCAAAGTAATTAAGACTAAACGAACTCAGATTCGAGAGTTAATTTTAGATCGAATTCCTTCTGAAGAAGTGAAAAATAAAATTAAAGAACGAATTGACGATAGCATTGAATCTGATAACGAAGAGACACACGATATTACAAACAAATCAAATGAAGACAATGAGGACAACCAGGATATGGAAGAAAACAACAATAGAGAAGAAATGGTTAATAAGGTTCGGTCGGATTGTGACGATGAGATCGGTATGGAATTAGATAATAATTCTATTGATGACAACAATAGTGAGAGTCATGTGAAACCACGACAACCTTTATTATCTCAAGAATCACATGAAGACATTGAAGAAGTCCATTAATTAAATGCTAGTTTTAATAATTTATGGTTATATATATTAAATTTATTATAATATATTTTACAATAAACTGTATTTTCATTTTCAATCTTAATGTAAGTGTTATGAGTTATTACAATAAGATTGCATTCATTTTAATAATTTTTAAACAGGTATTCAAAAATTCAAGTTTAGTTTAATAATTGAATTGAATTTACTTTTTATTATTTTTCTTTATTTTCTTATACCGAAAATTACAACAAATTAATTGGACTTTTGATAAGAATATATGATATAAAGGGTCTTTAAAGTTAAACATTATTAATATATAAATATAATAATCAAATTATATTTTTAAATAAAACTACAATAATATTTATAATAACAAAAACAAATAATTTTTTTATTGATAGCCATTAAAATTTAAATCTTGAAATTTCGTTGTTTTACATGAAATGTGTAAACATATGTTTTACATAAGTGTTATCATTTGAGTTTAAGATTCATTGTTTAATATTGTCATTAATAGTTAAATATTTTTGAGTTTAGTTTAAAATATAAAAATCTAATAAATATATGAAATAAATAAATTCACTTTTGAAATAACAAATATTCAAATAGAAATACAATACTATTTAAATAGTTTTAATCGCTTTGGAAATACAATATATTTGTTAAGAAATCATTTAAATGCGTTTGCAATTGAAATAGTTTTTAAATAAAAATGTGAAACAATATAATACGATCAGAGTTTTAAAAATGGCAGTCATAAACAATAGATACTAATTTTGTCAAATGCCTGTCCTGCCTATGCCATGCCATACCCTGGGAATCTATTTTCAGGTGGTAATACCTATTATTTTAATTTTATATAATTAATTAATTTATAAAACATTGTTTTATAATATATTTGCTTGTATTTTTGTTTTGTATAGCTTTAATTTTGTAAAAAGATAATATCATTGGAAATAAGTATATTAATTGTAAATTTAATTAACACACTAAAACACTAAATTACATTATTTTTATAAATACAGTTGCTTTTTAGCAATTTAAAATGGCAGACAAATAAAATAGATGCCCAAAATGAAAGGCATTTATGACATCTATTTGGGCATTGCCAGGGCAGGCATTTATTTCCTTAAAACCCTGAATACAATATATATATTAAAAAGGATAAAAATGACCCGTCTCTTTAAGAACATAAAAATTGGTGTATATATTGTCTTAATTTTAAAAATTTAAACATAGATTTAGATATTCTATCGAAAATAGAATAGAATTGTCTAAACAATTATTTTTTTAATTTAATAAATGAGTTTAAAATTAGTTGAAAAGTGGGTAAAAATTATTTTCAAACACTTTCAAAAAGTTCATTTTGCTAATGCTATCTAACATTTCAATAATTGATTACTATTTTATTATTTATTTAGATTCTTATTTAATTGATTCAATGAGAAAATTATTAAAATTTAACGTTACTTTTTATATATATAATAATTATATTGAATAATTAATTTAAGTTAATACCTCTATTTTTAAACTGGATTTTAAAGTTTGAACTAATGTTACATATAAATAAACTGTAGAAAAATTATAGTAATAATAGTAGACTATAATATTAAAAATATAAATTAAAAAATATATAATACTGTGGTATAAAATATTTTATAATTTTATATAAAAGTGAATCTAAATAAATAATGTATAATAAATATAATTATCTAATATTATATACATTATGTACATTAAGATCAAGTGTTATGTTATGTGTTAAATGGTTTGACATTTACACTATTACTGTAATACATATTGTAATGTATTGAGAGTACAACCCATTGATGATTACATTTATGTCAAACTGTTTATACAATGCTTTACAGCAAAGTTGTAATACATTGTTGTTGTAATCAATTGTTTGCAAACATCTGATAACATGTGAATCCCATTGACTTATTGACCGGTTATGTGAACAACAATTAATTGTAATTATGTTATCAATAGTTAATAAAACAATGTTAGCAAACATTAAACACATTGTTAGTCGACACCAACAATGTTGGCCAACAGGTCCGCTACGGTATGTAGTGTCGGACACTGCGACAAACAGTGTCACTGAATCAGCTATGAATTGTTGGCAATTAAATGCTTACTCCAAGACATTGAACGACACAACACTGTCATTGAATATCAATTGTCACAAACCTATTATACAAAAGCCAACAGAAATGTTGGTTCGTGTCATGTCTTCCAGCGTTAATCCCATTGACTTAGCCATGAGCTCGGGTTATGGCCGATCACTTCTGGATGTGCTTCAGATGACCACTGATTATGGAGTCGATGCCATCACATATGATAGACTTCCACTTATTTTAGGCCGAGATTTTTGTGGTCAAGTAGTTGAATGCGGGCATCAAGTGGTTCAATACAAAGTGGGAGATATGGTTTGGGGGGCTTTACCTCCCTTCTGGAGGTCTGGCACTCTCTCACAGTTCATTGTCGCCGATCAAAGCCATGTAATCTGTTTTCAAATATTAAGCATTTAATTAATACTTTATATTTAACTAAATTAATAACTAATATCATTATAACTATAATCAATAATAATAATAATAATAACAATTAATAATAAGACAAAATAGTTTTAAGATTAGACTAAATTGAAATTAATGTTATTTTATTGTATGATTGCTTTCATTTTAAATTAAACATTTTGTCTGATATTATGAAACAACAGTTATGTCTAAAACCAAGCAATTTATCGGTCATAGACTCATCTGCGATACCATATGTAGGACTGACCGCTTGGGCGGCTTTGCATACAATCGGAGGTTTGAATCAATTGAATGCTCGTAATAAAAGGTAAATTAATTAATTTGACTCTAAATTTACTCTATTGTTACCATAATTTTACAATTATTAGAGTTCTTATACTAGGAGGTAGTGGAGGTGTCGGTTCATTTGCTATTCAATTATTGAAGACATGGGGCGCACACGTGACCACCACATGTGCTGCCGATGCAATTGATTTTGTCGTTAGCAATACCGGTGCCGATGAATGTGTTGATTATAATTCAAATGATTTGATCGGATATTTAGGAACTTTTGATTTGGTACTAAACGCTGCTAGTATTGGACAGCACCGGGATTTAAAGCCAGAGTTTGGTGTCAAGTATTTACGCAAATGGAAATCAGCAAAATATGTGACACTTTCTACACCCCTATTGAATAATACCGATCAGTTTGGACTTATAATAGGCAGTGGCTTATCTGCATTCACGGCTATTAAGCAAACAATGGAAAGTTGTATCGATGGTCACAGTGTTCGGTGGGCCTACTTTTGGCCCAACCCTTGCGCTCTCAAAACAATCACCAAATTAGTTGAGAAAAATCACATCAAAGCAATTATTGAAAATAAAATATCTTTTAGTGATATACCTCTGGCTTTTAATAGACTAGCGAGAGGTCACGCGAGGGGTAAAACAGTCATTGAAATTGAATAATATTAAACAAATTGGTTAATACTGTAGTTTGCTTACACTGTATATTGTTATTGTCTAACTCTAATTCAAATAAATGATTATATAAAAAATATTGAGTATTTAAAATTTGTTAAATATTGTAAAATATGATCAACCTAAACTTTCATATTTTACAATTAATAAAATAGCATTGCCAACAGTTTATATTTTAACTAAAGCAAAGTGGGATATTTTTAAGGTTATTTTATATTTTACAAAATTATTTAATAACTATATAATATTGTTTACTAGTGTATATAATATGGGATAAAATCATTATATTGTTTTACTAAAAAACAACTACCAATATAATACTGTTTGAAAAATTAACGAATTCTATATAAATATATAATTATAATAAAGTTTCTATATATATATAACTGATATTTTAGTATTATATCATTTATATTTTGTCAGTACTGTATCTTAATTGAAATAAATGTAAATAAATTTAATGTATAATTTATAAAAACAGGTGTATATTGCAGTCAATATTTAGTTTCAAATATTTTGTGATTTAGTCGTCAATTTGAAACTCAAAAACTGTTCACTTATTTTCTAATAATTAAACGATAATTGATTGGAATATGAAGTTGTTTTCCAAAATAATGTTTGTTTAAATCTATTTAGATTACAAACAATTGCAATACATTCCCATCTATATAATCGTTTCAAACCAATGTACTAATAAATAAATCATTAAAATATCAAATATGGTACGAGTTTTTATTTAAAATTATAATATCAAATAAGAAATAAATTATAATCATAAACTAATAATTTTTTAGCTAAAATAGTTTTATCTTAAACTAAACGATAATTATAAAATTTTTGTTATATTAAAGATAAAGATAACTTTTTATAAATATATTTTGTTTTTAAAATACATTCTAATAACGTTACAGTAGTTTAAAATGAAAGCAATGATACTGTAGTTTAAACTTTAAAATTCATAATTTTTACGTTATAAAATAATTTTAAATCAATAATTAAGAGTCAAAAACAATTAAACAATAAAAATAAAAAGTTATAAATAGTTTTAAATTTGATATGAAAACAAATAAATAAAAGAAAAATTTAAAATAATTATATACTAAAAAAAATAATTAAATAATTAATAATTACCTTAAAAATAAAGAAATACATTATTTAAGTGATTCTTAACATTCAAGACGAGCTTTAATATCGATTTTATTAAAGACATGAGAGAAGGCATACACCTGATGGTCAACAAATGGATTGCCTCATAGTAATGGACTACTACTGGGTGTGACCGCACTCTTTTTAGCCGCTTTCGAGAGGGAGGCGTTCTGTTTGGACAGTTGTGCTATTTTTTGCTGTAAGTCCTGAACCTTATCGGTGTGTTTGCGCTGCAATTCAGTAATTTTCTCTCTGTGTTCACGCAATTCCTGACTGTGCGCTGAACGCAATTTATTCATCTATTGGACAGATAGTCCAATAAATATACTATTAATTACATATCTAAAAAATCAACAATAATATTATATACCTCAACATCTTTTTGAATTAACTCCTTTTTCTTAATCTCTATTTGTTTATTCAATGCTAATATCTGTTCCCTAAGCTGTGCCACAGTAGCAATCGTCTCGGATGAGTTGGGGTCCATTGCTGAGTCCAATGATGTAGTGGTCAACGTCGATGAATTGGTCACATTGGAGACAGTGCCGTTTGATGGCTTAGTTAAGTCAATTCTTGGTTTCTTAGTGGCCGTCGAATTGGAACTGTTTTGAGGTACAGAATGACGGTTATGGTGGTGCTTATGGTGTGACCGAAGCTCATCTCTAAAAATAAATCATTTCATAAATTTATAAATATTTAAAAATCATTGATATTAATGACTCACTTGGAGTGATGTCTACTTGAAGACCGAGAACTACTTTTAAGTGCAGATATGGATGTGTGACGGATAGAGCTGTCATTTTGTTTAGCTTTGGCGAGAGCTCTCTTGTATGACAGCGTACATAACCAACACAACAGTTTGCCGTCAACTTTCTTACGGCTTTCGGGATCTTTTCGGTCAAAAGCACACCTTTGTTTGCACTGTTCACAAGTCAGTGGTGGTCCATATTTCTTCTCCGAGTTGGCACATCTCTGACATTTCGACCCAATAAAAGCCGCAATGATATTACAATAATCACATGCAGACGGCTAACCAATTAAAAAAAAAACAACAAAACAAGTGATTTCAACCAATTGTGTCAATATTTATAGTAATATTATTTCTATCACTTAATCCATACCTTTCCATATTGTTTGACATTTTGTTCGCACTTCTTGCAGATGGAAATAACACTTGATTTGCTTTCCTGTTGGAACTCTGTTCGACAATAAGTACACTTAACGATAGGAAAGGCTCCGCGACATTCCTGTCCATACATTTCAGACAATCAATTAGTCATTTCATTTGTTACCCCTTAACTCATCCATACTTTACACAATTGTTGTCCCTGTGATAGCTCTTCAAATGGATGTCTTGAGTTACATCGCGTGCACGCAAACAATGCTTCCGATGACGACTGCGATGTCGACATCACTGATCTGAAGACTGACAAAAATGGGACCAAATTATGAACAACAGGTCAGTCACTGTTATGTCTCTTCTCTCTTGTAATTAAATCATTTGTCATTCATTTGGTTTGATTTTGTCAATAATGGTCTCAATTATTGATTCATTAATTAGTTTTAATTATATAATAAATAAATGAAAAAACAATTCAATTGAATGACAATTAGTTTTGTTATTATTATATGTATTATAAAAATGACGACAAAATTATCATTCAATCAGTGCTCACACTCTCTATAATACTGTAGACAAACACCGCTAACATAGAGACCAACACTTGACTAGAGCTCAACGTTTACCGGTTAACACAATATAAACCATAAAACTATTAATATATTTATTTAGATTTTATTATTAAATTACAATTTCCTCGATGTTATTGTTGCCGAACTGACAAACTTTTTAACACTTGACCACAAACTGCGTCCCAACTAATACCTCGATAGTGCTATTGTCGCGGAGGACTCATCAGAAGGTATCGACGATATTGTAATTTAAAAATAAAATCTAAATAATTGTTATTTGATTTCTCTAAAATTATACTTAAATTATATTATTTTTTGTAATAATTTAACTTATTATACAGTATTTACAGTAAATATAATATAATTTGACATTTTTTAAAATTATTTTTAAGCAAACATACGATACACTGGAATAATATTTCTATTACTAATATCAAATATAAAGTTATATTTATGTTATGTTTAGTTATATATTATCCAATAAATTATTAAATCATTGTTAATAATACTAACAAATTGTATTTCTATTATTTATTTTTATACTTTTAAAATATATTCTTATAATAACAGTATTATTTTATTACCGATAATTCAGTTTATATTTCTAGTGATATTTTATTATTCTATAATATTAAAGATTAAGTGATAGGGAAGGGTTTGGTCGACTTACCCCCAGAGACCAAGATTGTTGGCATTTTAGCACTCCTAGGCTTTTGTAATAATATAAATAAAATTGCCTAAAAACGAGAAATGAACCCTTGAATTAAAAGTAGCAGGGGAGGTTAAACAAATTTTGGAAATTAATATTTTAATTGATATATTTTAATATATAATATAATTTTACATACAATATATATATATTAAATTTTAGATCAATCGGATCAATATTTTTATAGTTTATTAAATAAAATAAATTTTGATTATAATTGGAGGTATACAAGAAAAATCAAACTTTGAACCCCCAAAAAACACCCGTCCCTGGGATCAATTATTATCAATTTTTTTTGGTGACATTATAATTATCAATATATGTTTTTAGGAAAGTGTGGATAACATTAAATTATTAAAAATCATTTTTATTAAACAATAATTAATAAAATCAATAATTAATATTTTTATAATTATTATCAATAGAGTACAGTTAAGTCACATATTGTAAACTAATTTTTATGTCAATTAATTTGTCATTAATTTTTAAGATTATTTTTGAGGAGCAGATCCACTCTTGATAATTATAATGTCACCAAAAAAAAATGATACCAATTAATCCCAAGGACGGGTGTTTTTTGGGGGTTCAAAGTTTGATTTTTCTTGTATACCTCCCATTATAATCAAAATTTATTTTATTTAATAACTATAAAAATATTGATCCGATTGATCTAAAATATAATATAAAGGTATATACTGTATGTAAAATTATATTATATATTAAAATATATCAATTAAAATATTAATTTCCAAAATTTGCTTAACCGCGCCTGCTACTTTTAAAAACAAATGTTAATTAATTTTTATTATAATAGTACTTATTTTAATTGAATTATTAAATAAAAATAGGTAAAAGAATTGTAATAATGTGAATATTAATTAAAATTGAATTATAAATTATTGGGAACTTTAAAATTTTATAAGGAATTATCTTATGACCTATTGGTACACTTATACCTTCATTTGAAAATTTCAGATAAATTGCGTTCAAAAATGTAATAAAATATTTTCCCATCCATTACACTGTGAACCCAAATAATCTTAACCCTGATTATATAATATTTCATTCATCATATCTAATAAGTGTGATATAATTACTATATTGAACATTAAAGCAAAAATAAAATTTTCCATGTTTAATTTTTGTTAAAATTTTGTAAAAATTCCAAAATATAGTAAATAACATCAAGAAAACTGATATTATATTCTATATTTAGGAGAATATCTTAAAACTCGACTGATTTTGACTATTGATACTATATATTAAATATCTTGTAAACTATACCTTAAATGTAAAAATGTAAATATTATACTAAACATTATTGTACTTGGTCATTTTTTGATTAATTATAAAACTAAATAGATAATAGCATCGACTGATAGAAATTTTTGTTATTCCAACAGTCGATGCTGTTATATAGGTTTACTATATATTTAATATATAGTATCAATAGTCGAAATCAGTCGAGTTTTAAGATACTCTCGTATATTAGTAATGTTTATATTTATATTTTTAAAAATTATATTAGAGTAGAGATTAGTGTAAAATGTTTTTTACAAAATTAAGATTATTTAATTTATGATAAATAATGCTTGAAATTACATAATAATGTATGAAATTTATACAAAATGTTTAATAAATTTATAATATAAGTGTTATTTTAATACCATATTATATCTATTGTAGAAAATATAAATTACATATATTTAATAAAATAATTTTTTATGTTAAATTTAATACCAATTTATCAATAAATTTTTAATTCTGTTATAAAATAAATTTTTAAATATTTATTTCAAATAAATTAAAGTTTGTAGATGATAATAAATTTTAATTTATAGAAATAAATTATATTATTAGAATCAAAAAGCATAATTATACCGATACTAATTAATATAACATTTTTTTTATAAAACACAAAAATATTAAATTACAGTATTTATATTCTATATTTTAAATTTTAACTTAAATTAAGTTTTGTTTCGTTTGTGTTTGTTTGTGTGTGTGTGTGTGTGTGTGTGTGTGTGTGTGTGTGTGTGTGTGTGTGTGTGTGTGTGTGTGTGTGTGTGTGTGTGTGTGTGTGAGTAAGTATTACATAATTATATGCTTTATTTGAATCTAGATAACTTCAAAAAATATATCGTGAAGTTTAATATTAAATAAAATAATTAATTATAATATACTTAGTTCTACTGTATATTTAATAGTATTGTTCACAATAAATATTTTTGTTGAAATATATTAAATTTGAATAATTAATAGTATTATTATTTCAATAGTCTATTATTCTAGATTATCTTATAGAAATAATAGTATTGAATTTATATTTATAATTTGAACATGTTCATTCTATTACATGTAGTTTATAAAAACATAACATTAATTGTTAAAAATGAATAAATTATTTTATAATAAAACATTTGATGAAAACTGATGAAAACAAATATAACTAATTAACCATAAATTAACGCCTTGTTATTTCAATGTAATACTATATAATTTAAACATAATTTATATGTATTTATAATTAGTAATGAATATAATATAATTACTATAAAATCAATTTATTTTAATACATCAAAGTTATAAATGTCATAAAATATAAATAATAATCAGACGATTAATTAATAATAATTATAATAATTTTAAACTTTAACACACTTTTTAAATACTATATTATGAATAAGTTATGTATTCTTACATTTGTAAATATGTACATAAAAATTTAATTGATTAATAAATCTATATAATTTTACTTTATAAATATAAATTATAATTCAAAACAAAATAAAAATTATTTGATTATTTATATAAAAAATATTTTGCTTAGTTATATTTTATATAATTTGTTTTAAATATTTGTTAAAATGCATGAAAAAATTATCTCATTATTTGATTATTTATATATAAAAAAAATTATTTATTTATTTAAAATTCTTTAAAATAATTTATTATTTAAAGTGCAAACTATATTAAAGTTCAATAGAAATTTAGTATCAATTTAGTTAAAATTGTTAAAAATAGTTACAAATATAAATTGATTGATTAATTATATAAATGATTTATTGAAAATAAATTATCAGACAAATTAAGTACACAATTATCACCAAAAAATGATCATAAGGTATATAAGTGTGAAGAGTGTACTCTAATAGGAAATTATAAGTTAGTTATGTGAGAGAGTTTAGTTCACTTTTATTTAATTGATAGTTATTTGATAGTTATTTTATAGATTCAATATTAACTAATTAATAATAACTAACTTATAAGTGATAATGGTTCAATTTACTAAATTTTATACAGTACTAGTCTACAGTAATTTAATATTAATTGCATAATTACAGTATTTACTACTGTATATAACTTTATATTTAGTAAATAAGCTAGCAAAATTATATTTGTCAATAGATGGCTTAAGTAACAAAATATAGTAAATACTGTACATACAGTATTTACACATAAATTTACACATATCACACACAAATACACAATACATGCATAGTATACATACTGTACAATATAAAGTTTAGTACAGTTTGAGTTTCCAAGGGAGGGAAGTTCCCTAATTAAATCCCTGCAATTTCTCGGAAAATAGGAAACATATTCTTTTATTTTCTATTTCTACAATAACTAATAAATCTTATTTTTGTGCATAAAATAAGTTTGAATTTAATGAATTTAGTGCTACTATTTAACAATAACACTCAAAATATAATTTAATACAACATTTGTTATTCAAATCTTATAAAATAATAATTCAAYCAATTGAGAAAAAAATAGCGCTAGAGATCGTCATTTTAGTATTATGGGTAATACTAGAGGTCCTGTACTACTACTTGACATTAGTTTACATTTGATATCTATGGTAACTAAATATTTGGTCAACTTTTTTGACACTACTCTTAAATTACGTTATCATATTTATTGCTATTAAGCTATTGTGTAAGCAATAAATATGATAACGTAATTTAAGAGTAGTGTCAAAAAAGTTGACCAAATATTTAGTTACCATAGATATCAAATGTAAACTAATGTCAAGTAGTAGTACAGGACCTCTAGTATTACCCATAATACTAAAATGACGATCTCTAGCGCTATTTTTTTCTCAATTGATTGAATTATTATTTTAATAAAATTTGTTGTTTAGAATTCAATAGGTTATAGCATAAGGAAATAGATTGACAAACAGGGAATAGGAAAAATTGGTAACTTTTGATAAATAAAATGAGGGAATGAATTTACCCGAACCCTAATTACAGTACTGTATATGTATAACAATACTAATACAGTATTTGATAAATAGCTGTGAATATAGCGCACAGGTAGCCAATGGGATGCCCGTTGTCATGACATACAGTTATCAGATATAGTGATGACATCAAGACATTTGTCTCATATTCTACGCGTGTCTGTATTTAGACATCAATTTTATGAGAAGCCTAATAATTCCCTACCGGTTCTCATATATGTAAGTATTGGTAACAAATGTAAACGACTGAACCCTTTGCCTTCATTTGTGTAAAACGTTATTATTTGTCACAAAATTGCAGTAAAAGTCAGGATCGAAGTTAGAGATCGTTTCAATTGAAGCTATAAATTGCATACATTTGGGACCATTCAGACCATTAAGACATTCAATACATTCAATACATTGACTGATTCAACAAAAAAGTCATTTATTTCAACCAATACTTCAATCGACACAAAACTATAACAAATATTCATTATTATCGTCAATAATGACTTCCCAAGACTTTTGTGGCTTTTTTGAAGGCACAGAAAAGCTCCTCGAGATCTGGTTTGACAAATATGAGGACAACCATAACGACTGCGACCTCAGAAATATTCAAAGGTATGTATGTCTTTGATATTGTAATTACCAGTCATTACACTTATATTTATATTATACTTTAATATGATTATTATATTAATAATTTGATATACACATAAAAGTATATAACAAAATGATCATGGTCATTATTCTATATATATATATATATTATTTATAGTATAAGGATAGTTGTATTTCGATGACCTTTAAGTGTTAGTTTTATCTCAAATATTTCAGTGCTTATCAAATGTGACTTTAGTTAAACATTTTTGTCACATATTTTACAGCCATTAACATAAAATTGAGGCTTATTTTGTATATTTGGCAAAAATATCAAACAATTTTAAAAAATCATTTTTACAACGATATTATTTACAAATCATTATTTTTTGTATATATTGTAATATGAGCATGCTAAAATTTGATTTAATATTTACAATAACTATATTTTATACAATAGTTATAAATATGATATATAGTGAAAGTGAGAAATGCAATTTCATTGAAATTAATGTGTTGTGTCTATACATGTAGTATAATGTCATATATTAAACAATATTTGATAAATTATTCATAAACTGATAAATAAAATTAATTTGTTTTTATTGAGAAAAAACTCCTTGAAATAAAAATGATTAGACATTTAGTATTTATTTTATAATTGATTACATAATACACTGATATCTGTTTGCACTGTTATCAAAAATTAAGTAATTAATGAGCTATTAATAAATGATTTATTTTGTTTAATAATTGATAATTTAATGTATAGGTCTGCGTGGGACTCGTTGTTAAGTTTTGTCAATTGCAAAATTATATCATTTAAAAGCAATGAACAATTGGATGCTTATGTGTTGAGGTAGTATATGTCCAATACTATAATAATATATTTGTCTATCATTATTATCGATAAAAATATTTAAATTAAAATCTATTATAGTTGTCTTAATTTGATTAAATATTTATATTATAGCAAAGTGCAAATGTGCACAACAATTGGTGTCACCCCCACAGTTACAAATTGAAAATGATCCAGTCAATGAGTCAGTATTAAATGTGTTAATTACACAATTACCGGTACAACTATTAATACCGTAGTCTCTCTCATTAAGTGTAATAAGATTATAATTGAAATCATTTAGATTTCATTGCAATTTTATGCCAAAATAATCAAAGACACCCCCATTTACTGCAACTTATGTATAGTAAACTAATTTATAATAATGTCTATTTATACTGCGTTTCGTTAACATATTTCAATATTATTATATAAATTTACGGTACACTATATATTATACAGTAGTATAATATTTTTTGGTATTAAATATATAAAAATTTAAAGTTTTTGAAAATTAGTTTATAATTAAACACCTTTTTAGGTATTGATAACAAAATGAAATTGATATTTAAATTGCCTATTTAAACAGTAAAACATTAAATATCAATTAAAATGTCAAATAATTGAATAATAAATTTATGAATAATTGGGGCTAAAGTCGATTAATTTCACTTATAATTGCACTGCAATTTTTTGAGACAGATTACGGTATTAGAGACTAGTTTTATAGGAATTATTTAAGGCATATATAAGTCTTAAGAAGTTATTATAAAATAGTTTTACAATAACTTCAATAATATACTAAGTTTTTATAGTGAGTTGTTAGTGATTAGCTGGATATATGCCGGCACGTAGAGGTACGGTTGGGGCTGTCACTTGTGGGTATAACACCCAAGTGTGCAATCTTTTACAGGCCCTACGGAGTACGGCCATTGAATTTAAAATTATTTTAAATAACAATTTTTGTGTATTAATACAAAATTAATCTCGTTTTGCATTTATTTAAAAAATTTTGCGATCATTTGGATCGTTGTTTCTGTAGTGAGAGTTCACTGTTTGTGTCAAAGAATCGCATAATAATCAAGACGTGCGGATCCACAACTCTCTTGAGATGCATTGAACCGATGCTATATTTGGTCAAACAAGTGGCTGGTTTTGATGAAGTAGTGGTAAGTATTAGTAGTAATATTAATCATACAAGTGATGACTTAAAATTAAAAATATTAATAAATTGTTATCATTTTAGGATATTTTCTATTCGCGTAAGAATTTCATGCGTCCGGAACTTCAGGACGACTCGCACCGGACTTTTGAGAATGAAGTCGAGGCTTTGGATAATCTTTTTGAAGGTTTGTTTAGTTGTCTTTAAAATTGATATCTTTCTAAATAATACTTATTTTATTAATATATAAGACGGCGCCGCCTTCTGTATGGGTCGTATAAATAGCGACTGTTGGAACTTATATACACTGAATACACCAATAATTAAGTCAAAATCTTTTATCCAATCGCCGGATCAAACATTTGAGATAATAATGCAAAACTTGGATCAAAAGGTTATGCAAATCTTTAGCCGTGATGTGTGTTCATCAGCTAAAGAGGCGACACAAAAGTCGGGCATCGATAAGATATTGCCCGGAATGATCATCGATGACTTCTTGTTTGATCCGTGCGGATATTCAATGAATGGACTTATTAAAGGGGTATGTATTTAAAAATATTAAAATGTTTTACTTATTGATAATCTATCATTAAAAAGGGATATTATGTAACAATTCATATAACACCTGAACCCCACTGTTCTTACGTGAGCTTTGAGACTAATGTTCCGCATAATTCATACCCGGATTTGGTGAACCGTTTGCTTAAAGTGTTTGTTCCGGGAAAGTTTCTCATGACTATCTGTGCTAATGAGGTATACTTTACGATAGGAGTTATTAGTTTATCATAATTTTAAATACATATCTATTTGTTTGAATACAGTTATCTTCGGCATACAATTCTCATAAAGAATTTCAAGACATTGAGTTTCAGAACTTTTATCGCAAAGAACTACAGGTGTGTCGCTTCAAGAACTATGAAATCACTTATGGATTGTTTGCTAAGCCTAATAGCTGAGGCCTACTGAATGGCCTGTACTTGACTGGACACGCCATTAAAGAAAACTTATATTTTAATTATAATTACATACATTTTATCTTAATATTAATTATAGACAAAACTTATAACTGCTTTTTAATCTATTCTCAACTTTCCTTATATTCTAAACAAATCTTTTGGGGTCGAGTTTCTTGAACTCAGATCATTGCATAACAATTGGGACTTTTATTTTATTTTTACGACATTTGTCTGATGGGATCAATAGTCTAATAGTGAATAAATGATTGAAGAATAAGTTTATGACATGATTTCATGGACTTCCTAATGAAATGTTATCATTTGGTTTATGATATGACAAATGTGTTCAACGATAACAGTGCTAATAGTTGACACTGTTTTCATGCAATGATCAGTTCAATTGGGTTTTAAGGAAACAATATTTTTATATATATATACTTTAAATATTGTTAATTATTCTAATAATTTTATTTTTTAAATGAATTTTAAAATTACGGTAATATATATTTATGTCCAGCATTTACAGGCAATAATTATATTTGTTGATTAATAATAAAATATAGCTTATAAAAATGATAAATATATCTATTTATTTTTTTTAACATATACTGTATCGACTGTATAATATCGATACCGTAAAATCGTGTTTTTTCTCCAATATGGAAATGTCTGTAATGGGGAATAATGCGAGTTTTTAACCATATGAACAAATATTTTGTGACAATTTTAATTTCCCCCTTCTATTTAAACGTCTCTATCGTTGCAAAACCTTTGAATATACTATCTATTTATAGTATGTAAAAATACTATAAATATATACAAATATGTCATTAATTGTAAACACTGTTATAACTAATTAATTATAGGTAATAATTAACTAAATACACCGTTTTTAATAGATTACCGTTAAATATGTATTACAGTTCCCAATTCCCCGATTTTTACTTTTTCCCACACCCTCGTTTAATTTACCAGGGGTGGTAAAAAATGCGACTTCTACCGTATTAAAATATTAATTTTCATATTTTTATGATTTTCATTCAGGGAATTAAACAAATAAGGGAAATAAGGTATGCTATTCGTTCATTAATAAACTAATAATTGATATCACAATTTGAATCATCACTAATAAAATACAGTTTTAGTTCAAAATGTTACGAAAAATGATTAAACAAATAATTAATTAAATAGCTATAAAATACATATACAGTCATAGACTTTATTATAAAACTATTTTTGTTTGATGGCATTTGCAATATCAATAATATTCAATGCCTGCAACAGTAACGGCTTGTCTATCATTTGTCCCTCAAAAACAAAAGCTCCCTTTCCTTCGCTCTGAGATTTTTGATATTCATGGATCAGTTTCGTCGCCCAATCAATTCTATCAGATGACGGACTAAACGCTTCCTCAATAATTGGTACTTGAGATGGATGTATACATTGTTTACCAGTAAAGCCTAATCGGGCGCCTTCTTGTGATTGGGCTTTAAGACCATTCAAATCTATAAATAAATTATAGTAATGTTATAATTCAGTGACTATATTACAGTTAATTTGTTAACTAAATACCTTTAAAATCAATATAGACGACATCGATTGCTTGTAAATCAAATGCTTTGGCCGTAACAACTACTTGTTGTCTGGCCATTAGAGTCTCGGATGAACCGGCAGAACGGGTGGCTCCTATTATACAATATACACATAACGTATAATATTATACTGTAGTTGACTATGAATTTCCATATATTATATTAATATAACAAACCAATTGATGCACAAAAGTCATCGGAACCGAAAACAATGGCCTCCAATGAGAACAAATGAAATTCAGACAATTCAATGGCATGAGTGACCACATCTTTAAGATTAAGTAAACCCTTAGCGCTCTCAACATATGTAATCAAATTAATTTCAGTCTTCCTTTTGCCCAATGCTTTGACCAATTTTTCACAAAACTTAATAATATAACAAATAAATCATTAAAATTATAACTAATATAGTATTTAAAATAATATTCAATATTTACTGAATCCAAATGCTCTTTGGTCTCAACTTTCGGTAAGAGTATAGTTTGCGGAATCTTCTGACCAGAAAATACAACATTTAAATCTTCTTCAGCAAAGCCACTGTCCATTGAATTTATACGAACTGCACACTCGCTTCGGCCAAAATCAATGGTTTGAATGGCCTTAACAGCTCCGAGTCTGGCCTCAGGCTGTTAACCGAAAGTTATATTATATCAATGTTTTAAATAATTATAATTCATTTCATACTTTCTTATTGAGAGCGACGCCATCCTCGCAGTCGAGAACCACTGAATCCACTGAATTACAAATAGTCTTCACTTTTTCCACTTTGCGGTCATCACTGGCCGGACAATACAATAGTGCTCTTCGTGGTCGATGTCTTGATTGTCCATTCAATACCTCATTTGTATTGCCAACTGTGGCATCAGTGGATTCATTGGTCACTTGCTGTGATAACAGTCTTTTATTACTACAATTACAAACAATTCGCGCGACTGAAGAATTAAAAGTACAAGTCATCTGTCGAAGTGGTCTACAAATTGATGACAACATTATGACACGTAAGTCGTTAGTCAAACAATTAATATATTTATTTATGATTGTAATCAATGTCTTAAGCAATTAATTATGTGATGATTAATGTCATTAAATAACACCGATATCTCTCAAACATTGTATGTTTACATCATTACAAACATTGTATAAATTTATGCCTTTTTCACACAAATAACTGTATATTAAAAGCATTACATAAATGATATTATATTAGATTTTATGTTATGTTATGCAATGTGTGACATACAGTACTACAGTATATTGTTATCATTCAATTAAATATTAATTATAGACTATAATTTATAGTACAGTATTACCAGTAATAGTACTGTATATAAACTATGATAAATTTATGGTTTATTAGCAAATAAAATAACTTTTATTTAAATAATTGAGAAAACAATAAATGTTTGAAAGCAATTACATTTATTTAACGTGTTATAAGTGGTAGAGTGAAAATATATTTAAAATACAATTTATTACTAATAATCATCAATAAATCCATTGTCCATCAATGGTACTACAATTATTTGTTCATATTATTGGGAAATCGGTGGAAACCCTGCATTCGGTGGATATCGAGGTCTATTAGCACCGATACCACGAGAGTAAGGATTCATTCCGGGCATACCACCCATTTGTGGCGGAGGCGGTGGTCCTCCCATTCCTGGATATGAACCTGGAGGTAAAGATTGCTGAAGTTGTGGTGATGGCATTTGTTGTTGTCCACCAGGTCCTTGTAATTGTGGCTGTTGTCCACCAGGTCCTTGTAATTGTGGCTGTTGTCCACCAGGTCCTTGTAATTGTGGTGGTTGTCCCCCAGGGTAACCTTGAACAGGACTCGGGTGACTATAATTGGTCGGCGGAGCTCCAAAATTTGTAGGTGGTGGTCCAGAGGGCATTGTCGGAGGTGCCCCAAAACTATGAGGTCCAGATGGCATAGATGTAGGCGGTACTCCACTTCCGTATAAATTAGGCGGTGGGCCTGACGGTTGTCCGCCTCCTAATTGTCCCATTGTTGGTGGTGCACCAAATGGTGGCTTTACAAGAGATTGAGGTGGTGCACCAAATGGTTGGTTGAGTTGTGGTTGATTTGAACCAAAAGATTGAGGATTGTGTCCATGGTAACCGGTTCCAGAAACTGATACGGCATTAGAGACAGAAGTCGGTGCTGTTGGTAGTGGAATCTGCGCGGGATTTTGACGATTAGGTGGTGGGAATTGTCCGGGATATGGTTGAGCTTGTATTTCAAAACGCTGTTGTTGTTGTTGTTGTGGCAATTGATTCATGTTTTGTGGGAACTGTGTTTGCGATTCGTTTCCCAAAGGCTTTAGTTCGGGAGCGGAGATATTACCGGTATTCAAATTTTGTTGTCTATTCTGAGAGGAAAGACTCGACACACTATCGGGTGTAACGGAGCGCTTCTCCTCACTTATCGGTCCATTTTGGAATCCTTCACTTGTTTTAAAAGCCTTTAATGGATCAAACTCTTTGGGTGGTTGTTGAGAAATTTGCGGTTTGTTTGTCTGTTCAGCATTTCTTTCATCGCCGGCAGCGGTAGTGTTCTCATCGCTAGAGATAAGACTTCTGGCCGGTGTTTCCAAACGATCTAAAAGAAAATTACAACGATTGCGAAAATGTTGTAATTCTTTGCGGATCAGTTTGACTTCATCTGTCATTAAAGGCATGGGCTGTCCGTTAACAAAGAGAGTCAACTTCAATATACGTGAGCATTGAATGGCAAACAATAAGTCACTGCTGTCGGCAATTGTAATCAAATCGTTGTCGTCGTCCTTATATTTAACAACGACATCATCGGTGGCCTCGAGTTTACCTCTGAATAGACGTTGCATCATAAGTATGAGTTCATCGTAAGTGATCTCTTCATTATGAATTGGTATGCGACGGATCTCTTCGCCGAACTTGACTTTAATAATCAATTTGCCGCTTAAATCCAAATGCGAAAACTCGTCGTTGACTGCCGTGAAAGAAGCTGTCGAATTGCTTGAAGCCATCGCTGGACATAAAGACAATAATATCACCAAACAAGATGTCACACAACAGATGTCCTCTAAAGGGTTTTAAATATCAATTGATTTGCGACTTAAATATCAAATACACATTTGACTCATTGATAATTAAGTAATAAATAACAATAATTATTGATAATTATTACTTCAAATAATTGAAAAAACTCTTATATTTACCAAAAGACTATTAAGATGTGATTTGATGAGTGATTTAATGGTTAATTGAAGACACTTTCAACTGAAGCCGTGTTTGAAAAAGACGTGTCAAATGAGTGCCAAAAGTGATTGCGTGGAGAATATAGACATATATTATAGTATAGTATAGTTAGGGTTAGATCAGATTCCCTCCCTCGTCTTATTATCCATAAGTTCCTTATATTCCCTCTTCCCTGGGAATTCCCTGGGAAGACATTTCCTTGTGGTACCACCTATCGTACCATAACTCACATTACATAATGTTTAATTAAAAACACGTTTGTATAGTAAATGACTACAAAATGTATTTAATATTTTTACTAAATGTTTTATAATATTTGAATCATATTTTGATTGAGTTATTGCTAACATACTGGTCCCAATTGAAACACATAGTCATTGAGATTAGGTACTTTATAATGTATGACAAATTATATTTTCCCTTTCTAACGATCAAGGGAGGGAATATAATATATTTTCCATATTTTCCGGGAAAATTGGAGGGATTTTATTTGGGAACTTCCCTCCCTGGGAATCTCAATCTAACCCTAAGTATAGTATAGTATAGTATAGTATAGTATAGAAACTCACAACCAATACATTCATTATAAACATTACAAACAGTCAACAGATGGCACTCATATCACGTGACAAACACATGACAAACAAATACAATACCAACCATTCAATTGATGTCTATTTCGGAGACCAATGTCTAACCAATCGTACGATTAATGACCGCACGGTTACATCAATTGTCAAAAAGTATATTAAATAAGTTAAAATTGACATCAATTATGGATTCATTGGCCATTAAATCGGATGTAATACCGGTCAGTAAACGTATCAAATTGGATACAGAGTCGGATAAGACCGCAACCAATGCTTGGCGTTCAAAGTTGATCCGTGACTTTGATGAAAGTGATGTCGGTATCACTGAATTTATTGCCGATTATAAGCCCTTTGACGCTATCATTAAAAATCGGTTGGTTTTCAAATAACAAACATATTTCAATTATTTCAGTTATTCAATGATTTTTTCATCAATAGTTACGAAGATTTTTTAGTTTACGAGATATCAAAAAGTGGTAAAATTGTGCGCTTAACTGATGTCACTCCTCCTAAGGATGAGATGGTACCGGTACTCGATATTTATGAAGTTCTTGACGTCAACACTATTGATAATATCAAACAATTGCTGGAATCGATAAATAGTGATAAAAATAAAAACAATGGGATCGACAGTAGTGAAATAGATTTGACTGATTTAGATGAGAAACAATTGCCAATTAGTGACTGTAAGAGTGGCAACACTACAGATGAAGATCCAATTGAGTTAAATGATAATGAAATTTGTAATAAGAGTTTAGATTCAGTAAAGATATTAGTGACTAATTTATCAAAATCGGAGAGAACTAGGATTCATAAATCAATTAAAGATAATTATGAAGAACTCGATACAAATACTGTCGATGAAGGGTCTGATAAATATATAGTCGTTAAAAAAGCAGATAAAAATGCAAACAGAAAAAGAAATAATTGGCCCAAAGATAAGGGAGAATACATGCAATTTGTTTTATATAAAGAAAACAAAGAAACACAACAAGCAATCAATGAAATAGCATTAAAATTGAATATTTCGGCCAAAAATTTTGATATCGGCGGCACAAAAGACAAGCGGGCCATTACAACTCAAGAGGTGACCGCTTGGAAAGTACCGGCACTTAGGATATGGTCTGTCGCACAAAGATGTCGCGACATAGAAGTCGGACACTTTAGGTTTACTCAAAATTCATTAAATTTGGGTATCATTTGGGGAAATCATTTTAATATTGTTTTAAGAGATGTTAAATGCAGTGACAGAGAAAATGCTGAAAAAAGTCTTAATAATGTTAAGACTTTTGGTGCCATTAATTACTATGGAATGCAGCGCTTTGGACATCAGTATGAAAAGCCTTATGTAATCGGAATACATATTCTTCGTCAGAATTGGGAACAAGTTGTCAATGAATTACTATCTCCTAAAGCCGTCGATAAAAAACACAATAATCCAAAACTTCCGACTTTTAATGAATGCATTGATTTGTGGAAAAAGACGAAAAATGCTAAATTAGTTTATATGAAGTTCCCATTTAAATGGACACCTGAGGGAACACTTCTTAAAGGTTTATCTCGAGTGGCACCCACTGACTATATGGGCGCCATTTGCACGGGAATGAGTCGCAATCAAAGACTTTTGTACGTCCATTGTTATCAAAGTTATATCTGGAATAAGACAGCTTCGTATAGAATTAAGACATTTGGACATCAAGTAGTGATCGGAGATCTAATACAATTAGATTTACCAGAAGGTGATACCGATTCTAAACATAAAAATATAGTTGTGGTCAATGAAGACAATATAAAGAATGCAACAATTTATAATATTGTAATCCCAATTGTTGGCAGCGATATTGTTTGGCCAACCAATTGTATCGGCAAATATATTGAATCACTTTTAGCTGAAGATAATATATCTATTGATTTATTTCGTAATTTGCCTAAACAGTGGTTAGTTTGCGGCTCTTATCGTAAACTTTATGTCAGACCAAAAGATTTTGATTATCAATGGATTACATATAAAGATCCTAATATTCCTCTCGTGACCAGTGATTTTGATTTAATTAAAGGCAACAAATGTGAAGATAAGTTGACTTCAAGTGTCACGAGTGATAGTGAAGAGAAAACAGCACTTAAAATATCAATGAGTTTGCCTTCAAGTTGTTACGCGACAATGATTTGCAGACAAATTACAAGAACTGAATCAACTGTTATGGAGTGGAAAGACTGGTTGAAAACTAAACATAACTTATAATTATTTATTAAACTATTATAAAAAGTTAAATTTTTAACATTTATTGTAAATATTTGAAAAATTTATCATAAATAACATTAATTATAACATTATTATACCTATTATAAACTTATTACAAAAATGTATTAAAATTTTAAAAATCAAAAGTTTTTTAAAGTATTTGTTCTATAATTACAGTCATCAATACATTTGTTTTTTTCTATTTAATAATGAAATAAATGCTTTTTGAGATAATTTTGTTAATAAAAGCTTATTTTCTATTAAATTATTATTATATTTATTAATTTAAAATTATTAATTAATAGTTTAAAAAAGATTTTGAAAATTATTTATTAAAATTAAAACTTTAATTTGATTTCATTGAAAGTAATTGAACTTAAGGTACAGTATATCTAAAGTAACATAATTTATGTGACATTCAGTGTAAATGAACAGTGAGTTAGTGAGTGAATCGTATGAATCAAAGTTGAGTTAATGAGTCAACAATACAATGAATGTGTGATTAAAAGTATAACATTTAATATTAAACAGTCATCTAATGACTCAATACTTGTTTCAATTCAAACAATAAGTCACACATTGTTTGACACATTGTTTGAAACAATTTCAATGATTTTATATATAATTGTTGACTCTTTCAAGTGTTTAAAGTGATAATCACTACAAACAGATCCATCAAATGAAACGCAGAGCAAGTGTTTCGCCACCCATTCGTCAAAATTTGCCGTTTGATGGCCAACACTATGCAATGAATGAGCAGTCAATGGCCAACCATCGGTCGTATCCGACAATGAATGGACAACCACTTAGACATCCAATGGGTGTGAATCTGATGCCAAATATGGGAAATCAAAGACATTTCACTCCAAGAAGCAGTTATTTGGGTCAACGAAATATGACGCCAGTATTCAATACATCATTGATGACCACTTCGGCTCAAAATTTAAGTTATAATTACAATCCAAACGATTCACTGACTCCGACCCGTGACAGTCGTGGACAGGCCTATGATATGATGGCCAAAGCGAACCAACCCGTATATATGACACCCGAAACTAATGATACTTCAAAACAAAAGAATGTTTGGGATGGAGTGATTCCATGTGATTACACTGTGGAACAGCTCCAAGATATCTTAAAATCGGCTAATAAAGAGACCGATGAATCCATTGACACGACAACTACTAATGAATCTAAAGATGATATCAATGTATTGGTCATCAAATTAAGTGAAACGAGAGATAAAGAAGAAATGATTAAAAAGCAAAGAAATGATACCGAAAATAAAATCGAAGAATTGGATAACAAATTGAAAGAGTTTGAGAATTTGATAAATTTTAGGGAAAATCTTAAGAAATTGAAGAAATCATTGGTTGCTGAAGAAGAAGAAATTGGTAAGAAGACTAATGAATTAATTTTAGCCATTAAAGACCTAACGAACAACAAAACGTCTAAAAGAGCTGACAGTCCAAAACCGTCTTCGAGTAACAATACAATCTCATCTAAACCATTGAGCAGACCTTCAAGTGATAGTGATATCACTAATATGCAAAAGGATAAGTCTAATGATAATGAATCTATTATTTATAAACCAACTATTAAAAGATCAAACAATTTTGGATCTAATAGTACTAATATTAAGAAAACACGATTTACCACTGATTGTGTATCAAAGACTTCTAAAACAGGTACCAATAATACACCGACTAATAAGTCCATTAAGACAACTAATGTTAAGCTAACTCCACATCCCATAAAACACAGCACTAATACTTCAAATCCATTGCTGTCTTCACCAAAAGTTAATCGCATTTGTAGACAACCGATAGCACAAAATACTTTTAAAAATTCAGTCACAAGTGGTGTCCGAACATCTCGACCCGTAAGGACACCCTGTGGTCGAGGAGTTCGTAACACTGATAATAGCGAATCTTCAAACAAAACGACACAAAATGTTAAAAAATCTGATGATAGAAGTAGTGTTGAATCTGAATCAACACCTTTACCACAAACCAATGATGAAGAGGAGGATCTATCTGATAGTGAAGTGTTTAATGTTTTATCGAAAAAAATTGATTTGGATATTATTGGTAAGGAAACTCATAATAAACAGACAACTGTTACTGAAAGTGATGCCATTGATCGACAAAATAATGAAATAAATGATAAACAATTAAGAGAAGATACAACTATTAACACTAAATTGATAGACACAAACAAAGATGACAATACTATTTGTAATAATGAGTCAAATGATGTTGAATTGGTTACCATTGATAGTGATGATGAAAATATACCACAAATTGAACCCATGATTTCAGTAAAGAAAGAGAGAGAAGACGCCACAAAAGAGTCGATTGCTAGTTCCGAATCCAATGCAAATAGTTTGAATAAAGACACGTCTGGTGATAGATCAACAGTTTGTGAACAAACTGAACAAAATGTTATACCAAATGAAAGCACAAGTAGTTCATCGTCACCAACAAAGAAACAAATAAAATATTGTGGTTTTGAAAACATTATATACGAACCAACAGTTACTTACACTAATGGATTAATCAAATCAAAATCAGGACCTAAATCCAAAAGTATTAGTATTATAGTAATGAAATCATTTAAGGACTATTTGATTGTGTCGTTTATGGATTCTTCGGTCTTAAGATACCGTATTGACGACAAGTCTAATATTATGGCCTATAAAGGTCATGAAGAAATTGTGTTTTCAATGATTATCATAGAGTGTACCAAACAAGACAACACATATTTGTTGTATACCGGCTCTAAAGATAAGAAGTTACGGGCATTTAATGTCGAGACCGGTATTTTAATCAATACTCTTGAAATGGACGATCAAATTACTTGCATTGACTACAAGTGGTCTCATATATTTTGTGGCTTAAGTAGTGGTGTTGTCGTTAAATTATCTCCAATTCATGAAATTGATGAACAATCATCAGCTGATCGCCAATGGAAAACATTTGTTGTTAACTCAGGAAAACGTATTTATGATATGGTTTGTGTTAAACCAATCTTTACTATCGATAATACAATTATAGAACCCATTATTACTGTCACTCAAAATAAACTTCGAGTCTTAAATACAAGTGATTCAATTGAAAACAATGAAAGAATTCTTACTTCTTTGAGTGTCAATATGAACCCTCCTATTGTTATGAAAGTATTATCCAATCATTTATTTGTTTCTTATTCGATGCCAAAAGTCAAGAATGAAGACAAGAATAACAAATTAGACAATAAGTCGAAAATAAATGTTTACGATTTGAATCAGGTATTCAATAAAAAATATTATTATAGTTACCGTATGTTTTTAATTACTGATATATATTTGATTTTATTATAGACATGGAATGTCCTAAAAAATATTGAAATGATTGGTCGCATTCATTGTTTGCAAGTAATCAAAGATTATGTCATAGCGAGCAGTCATTTGGGCAAAATTTTTTGCATCGATGGCACAAAACTTAACCTAAAGTGGCGATCATCTGGAAGAAGGATTACGGCATTCGTTCAGATTGAAGACCGGCTTATATATGGCACTGAAGATGGATGTATTGAAGTGATATATCTCTATCAATCACCATCTGATTGTGACACCTGTGGCATCACATTTGCCCGAGAAGTAGATCTTAAAGAACACGTTAGAATTGAACATGAAGTCAATGAAGAAAATAATGATAATACTGATAATTAATGTATTTATTGTAATATATAAAAAATAATAATAAGATAACATATCAATCATTATATTTATGCATATATTAAAATTTTTACCGTTAATCAATAAATTTTTTAAACAAATGTTTATTTTAATGAAAACCATATGCATTATAATGTTTTTATTTCATCATCTCTTTACTTGTTTGGTAAGGGAAGGGTAGTAACTGGTCTTATCTGTGACTATTTAAACTGTGGTTTTAACTTCACCTCAAATTAGAATAATCAATGCGATTACAGATACCCAAGTAGTCCATTACTTTTTAATGTAAATTAAATCGATGATTGCATTATCATTAATATGTAACTAATTTAATGTTTGTTGTAATTTCACATGATTTGTAATTCACAAATTTTGTATTATCGATACAATACGGTATATACAAGTTATGTACAAACAAATGAAACTTAATTTTTATATACAGTATTAATTGCATTATTTATAATTATGTGAAAAATTAATTTATAATATGAATTGTTTGATTTATATTTGGTATAACTTTAACATAACTTGATAATAGATGATAAGGTCTTAGATCTGTCAAACTTGTAGCTCATTTCACGACTGATCCACAATCGGTGTTACCGTACAGTAAACCCAGTATACAGTAGTCATAAAAGTTAATCATTTTAGTTATTTCCAGATATTAAGATAATTATTTAATATTATTAGATATAAACACATTTCTAAAATCAATTTGTTCTGTTTGCGGGTTTGTATCTCAATAACCGTATTATCAAATTTTATTAAATTTATCTAAAATCAAGAAAAACTCTCCAAAAATTTGATATAAAATTTTCATTATATTATAATTACTAGTTTTGAAAATATATAACAAATATGTGAAAACTTTAGAAATTAGAAATATAGACACAAACTAAATGATGATTAACTCATGTGTTCATCAGTTTAACACTTAAGTTGATTCCATTTGATTTGATATTGATTTGAATAAATTAGTGCATCATTTAAGTTAAATCGAATGGAATCAACTTAAGTGTTAAACTGATTATCACATGAGTTAATCATCGTTTAATGTCTATATTTCTATATTTCTAAAGTTTTCACATATTGTTATATATTTTCAAAACTAGTAATTATAATATAATGAAAATTTAATATCAAATTTTTGGAGAGTTTTTCTTGATTTTAGCCAAATTTGATAAAATTTGATAATATGGTTATTAAGATAATATTACAATAATTTAGGTATCAATAACTTATTGAGTCTATTATACAGTATTATAATTACTTGAGTGGAAAGTTATCTCAAAACTTAAGTTTCATTTAATTTATAGATTACCGCAATCTTTGTCAATTTTCTTATATTATATAACTTTGACATTGTTTGTACATAAATTGAGATTAAAACAAAATATAAATTAAATATTATAAAAGATTAATTGTAAGTTTTGCTTTATTTGATCAATTAAATTAAATGGTAATAATTTAATATTGAAAAATTATTTTATTAAAATTTGTAAATACAAATATGATATTAATATACAGTATGGTATAACAACATCAAACAACAATAACATTATACAGTAGTATCAAATTGAAAACTTAAACTTAACAAAACTTGTAAAAATACAACATTTAATAAATAGAATATAATAATAAAAAACATTAAATTAAAATAACCCTAAACTCAATAAAATTAATTATGTTTATCAAAATCACAATTATTATTATCAATCAATTCATTATCAATAAGTTTGATCTCATACGCACAGACAACTAGTTTCAAATGATTATCAATATTGTCAATAGTTTTCATTACTAACTCATTGGTTCCCCTAACTAGTGGTAAAAATGAAAAAACGTATTGCGAACCCTTTAAATAAATCAAATAATTATATCAATAAATCAATTTTCAATTAATTGTTTTATAATTAATACCTCAGTTAATGGTTTTTGTACTCTACCATTGAGCACAACTTCTTCAATGACATCGGTTCCGAAAAATCGGCATTTTATGTCATTTTCTGTAATACTAGTGTTAGCCGCAAACAAAATATAACCCACACCTATTATGATAAGTTTAAGATATTTATTAATAAAATAATAATAATAATAATAATAATAATAATAATAATAATAATAATAATAATAATAAATACCAGGTTTTTGTTGACAATCAATGTTCAAATCAAACTCAAATGAAAGTCTGAATTGATTGGATTCACTCATTGAATAGCATTGAATGGGAAAAAGTGCGTTAACTATAGTGGCTGTATTGCACAGTATGTTCATCACCTGTTCCTCTAGTGATAGCGCGAGTCTATAAATTAAAAATTATATAAATTTTATTAATACAATTAAACAATAAATAACTATTAGTTTGTTAATCAATACCTCGATATATAATCAAATAGAAGTTTTTGTACTGATTGTTGACCACTATATCTGGTAATTCGTAAGGCATTTATACCTATATTATTAATTATTGCAAAATTGGATCCGTTATATAATAATAACTTAATAATCTCTTTAAAACCCTTACGACAGGCCTGTTGTGTAAAAATAAATAATTAATAAAAAAGATAATCGCATAATAATTAAATAAAAATACAATTATTAATGCCGTATCCCCGTTAAGATTTTGTATGTCTTTGAGAGCGCCATTGTTTAGTAAAAATTCAGTCATTTCTATATTATTGTCTTCACAGCACATCATCAAAGGCGTGAATTCATCATTATTAATGAATTTACAATTAATATCGGATCCATTATCCATTAAACTTTTGACTAACTCTTTATCACATTTTTTAATAGCAATCATTAAATCATTAGATTTATATAAATTTTCCTTTAAGTTTGTGTTTAACAGACAATCTTTATTTGTGTCGTCTTTTTCTTCATTGTTGATATTTTTAGTTTCATCGATCATATCATTAGAGTCATTGTCTGCCCACTCCTTCAATGAATTGGGTGAAGAGCTGTTACTTTGTTTTGGAGAATTGTCGGATGAGTTGCCCCGAGAAGAGGCCCTACTTTTGACTCGACTATAGAGGTCTTCTTTGAAGACATCAATCTTGCCTTCCTCTAAGTCTTTCCAAAAAGTATTTTTCGTTTTTTCAGTAGTAAAGCAGTATTTCAATCGTTTCTTATGAATCTTTTTCATTACAATTGTCTTTTCATTTGTTGTATTATTTAATTTGATATTTAATTTAAGAGTAGTCTTATGTTTTTTAATAGATTTACTTAATAGTGATTGTTGTTGTTGTTGTTGTTGTTGTTTTTGTTGGACTATATGTAGTGAAGAGTGTTTCTTTGATTGACTATTATCTGTGCTGTTATTACTGGTATTACTGCAAGTGGTCGATGGTCTGCCTCTTCGCTTGTTATTTGTTGAGAGTAATGACATTTTATTATTCATTTTATTTTTATATTTCTCAACCATTTTCCAAACAGTTTGTAAGTTAGACTCCGGTTCCCAGGTATCACTTTGAGGACCATAACCTTTCCATCGCACCCTAAATACTGTTGTGTCCTATAATTTATAAATTTAATATTAGATAATATTTCATTAATTATTAAAACTTTATATGCTATATATATACTGTATTATACAATATGTTTTTGATGTAATCAAATATTGTACAAATATAAAAGTCTACTAAATATTAATATAATGTATATTAAATGTACAGTCAGTACTGTAGGTGTAGTTATGATTTGAGACAAAACTTTTTATTTTCATTCAATGTCTACAAAACTACGTCTGAACTGTTGATCAATAATACGGTATAACTATTTTTATTACGTTTTTGTTATATAATTTAAAACTAATTAATTTTGTCTGTAATTAAATATCATTAACTTAATGTTATGTTTTCTATAGTACAGTATATTTTAAATACAAGTTAATTATTAAAAATATTAAAAATCAAACCATCTTTAGTGTAGATAAATATTTGAATGTTATCAGAAAAAGTAAACTATAACTATACTATAAAAATTCTGGAATTGAAATATATAGTTTAAATAAATGAAAACTGGGGTAAAAAATAGAATTAATATTAAATTAAAAAAAATCAATTTTTGTAATTAATCTAAATATTAATATTAGATTAGATTATGTGTTAATGGTATTCATTAAAATATAAGATTCAATTATGACAATCAATTTGTCGGATCCTATAAAATATATTATCTCTAAAATCAATAGAAATATAATTTAGATGTCAAAACTTCAAAAATCTGCAATTTTACCGAATGTTTAAATAATAATTAATACACAACAATAATAAAATAAAAAAATTTCATTATATTTTATAGTTTTAATTTTCATGATTTCTTTAAAATTACTTTAATATGAACTAATCTCTCAGCAAAAAAAAATGTATTTTATTATTATAAAGAAATTTATATTAATTTTTGATACAAATATCAGAAAAATTTAAGAAATTTATCAAATTTAGAGATTTTCACACAAAATGCCTAAAATTATGAATACTATTATTTCTATAATTTTTATATTTATTTATTTAATGATTATTTGTAAATAATTGCTGTGAATCTTGAAATTGTCTAATAATTGTCTGATAAGTAGAAAAGTAAGAAATTATTGAAAGTAAGCCAAAGGAAGGGACAAACATAATGTTAGTCGTAATGCAATGAGTTGTGTGTATAGAAAACAGGGAAGAGATATGAGATGTGGTTTTGATCGACTATTTCTTATTAAATCAATAGTGTATTCAGTGTTTGCAATATTCTAATGTTTGAAGAGCACCGGCACATACAGTACATACATATACTGCACACTTATATGCACTGGTATGTGTGGAAAAGGTTGTGTTACAGTTAGTGATGGATTGAGTTTTCTGGACTACAGAAGCTTTATTATATGGTTTATGTGGTGAATGCAATAGTCGATGATTTTTCTCTATTCAGACGATCACCACTTTTTCGAGCGCAGGGATGTTCAGTGTATGTATTCAATAGACAACTAACCGATTCCCAGAGTTCTCTCTCTCTCTCTCTCTCTCTCTCTCTCTCTCTCTCTCTCTCTCTCTCTCACTCACTCACTCACTCACTAACCATACATCACAGTGCAATGTATATATTGAAGTGATGGTAATGTTCACCAGTTCTGGTACTTCACTGATACATACTATGTAGTAGTAGTAGTAGTAGTAGTAGTAGTAGTAGTGAATGCCATTCACACTAATACACAGTTCTGTTAACTTACATAATACCAGAACTACACTCAATACTAGAACTACGACTACAGCAACAACAACAACAACTATTACTACCTACCAGTGCTGGTGTTGTTGGCATTGGTATAACCAGTAAATTACAGTTCAATAGATAGACAGGAAAATTGTAAAAACAAAAACTCTAATTTATATACCTTTACATTTACAGACACGACATACTGTACACAGTATATGACTTGTCTTTATATATAAAGACAACCAAATTAGTGATAATATTAATAAATGTAATGAAAATTATAAGTAATTTCAGAATATTTATCATAAGATATATTGCAATTCATTTACTAAACAATTGATTCCTTATTACTCATGCTTTGTATATAAAAAAGTTTTTTATTAAAAATATAATAAAAATAAATATTAAAACTCATTCTCAAATATACTATAAATTTATTATTACTACTAATTAAATCAGTTTTGGCATAATTTATACAAAATATATTATCAAATGTTATCAACCAATATGTTATTCAGTGTGCACTCAAACCGAGAGTATGTTTTACAGGAAGAGTCTAATGTTAGAGTCGATGGGGTAGTACTGACATCACTTGACATTATAATTATTATTCACTAAAAACACAATACGCTAAACAAAATTAAATATAATATAAATCTACTATAAGTTTACTAATAAAGCAGTTTTATTAGTATGTATTTAACTAAAAGATAGTATAAATATAATATACAAATTATATGCAAACGATAACTAAAACATAACTAACATTTAAAAAATATATTTAATAATATAGCTTATAAAAATAATGATAAACATTTTGATTAAACACAATAAAAATTGAAATAAATATAATTAACTGTCATTATCATCAATAGATCATTACATAGTTGGCATTGAAGATAACCAATGCTAAAGTAGTGGTTATAAATTAATTTAATTAAAGTAAAATTTATTTATGATTTACAAAAACTATAATTTTATATTATTAACAATATTTTTATCACTCAAGTATGCTGTATATGATATCTAATATATGAGAAAATAATATATAGTATAGTTATAATAAATGTCATTTAAAATTATAGAAATATAAAAATAGTAGTAATTGTAAATCAATTTAATTGTGAAATGATATGAATAATCGTAATTAACTCACGTCTTCTTCAGTTTTCATCCCAACAATCTCTTGAACTTCATATATGTCATCCTTGGCTTCCGTAACACTGCTATTATGAACGTCTGAATTATTATTAATAATTTTGTTATTACAAGGTTTGCTAATAATATTATCCATAACTTTGAATGATTTGTATTGATTGTTAATTTTTGTCGACACAATTCAATGCTATAGTTTTGAATATTGAAAATTACTTTCCAAACAACCTATTCGTCCATTTGTTGGTATTTTTTTGTATTGAGACAACCTATGGACTGAATCCTTATGAGTTAACAGAAAGTAAAAGTAAGATTCATATCTAATGTAAACTTAAGACTGTCTTCTCTGGTAATGATATAAGAGAGAGAGAGAGAGAGAGAGAGAGTGAGTGAGTGAGTGAGTGAGTGAGAGAGAGAGAGAGAGAGAGAGAGAGAGAGAGAGAGAGAGAGAGAGAGAGAGAACTCTCCAAATGATTACCACAACAGTAATAGTAGTTTAGTCTCACTTTGCGAGGTTCAGGCATTAGAGCTCAGTCTCAATCATCATAACTAACACACTGAAAGTCAGCTGTAGATGCAATCCAATGCACACACTTACGCACACACACACACACACACACACACACACACACACACACACGCACTCACTCACTCACTCACTACTGTATTGTAGGCTACAAATAACAGTGTTTTTATCGGCTACTCTGAGATTTCTATAGTTATGATTCCCTTTCAATGTAAACGCTTACCATTGAATAAACCAGAAATTGTTTATTTCACATCTCATCGATGGATAAACAGTATATAAAGTAGTATTACCGGTATATAATTACAGTAAATATTACATATAACGGTACAAATGTTATTTTAAACACATATATATAAACTAACTAATATTTATATATAATAATTAATTAATAAAAAAATATAAAAAAGATAGATACACAAAATGAGATGATAGCAAAACTTTTGGTATTTATTTGGCACTAAAATATTGATTGCAACAAAATAAATACCGAAACTCTCCTATTGGTTGCAATACCGGAATTTAAACAACGGTTCACAAGTTGTTATGTCATACAAATACAGTAGTGTTATCTCGTTATATATATTTAAACAAAAATTTTATATTATATACTGTACAATGGTATTAATTTATATACAATATCTTATATTTCTCAATATATTTATTATTTATAAATTATATTATTTTTGTTTATTTTGAAGAAATAGATTATAAATTATTATTAATGAGAATATATAACATATGATACTATATATTAATAGATGATTTATATTTAAAAGTCAGTGAATATTTATTATATTTATAGTTTACTTTATATTTACTGCAGTTATTCAAAAAAAAAAAATTGATTGCTCATCTAAAATATTATCATTAATTACTAACTAATTTACATTAAATTCTTTGATATTTAAATATTTAATTTTCAGACTAATGTTATTTAAGATGTTTTTTTCATCTGAGATCTTAGTTAACAGGAAAAATAAAACATACAATTGTATAATGTTTATAATTATATACTGTATTTATTAATCTTACTTAATGATTAAAACATATAATAAAACATAATTGCATATTTTTATTTCAAACTTAGATAATATATCCGAGTCATATAAAAACAATAAATTTGAGTTATATATGTTTTTGAATATATGTTACACATAAAAATTTATTCTATGTATTTAAAAATTATAAATTATTTTAAATAATTGTCATGATTTTAATATATTTTATACAATAATAATAATACAGTATTAGAGTATTTTATATTGGTTGTACTTATTAATTTTAGTTATAATTTTCTAATAAATAACAATTAACTCTGTTTATATATTTATTTCAAATTATAGAAAAAATAAAAACTAAAATATATTATTTTGCATATTCTTAATTATTGCATATAAATTATGTATTCAATATATTAACAATTTTAATAATTAATTAGTTCATTTAAGTTAAAATACAAAAGTAATGTTCAAGTTTAAAAACACTATATATTAGATTAATTTTTATTTAAAAAATGTATTTTTTAAAATTTTACTATAATAGTACTGTATATTATAGTATAATGAAGTATAATATTGTATATGTTTAAAATATTAAATATGTTTATTATATATTTCTAAGAGAGAGAGAGAGAAAGAAAAAGAGAGAGAGAGAGAGAGAGAGAAGAGAGAGAGAGAGAGAGAGAGAGAGAGAGAGAGAGAGAATAAACAGCTATTTTAAGCAAAAATTGCATTTCTAATAATGGTTTTTGCAGTACAATCAGGAAACACATTCAAAGCTTTTATTGCCTTATTTGTGTATAAATCCAAATATCTATTGCATATGTCAATGGCTGGTCCTTTCAATATAATTTGTTTGATCTATAAAATGATAACAATAAATAATTTTATTTGTGATAAATAATTTTATAAAAATTACAAAATTTAAAACTTACTAAATTATTATTAATATCATCTTTACTATTAATCATTTGTGACAAATAGTCATAAAATTTAGGATCACTTTGCATATGAAATATAACGGGTGCTGACATTAACTTTATCGGGACATCATTATAATCGGTATTATCCATAAAAATATCCATTTCATATTTTAACTTTAATATAAACCAATAGATTTAATAAAATAAAGAAATAAAAATAATTAAATAATAAATTGAATAAATGATTACATTCCAGACAAGTTGTGAATAGTATCCGACATCAAAGCCTGACTTTTGATATCTATCTGAATGTTTGGCCAATAAAAACATAATTTGCGAACAATAGGCCAACATCTTTGTTAGTGAATATCCAGACATCTCTTCCCAATCAAATATTGTCATTTTATTTGATGGTATATCAATTTGATCAACATTTTTATCATTGTTAAAATGGTAGATACAATAGTCATCAATGGCACACATAATCAGTTTTAATGCCGAGTTATTATTGACCAAATTAGCCAATTTTACAATAGCATAGGATAGTAGATAATCACCGCCTAAAATAGATATCTTGTTGGCGTCATTCAGACGTTTGATGACTGGGTTTGTAGTTATTTGATGAGTATTTGATGTTGTATTGACCGGTAAATTGATGACAGCCTCGTGATGTATAAACAATGCTTTATTAATCATTGAATAAATTTCAACGAAATCGTTTTGTTTTTTAATAATTGTTTTATCCGATGAATTAAATGATGGCAAACATTGACTTACTTTAGCTAACAGTAATAATAGCATATTTCCTGTGTTATCCATAATATAATTTTTCATTTTATTATTTCTGATGTTTGTTTCAAAGTGGTTATGATTATCAAACATATCTCTTGCAATGTCGACAATAGGATGATTACTTTCGGCAATATATCGAGTATTGACTTTATCTAATGTGAATGTCTTCAGATCTAACTGATCTCGAAGTAAATTATCGACATTAAAGTAAGACATCGGAAACCCCACCACTTTCTCGCCTTCAGTCAGCACTTCATATACTTTAACTGATGAATAGTTTAAATGATTTTTAAAGCCATTATTTCTGCTATTAATAATCCTTTGTTGTCCAAAACCAATCCAATGTTTTGTTGATATATTAATAAAACGAGACATTGTTTTCATTTTTTAATTCACTTATTAGTTTTATATAGATTTTTAATTGTTTTATAAACATAAAAATTAATTGACAAAATTTTTAAAAATCTTTTTATATATTAAACAATTTTAAACATTAATTAAATTATATAATGATTTGACTAAACAGTTAGGATTAAATTAATATTTTAATATTTTGTTGAATCTAAGTTTCACACAACATGTTTAAGTGGTATCAGTTGTTAATTAAATGCTAAAAAGTGAAGTATTTAACAAATGAAAAGTTTTGTTATTTCAAAGTAGGGAACAGTTATATTCCAGTGAAAATGTTGGCCCAAATAATTAGCAATTGGTTTGAATATTGAAGTAATATTTATATAGTCAGCTCTGAAATTTCAATTTTATTTGTAAAACATGTTTATCATATTTAAAAGACAACTTTATCGCAATTATGTGAAATATCTTTTAATTTAAATAAAATACAGTCTATTAAATCAATCAAACGTTAAGATTTAAAAAATAATTAACAATTAAATAATAAATAACTTTCAAATTATCACTTAATATAAAATTTATGTTAGAAAAATAATAAAGTATTATTTTGTTGATTTAATATTTATTCTGGTGCTATATTAATGTTGTGTAACATTTTTGTCGATGCAATTAATTTTTTAAAAGATTTATCCGTTATATTTTAATAAAATAATTTATATTTAATTTTATAAATATTCTTAACTGCATTTAGATATAATACTATTATTATATTTTAACTTTAAGCTAAAACTTTCTGTTTTTAATTTATCACAATTTTCTTTATGTTTATGAAAAGATATCAAAATTTTAGTTTTGATATCTTATACCTTATTTTTGATGTTATTATCGAATCTGAAATCAGAATTTCAAAATTCGCAAATTGAAAATCTGCTAACACATACACCCACACACATATAAATTATATACATATGTAGTGATATGTATATAATTATTGTCTTATTATATATATATATATAGATTTCTTAAAACAATTTAAAAAAAAAATTAAAAATCAAATACAAATAAAATTAAAAATATATTTTTATACATATAATACAAATACGTGTAATATATTATAATATTAAACATTTTTGATAAAAATTTATAAAATAAAAATAATGAGTGAAATATATTTATATATTTTAATAATATATAAATAAATACAATGGATATTAAAATATTTTTAGTGCTAATATGATATTAATGAGTGCAGTCTTGGCCTCGGAGTCGGTAAATGTATTTATTTGATGAAATGCATGGTCTGAGTAATAATCTATTAGCGATTGAGTCTTTTTAATCACATCACTGGCTTTCACTTCATTGATAATCTGTTTTATAAGAAAAAATCACTAATTTTATTAATTTGAAAAAAATAAATGCTTGCATTAAATATTATTAAATATACACATTGTATTACTGAACTATACACTATTATAAATTATATTATCTTAATTACAGCTAATTAATATTTTCTGTTAAAAGGTTTACTAATTTATAAGTTAATAATAATAATTTTTTAAACATTAATTTTTATGTATTAATACTGCAATTATATGCCTCATTATTATGATAATAATGCAAATAATGTAACATTTTTATAAGTAAAGTTAATACTGTAAACAGTGTAGTAAATATTATTATAATTATTAAATAAATAATTTTTATCGTTATTTTTAATGCTCAACAAAATTAATTATTACTTCATTGAGATAAACTATTAACACTTTTGACCTTATATTACAAACTATTCATATAAATCATTAACATTAATTAAAATCATTTTAAGAAGATAAATAATTTATTAAGTTTTTACATTTAACTAAAGTATTTAAATCTATAATTTTTTTTATATTTAAAATTTAATACTTACAGTATTAATAAAAACTTGTTTATCATTACATTGATTAAAATACGATAAAAGTTGTGGATTAGATTTAAAGTATAATAGCATCGGTAAAGTGTATATAAAATCAATATTAGTAATACAGTTATCTTGAGTTGTGGTTAGTTTGTTGAACAGATCCAACTCATCGCATATATTCCAAGCAAATCCAACACTATTTCCAAACTTATAGACAGTATCTTTAATATCTTCACAGTTTGTTGATAAGTATACCATTGATTGGCATCCATGAGCTAAAAGACTTGCATTTTTCATACAAGTAATGTTAACCCAATTATCTAATAAATTGTTGACATCTGCGACAGCTATTTGTTCTTTTAACTTAACCGACAAATATTCTGCTTCTATATAATCCCGAAGAGCTTTACTCATAAGTTCCGTTACTCGACTGTCCTTTAGTTGCACTAATTTTTTTGTTGCCATTGAAAACATAAGATTACCTTTAAGTACAGCCATTCGGTTACCTTTTAATAAGAATTCAACAGTTTGTTTATTATCGGCACCGGAAGTAATGTCTGAGTTATTTGATGCGACACCCGTTGTATGATAAACACACCCGCCATGTATTAATTCAATAGTTTCTGCCAAAAGTAATTGTTTTGTTAATGAAGCTCCAAATTTACTGTCGAAATTGAGGTTAAACTTGAATTGAGGGGTCGTTTTGGGCTCCGGTAGAGTCGATACTACTTTCGCCAGCAATAGTGTAAGCAAAGCTCGACTCTTGTAGTTAACCTCAATCTCAGGATCCAGTTTTCTAAATGAGGACAAATCATACAATTATTTTGTTGTTTAATAAACTTTTACTTTAACTTCATATTAACACCGTTTTTAAATATGGCATAAATAAAATAAAATGTTTTTCAAATAAATTATATAATAATCAATTGAAAGTATCAATACTAATACATTTATCAAGTTCATTATTAATCATATAAATATGATTAAAAATTATTTCAAAAATATACTAATAATACTAACAATGTTAAAGAAAAAAAAACTTTTATAAATAGCTTACTTGTCTGCCATTAACACTGGATGACTACTAGATTTATCCATTAAAGTATCACATAATTTTGGTGTAAATTTTTGATTAAAATTTTGTTTAATACAAAGATCTTTGATTGAATAACCTAAACATATTTCGGCTTTAGTGATGGCTTCTCTCATTGAAGGCACTGTTAGATATCTTTTGCTTATATATGATATGCCAATTGTTGAGGTATTTTCAAACAATTTATAAACAACTTTACTGATCTTCATTTTTCTGAAAACTTCATATAAACTAATAAACGTTAAGATGAAATCATTTATGCGTTTTATAAATCAAAATTTGTAGGCGTCTGAGTTATAAATAAGCAAATAAAACAAAATAATAAAAATTGTTCAAATGTTGTATAACAGCTATGCCATTACATTTCCAGTACAGTTATGCCATATTTTTTTAATAATTGCGTTATTGTCAGCAAAATGAGGTCAAAGGAAAAGTGAAAGTTCACGATATCTCTGCCCATAACTGTCATTGCACTCCAATACCAATGCTTTCATGTTATGCAACACTTAACAAGTCCTGTCCAATAATAATACTTTATTTATTGGTTCACTAATTATTTTATATTTTTAGTTAAGTTTCACTTCAACTGTTTTTTAAATATTTTAAATACTATTAATATATTATACGACATAATTTATACCTTATTTAGTCTAAGCTGTAGTCGCATTTCACATAAATTAATAAGACATTTAGTAATAAACAAAAATGTATAAAATATATTATTCATAAGATCTCAAATTTCAATTTTAAATATCAGAGTTAATAATTTAAAGTTATTATTTTTAGATACATAAAAATTAATTATTATAAAAGTCGGAAAGTAATTATAGATCTCTATTGTATTCTTTATAATGTGTTCTACATTATATCATTTTTACATAATATATAAAGTTTATTAAACCAGTTTAAAGTTTATAATATAATAAAATTATATTATACTTATAGTTAAATTATTAAATATTATTATTAGTTAGACATTGCAAACTTTAATTTTTAAAATATTAAAATAAACGAACACATAAACAGTAATAGATTGTATAATTAATTTTACTATATTAGTTAAAATCTATAATAAAATTGATAATAATGCCGATAATACGTTAACGTTGTGATAGTAATTGTGTACTTTTAATATTAAAAATAAAATTTGAAAAATATCACTGGTGTTTTAATTAAATTATAATAATTATACTTATTAAAATGAATACATGAAATTATACATATACTGTGTAAATTACAGTACAGTATATTATATTATTGTATACAGTTTATACCGGTATATGAATGAATAAACCAAAGTTAACTATAAAATCTATATTTTTTGCAATGACTACACCAAATAATTATTTAGTATATACTGTAGTTGTTTACTTTTAATTTTCTTTATCATTACTCTATATTATTAACAATATAACACTAAAAATTATTATAAAATTTAATTAATATTTAATGTTTAAGAAAATTGTTATCATTTCGACAATAAGTAATTAACATCATTGTAAATTGATATAATGATATTTATGTTAATAATAACTTAAAATATAATAACTGAACCTATCTATCTAATTGTGATCATAAAAGTATAAATAAAATTAAATAATTTTAAAGAGGTTATTATTATGGGTAACATAAAATGACAATTTATTTAATAATCAGAAGATTTACTAATTGTTGAATTTAATATTACATAGAAATTATTGTTTATATACCTGTAATACATTTATTATTTCATAAATACTGATAATTAGATCATATAATATGAAACATTTTTTTGTATTAATTGTACATGAATTAAATTTACATATAATAATATATACAGTGTTACATGATGATACAATTTGATACATAAAAATCGTGTAAATTTACTTTTTATATTTACATTAATATAAAGTTAATTAAGAGTCTATTATCGAAAATGTTGCACTAAAAACAAATGTCAAATATTTATAACTTATTTAAAGTGATGTGATTTAGAGAATTAGATTAATTTATATAATGTTAATATAATTGATTGAATTAAATATATAATTTATACAGGTATACAAACATAAACTAATATATGAGATTAAAGCAAAAATACAATTATACATATTAGACATTTTTAGACATTAATTTACATAAAAATTATTGATACTTTTTAGTTGAGTATTCAAGTTATATACTGTATAAACTGATTGTACGAAAATTGACGCTTCACTCACATAATTCTATTTAAATATATAGTAATTTATATTTTTATTTACTATTATAAATTATACGAATATTCTATAATAATAATAGTAAATTAATAATCAATAATTTTTTTTAAAGAATTTATGTTAATAATATTAAATAAAGTATTATTTAGTATTTAATAGTAATTAAAACTTTTATAATTATTGATTTTATAATTACTGGTAATTATTCAAATTTTTCCATGTGATACATATCTCCCAATAACTTTTCAACTGGTATTTCTCCGATAGTTTCTTTGAAAAACAATTTTTCCACATTATTAGCAGCAATAGCCCGCAAACACGGAATCAATAGTAATAATCGGCCAAATCTGGTGGGTTGTCGCGGGTACTTATGTCTGACATAATCACCGAGTATGCACTGGGCCTGATCCTGGAGCATCTCAACCGGTTGAACATCACACAGACCTATAGTTTCTATTATAAATGGAGATCAATAAAAAGATACTAATAATTAGTTTATAATTATTATAATATTATATAAAAAACTTGTGTATAAATTGATTATATGATTAATACCTGGTTTGAAAAGTACAATAGCTTTAAGACAACTACATTCAGTACCATCCGGTGATAGTTGTCTGAATCGTCTCATAATTTCCTGTATGTATTGGATATCTGCTGACATATTTGGAGTGTCATTAGACTTGAAATTAGTGATAGCACGAGACAAATAAGTAGGCGCTCCTGGCATTGGTGACACCAAATCAAGTGTGACCGACCATTGGGCCATATTTAACAAAAATAAGTCTTTCCACGAATCTTCTAATAATGTTATCTATAATAAAAAATTGTTAAATTGTGTTTTTACAAAAATGAGCACCTACACTTACCTGATCATTTTTTGATAATGTCCTATACGTTGGCAGACACTTAACCCAACGGATTACCATAAATAGCAAGCGAGCGGTCACTTCATGTACAGAATCCCAGTGAGGACTACTATTGGTGGATAAATGTGCCAATGGTTTAGGAAATGGTAGATTATTAAAAGTACAGTTTCTTGGAATTGATCTATTATCAGTTTCAGGTGTTTGAGTACCATTTGATCCACTACCAGTTGATGATGGAGTAGTTGACTGAGACGGCTGTGTCGTTGTTGTGGTGTTGAGTGTTGTCGGGAAAATAGTATGAGAATTGGAAGCACTCGATAGGAATGACGGAAAAAATAAAGGGTTTGGTTGGGGTGTCATATCTTCAAAGATACTCCTTATGCCAAATGGCATGTTTGCTGAAGAACTGTGCAAATGACTAATAACAGCACCGCTTCTAATGCTATTCCAAATCAATTCCTGAGATTTCTCTGCATTCAAAAGCATTTGCAACAGTCCCGGGGGTGCAGTTGTATTACTACTATCATAAAAGGGATTACCAGTGCTTCCCAATCCACTATTAATCAACGACCCGATTGGTGTACACGTGTCAGGTTTATTAGCACTGTTAGAGAACAACCCACTGAGCAGTTCCTGTCTATTCTCAGTAGTTTGTGATATAAGTGGTGGTATTTTACTCATTATGTGAGAAACTGGTGGTTGATGTGATGTTATATGGTGTGTGTGACCACTATTGCTATGTTGGTGTTGGTGGTGATGGTGTCTCTCTAATACAGCAATTGTTTTATTGAAAGGCGAAGTCAATGCAGAAATGGTGTTTTGATGATTATGTAATGTTTTCAAATCGTTGTGATCCCTAAACTTTGGTTTTCGCGGACCTCTTTCGTGTTGAACGGCTTAACATTTAGTAAAACATATTATTATAATCATATTATACAATAATATCTAATTTATAGTTGTAATTATCAGAACATTAAATTAAATTTGTTATAAAAAGAAATTAATTAATATTTTTTCTATTTATTTACATTATGTAATTAAATATTATATCTATTAAATACTGCTTATAATGAAAAATTAATTTATTTTGTAAATTTAAAAAATATGTCTATTATCTTTTATCTAATAGATAAGTCAAATAACTTGAATTGCATACTTAATAATTGTATTATTATAGTATTTTATTATATTATTGTATTTTTATGGTTTACAGTAATTTGATATAATTGTATTAATTTACTGTAATTATTACTTATAGTTTATACATTATTAAAAAATAATATATTATTAAAATTAACAATATTAGTAAATGAATGAGTGATATTCATGCTTTAAGTCACATTTGTAAGTATAGCATATTTACTGTACAATTAATGTTTTAGTAGTTATTGTAGTCATAGCCTGTGAGACACCGGAGCTAAAGATATGCCGCGCCTTTAACTCAGTTATGCACAGCATTGCCATTGAGTATCATTTAAGGCGCTCTTCTCATTGGCTTTTTATAGGCAATGCATTTGATGTAAAAATCAATTGCTTTTTTAGATAGGATTCATCGCTACTGTATATAATACTGTTTATCTGATATATAATTAACTATATGTTTACTTAAATGTCAAATTCAATTATCATTATATGGTATATTCAAAACATAGATTATATTATGATATAAATAAGGTAAGTGTTTTAATATTTAAAGTAATACTCTAATCAAATAAAATATGATATCAAACAAATCTTTTTACAAAAATTCGTTTTGTTTCTAAGCAACAAATCTTTAATAAGTGTTTTACTTTTATGTGCAAAAAGTCTGTCATAAATGTGATAATTTAAGTGGGCTTTTATGATATATATTCATACAGCGAGAGACAGTGAGTGAGTGAGTGAGTGAGTGAGTGAGTGAGTGAGTGAGTGAGAGAGAGAGAGAGAGAGAGAGAGAGAGAGAGAGAGAGAGAGAGAGCTGTAGTTATAGCGATTGACAAGAGAGTAAAATTATAAGGCGATCATAACATCATATAAATTGAGAACTCAATGGATTAAATGTTAGCTTAACTGTTACTCAAACCATTTATTAGTGTAAATACTAGAGGTATAGAGTGTGAGCCAAGTGCTACTTAACCATATAGATAGCAAAAGGCCGAGATTTACTATTTTTGATGTCGATTCACACATATGTATAATCGTGTTATATATTTATGTTATATAAGTTTTAGATAAACATTGGAGACAAAAAAATAAATAAAATAAATGCGTTTTTAATGATTACTGAAATTGAGTATTATATAAGCAAAACAGCGATAAACTGTTGTATAGACCAAATGATAGCTAACAATATTATACAGACCTTACAGTGTTGTACAGTGCCATACAATGTCATACAGTTTTATACAACAATCAAACAACTAAGCGATGGTTCGGTCAACAAATCTTAAAGCCTGTGCTTTCATCTCATCTCTTATTTCTGTATCAATGTTTGTAATATGACGTTAGGTTACAATTCAAGTGCATAACATCTATGTCTAACTACCTAACTATATGGCTTAACGGCACCCAAACAGACATCCAATATCTAAGTACTCATTTCACATAACATAACAGATATATACATTTAAAAATATTGTTGCACTTATGTTACAGTTCCCAGACATCCTATTCTCTCTGACTGTAGTCCCGTATTGTTAGCGTTCAGTTCACGATATCAAACACTTCATCCATACAAATGTTTTACTAAAATATTGTCCTCACTATATATATATACAGTATATATATATATATATGGTATATGAGGGCATCAGTCAATTGTATTACATATATTATGTACACAAAACTCTTTTGTCTATTAAAACATCAAAATGTTATAATAAGACAGACAAATACTATGTTTGATTTATTGATAATAACATATTTAATATATCCGTTATACAGTATTTTTTGTTATTTATTTAAACAAAATTGCTATTTTTATAAAATTAAGTTTATAAATTTTATATAATATGACTAATAATTTTGAATAAATTAAAATATAATTAAAAATATAAACTTTGTACTTTTAACAATAAAAATAATTTTATTAAATTATAATTAATTTTTAAAATTACAAATTAAAATAATAACTTTAGTGACAATTTACAAATAATTAAATAAAATAAAGTAATTACGTTATCTGTTGCTTATTTAACTTAATTTTAAAAATTGATATAAAGTTTTAGTCAGTTATTTTAAACTAAAAAATAATTATTTAATAACTAATTTCTTGTTAATAAAATTGTTTATTTTGAAGCTAATATATTTTTTAAACTTACTAAAATTATTCAATTTTAATAAAAATAAACTAAAATTACTGAGAGTTAGAAATTATATAATATTATAAAAAATTAATAAATTGTCTTTTAAAAATTTTATCTATACAAAAAAGCAATATATTTTAATGTATAAAACATTTAACTATATAAGTTATTTTAATTGTATTATAAAATGTACAGTTAACATCGAAATGTTATATAACCTCAGGCATTAAAATAACATTTTTTTTACATACACACACACACACATACACACACACATACAGATACACACACACACATACACACACACATACACACACACATACAGATACACACACACATACAGATACACACACACATACACACACACATACACACACACATACACACACACACACATACACACACACACACACACACACACACACACACACACACAATACTATCTAAAACACTATTATTATTCACTTTTCTAAAAGCATTAAAAATACCAATTTTTATGCCAATGTTATTCAAACTCCCGGTGCTCTAATCAAAAACACTATTATTTACGGCTTACAGACTTATTGCAGCCGCGAATTTTCACATGAGATGCATATTGTTATATATTGTAGTTTATTATAGATTTTCATACACTATAAAAATAATTTTGCATTTACTATATTCAAGTCTTTAATATTCTATACTAAATGATGTACAAAAAATATTTATGCATACAGTATAAAGTTGTATACTTTAAATAGCAAAACAATACATAGATTTATATATATATATATATATATATATATAAATTAAAAAATATATAAAAGTATAGTTTATATGATATTAAAGTACAATTAAAGAATAATAATAACAATATAATATATAGATTCATACCGTCCTTATTCATAGACGCTTCAAAACACTTTTTGAGCCGACAGGCCCTGCATTGGTTGCGATGTGTTTTGTCAACCGGACACTTGCCGTTTAGATCTGCCTGTGCTTTGCACGTATAGATGCGATTGCGATGAATGCTTCTCTTAAAAAATCCCGAACAACCTATAATAACAGCAGTTTTATTAGTTTTAATAATTTTTTTACTATTTTGAAATCATAATAATCTTTGCTAATCAAAATTTTACTAATTTTACAATTAAAATTAAAATTATGAGAATCACATCAATATAAGAAATAATTATATTGATATACTATAGTTAAACTATGATATGGACAAAAATAATATAATCCCAGCAAAACATGATGCTTACCGTCACAACTATAAATGCCGTAGTGTTTGCCAGAACTGCGATCCCCGCATACCCGGCACGGAATGTCTAATAAACGATCGCCTATATTGTTGGCACAGTTAGGTATATATCTTATTAAATCTTTTAATCTGAATATTATTATAGTTTTTACTACTCTATAGTAAACAACATGTTTTTAAAGATCATATTTACATGAGTTTTTCATCAATTAAAATAAAAATTACTTACGTTTTTCCATAAGATTGCGGATAAATATATTTATTAACTAATTGGGTAATAACATTGTCACCCAATTCTTTGTTTATTTTTTTAATTCAAATTTATTTATTTAATTTTAATGTTAACAATATAGCCAATTAGTATGATTACAGGGAATTTAGATAATTTAACGATGAATATCACTAATTACAATCAATGAGTGAATTGTAACATAAAAACAAAAAAAAGTGTGAAATCAGACAATATTTGAAAACTTTAAAAGTTGAATGTTATAAACGAAGTGACGTTTATATTTAGTAATTTTTAGTTGGATGAGAGGTCACATCAAATTTACACAAACATTCATACACTCACCGCAAAACATATATAAAATAGTTGATTGTCTATAGTTTTTAGTAGATTTGCACATCCCAGTGCTCCTCACTGTTTGTGAGATGATAGGATGGCACGCATGAGCTTCAATAGACACACACACAGTCATAACCATAGATAACTCAGGCTTTCATTTTTCAGGGCTTTGCATTTGCCACTATGTCACGAATGTTATAGTTAACTATAAGGTATAGTGATGTATAAACGCTTTGGGAAAGGGTGCAGGTGCTCTATGCCTAACTGTGATGCATGAGATAGCTTTGCACACTATATGCACAGCTTATAAAACATAGCAAACAGTCACCAATGAAATGTACTGTTACTTCATTGTTAGTAATCAACTCCTCTTTTGAAACAGTGATCACAAGATTGTTAACATCCCATTCAAACAATACTATCTTTTTTCTTAATAAACCAAAGATTGCACAGTTAGCTCCTAAAATGTGAGATCCATAACAATTAATCACTAATACTAATGCTTGTTATATAAATTAATAGTTTCCTATTTACTAGATGTTCAAATTAGTCTAAATTACTTTTTAAATTTTTTTTAAATAAAACATGTATGTTGTTAATATAATATATCTATTATAAATATTTATATTTAATTAAGTCATTAAATTTAATTAAATATATGTATATATATAAATTTAAATAGTATGATCAAATATATTTTTATGCAACTGTATTTGTTAATATATTGTGTTGTATGGAACAACTGTATATTATACAGTATATACTATATACAGTGTTTTACATTTTAAAAATTAGTATAAAAATAAGAAAGTGTCTAAAACAGCGGCGCCGACGACGATAGCGGCGATTCATTTAATTTCAATTATCTGGTCAACAATAAGTTTTATTATAAGTAAGATTTAAAAGTGACTAAGGGCAATTTTGTAGATAATTTTAAGCTAAATAAGATTGTAATTGGTCATTTTTTAATTAATTGCATGATTAGGCAGATAATTGCAGTGGATTATCATTTTTAAAATTTTTTAGCAGTTGACTGTATATTTTATAGTTTATATTTTATAATTCATGCAATTAATTAAAAAATTGCTAATTACAATCTTATTTAATGTAAAATTATCTACAACATTGCCCTTGGTCAATTTTAAATCCAAGGTATTGTTGACCAGATAATTGAGATTAAAAGCATCGCCTCTATCGTCGTCGGCGCCGCTGTTTAAGACTCTCTCTAAAAATAATTTCGAAATAAATTTTAAAATATTTTGTTTAAAAATAGATTACTTACTACAATAGTTATATAATTGTTAAATTTATATTAAAATAATACTTAAATTTAGATTTTTATTAAATTTATATATATATATAAACATATAAAAACATTATATATATATCAAAAACAAAACCTATATATTTCTATGGTTTAAGTGAGATATAACTTCAATTTTCTCTAAAATCAGCCCTAAAAGGCATACAATATTGTTTGGTATTATTTATGTAATTCAAATAATAAGCCAATAATGCATTTATTTCAAAAAATACAACTACACGACATGTTATGTAGATTTCATGCAAAGTATATATCAATAAATAATAAATATATATGTTTTTGAAAACTATATTTACAAATATTTAAAATAGGTATACAGTATATTCAATAGTATTGTACAATATATGCAAACATTTTTATAAATAATATAATACAATCTTTTATATTGTTTGTAAATAAATAGTGTTTGTAAAATATGATACTATAAAATACATTTTTCATTTAAAATAATTGCCATTTTAATACTGTTTTAGACTCAATAATAAATAAAAATTTTGTTATCGATATTTGTTATTTTATGTATGAATATGAGTTATTTGTACTAGTTAAAATATTTGTTATTAAAAAAAGTTAAATAAAAATTTTAATCAAATTATTTTAATGAACAGTACAAAATTGAAAAGTTAATTATTATTGTATTTATATTACAATGCGTAAATTTATAGGAAGTATATATTGTATATATATTATTTTTACTGTCAATAGATTTATTTATACCATACTATAGCTATTTTATATAAAAAATAAAGTATATAAAACATAATTTTCAAAAGTATACAAAAATACAGAATAAAATATTGATTGTAGATATAGTGTAGTTGAAACATAATGTAATTTTAAGAGTATTATTATTATCTATCTTTTATGTCAAATTATAAACTTTCTTATTTTGTTTATAATATGGTATTTAATGGTTTTTAGTATAAGCCGCCTAAATGATGGTATGTTAATAAAAATAGGTTAGATTAAGTATTTTGAATGAATACACTCTTCAACACATATGTCTCAATAGCTTAAAAGTTGTGTCAAAGTGTTTGAAAATCTTATTGTGTATAACATTATAATAGACATAATATAATAATAATATATAACAACTTTATTTTTACACAAATTTATAAGCTTATGATATAAAACTGTTTAAAATATTGTTATGCATTACTTTTCAAAGGATGACGTCTTGCACTTTACTTAATATAAATAACAACAACAACGACAACAACATAACATCAATAACATGTAAATGCATTTTTCACCGGTATTTGCATGTTATAAATGATGATAAATAACACTTTATTTTTCAAAATATTTTTAGTATAATAAGTAAATCGTATTTTTATTCTTATAAATAATGCTAAAACTATATTTTAACCAAAAGATTACAAAATAATTATAAATATTATGATTATTAAAATATATTTATCCCGTCAAACCAATAAAGAAACAATTATTATATAATAACAATTTATATATAATAAATTAAATTAATTAATCTATAATTACATCTGATTCTGAGGATAATATTTATTTAAATTAAAATAAATAAATAAATTTTATAAATTATTAATAAACTAATTTATTATTAAATGTTTATACTGTAATTAACACCATTAACACCATTAACAACATTGAGAATAAAGTTAGCATTGCCAAAACAAATTTATCATTGCGTTATTATACCCATGAATGCAGTGTAACATTAGTGGCAATAGTGTCTTATAAGTTATAAGTTTGACAGTATGGCGTAATTTTTTTATCGACACATAACACATTAAATAGGCATCTAATATATTCATTATTAATCAAATCTATTTTAAATTAATGATGATTTATTGATTAGGGATGTGTAATACCATTATAAATAGGATTAGGTTGCGAGGCCTAAACCAGGTTAGGTAACGGGTGAACAATGATTTAACCGAAAATAAGTTTTAAGGTGAAGACAGAAAGCCGCCATAATGTCAAAGTTAAATGACAAACACCATATAAATAACGTAATTTAGTGTTTTTACCATTTAATTAAATATACAATTAATAGACATTTCTAATGAGATTACCCTATAATTGAAGGTATACCAAACATACCAACAAACAGTGATAAAACAATTTTTAATCAATTAAAAATATAAAATAAAAAATAGATGCTCAGGGCAGGCATTTATCAAAATTGGCATCTATTGTTTATGTCTGCCTTTTTTAAAACTTTATCATATTATACCTCACATATGCAGAAGTTTTTAAGTTATTTATGATTTATAGTTGGAATCAATTTTAAATATTGTTTTATTATGCTTTTAATGAATGCTTAGAAATCATTACATTTTTAGAGTCCTATTTTAATTTTTAATGCTTTATCTAAATTTGAAATTTAAAATTTACTAAAATTAATTTTGTCAGACATTTTGATTATATTTATGTAAAGATAAGTAATTACTTTTACAGACAAATCAATTTTATATTTCTAATAAACTCTATCCGAATCTGAAGTGAAAATTTAAAAATTGTATACTTTGTCAGTCATTTTCTCCATTGTTTCCTCAAGAGATAAGTCATTTTTGGTTCTGTTTTTCTATACATTATTTTTATGTTTTATCCAAATCTTAATTTTAAAATTTCAATAAAAATGCGATATATATACAAACAAACAAACACACACTTATAAGAATTAAGAAACAAAGATTATAAGATTTAGTTGAAATCTTAATATTTTATCAATATTTTATCATATAATCAAATAAAAACCTAACATATAATAGATTTTTATTTTCAATTTTAAAGATTCTTATAAATTAAATATAATTGTTTAGATAGAGTTAGAGATCTTTGATTAAAAATGATAAATTAATATATATATATATATTTATTTATTTATTTAATAAGCGTTTTATCAGCGCTGAGAAATTGTTTTCTTAGTTTTAGTACATATAATATTAAGTAAAAAGTAATAAAAATCATCTAAATTATAGCAATCATCATAATTGTGATGATAAATGTAATGCTATTTCCAAGAATGAGTATTGATTTTAGAGTTAGAAAATAATAAAAAATATTATAAATTTATTTGAAAATTATTGCCAATAACTATTAAGAAAAGTTATTTTAATTGAAATATAGTAATAAAAATCTAAATGACTTTAACAACCGTTAAATATTATGCTATTTTAACTATTTTAATGTAACTCTAGTTAATGATCACATAATAGCTAACACTCCATAATCTTAACATATTTAATGTGTTTAAGTAATACAAACAATATAATAATAATAAATACAAGTAATGTTTCATTTGATGCTTTTATTAAATGATCATTTGTTGTGTTGATGAAGGCCTGACATGGCTTGAGTACACT